TAACACTAACTATGCTAGCAATGGTTTTTATGCATACAAGAATTTTTTTGGCAGTATATAACAGACGTAGGATTGACGTTATCACTGGTCGTGCAAACATTAAACGTCGAAAGGCTTTTCTGCAAGGAATACGCGATGCTAAACATGCTTTTTTGTTTTGTTTTGTACATTCAGTTGCTATCTGCCTTCTGCCATTGAGGCTAGCTTGACGCCAAAAGCAACGTTTAAAGCAATCATTTTAAGTTCTTGGAGTACGACACTCATTTTCTCACTATCAGTTCTTAATTCCATCTTGTTCTATTGGCGCAATAAGTTATTGCGGAAAGAAGCATTACGTTGTCTTCGAATAAAATTTTCACACTGATATTTAAAATACAAAGTAGTATACTCATGTAAGATATTTTGAACGTAGCATTTTAACCTATTCATATTTTCAATGTAATAATATTATGTAATGATATTTGAAATATTGGTGACAACGCGGGTCACATCAGCAAGACGAGTCGAGGTCATTAATTAACCACCAATAATATGCAATATTCATTCTCTTCTTTCAAAATATATTTACGAGAATATAAGAGTTCTGTATAACTATCATTAATTTTGCAGAAAGGCTGTTTGCATAATCAGATCGCAAGTTGTGCAGTTTGATTTTGTGTAAATATCAATTGCATGATTTGGGAGTGACTTGATCTTTTATACAATGCCTGATTTTTAAACAATTTATCCTATTAGGAAATACTAATCTATTGCATATGAGTAATGCAATGTAATAGATTTAAAAATTGTGAAAAATCTCACCAGTAACATATAGAAAACCTCATTTACATTGTCTGCTTCAAAATTTCCTCTGAAGCCTCCTAGGATAAGAGTGCTTAATCTCCAGCCTCCAAAAATACCTTGTGGATGCCATCCAGGCTATGATAGGAAATATTGTTACAGGATTGGGCCCCCTAACAAAAAAATTTTAACCCTGGCCCCAAAAATCTTCTGTGTGGCCCTGAATGAAAACAATCAATTGGTGGTATACCTAGAGTAAATGCATATTTCCTGCTAGAGTTTACATCTTTACTGATATTGCATCTCTCTAAAACCAACAAACCAGCAAGTTCAGAGGTCTAAAAACATAATATAAAACATTGAATGTAATTTGAACAATTTACTTATTGTACCATGAACAATCACATGAATCATAAATGCTTTGGTTATAGCAAACATTCAAGTTGATTATCAATTGCATACATAGTGAAAGGAGTTACATAAAGAGGCAATTATATATTCATAACAGATCAGTGTGAGTACCTTTTCACTTCCTTTACAATAAAATAAAAGATTTCCTTTTAATCTACACCATCTTTCTGTATATGCTGTTAAAAAAACATACAGTATACTGTGTGACTGGTACTCACATCTCATTTCAGACTTACTGCTAATTACTTCAGTCATTGTGTTGTGTAAATATTATACACAAAATACAAAATGTACTATGATAAGACCATTCTGTGAAACTTGGCAATTCAAGATTAGTGGAGTTCGAAGTTTGAGTCCCTGGGGATCGATGTTGATCCTGACCACTTGCGTCTAATATGACCTAGTATTTGCCTGTTAACTTTGCATCAAATTTGGTATAACAACTACCTAGGTTTTTTGGCTATTGTAGGAAGTTGTTCTATCAAAATTGATATGAAGTTATTTAAGTATGCTGCCACGCTGCTCAATGGTTATAATGGGGGGCTAATGAAGGCATTAGCCTATCAATATGACATTAATTATTTAATCCTATAAATACTGTATACACAGTATATTGTGGCTTTCTTATGTCATGCATTTTCAGTCAAATCCAGAATGCACCTAATCACCCTCAAGCAAAATGCAGGTCTTCTGTATGCTAACTAAATACACATTTGTACACTCAACACCTGGGGTAACTTTGCTAAGTGTCAATATATATTAAAGCTAGTCAAACAAGGTACTGGCAGTAGTGAAGGAGTGCCAAAAGGGTAAATGCTTATGGTGCTCAGAGGGGTCTGTCTGCTGATTTTCCTCTCTTAATAGTATGAGGTATATCAGTTAACAACAGTATTGTCACATTATCAAGAGTCAAGGAAGTGGAGCCAGTCAGTCTTGCCAACTTTATCACGTAAACCGGGTGTAGAATGGTGGATATTATATCGAATAATATTATATAGTATAGCAATTCAGATATAGACAAACTATAAAAAGAACAAACTGTTTCCTGGAACAACACTTACACTCAGTTCGCTTCAAAAAAAAACCATCTCTTTCTTTCAACCACAATAAACCTTGAAGATCAAAAGTTTCAGCTGGTTGGAGAGCGATAAACGCTAATTCCTTTTGATTAAACCTCATATTAATAGCACAGCCATATAACAGTTTTTATTATAGTTCTAGTTTATTTAAAACATATTGATATTGCTATGGTTCAACAGACATATTTAGTGCAAATTATACGTATTTTATATTTAAAACAGGAAGTTTATATTGTCCACCAATTGTTGTCATCACCATGATACCATCGTTCAAACGGCGGCAGGAGTTTTGTTTACACTTGTAGGTGATGTTAGCCCTTAGCTTCGCTCTCTTTGCATAACGTGCCGGAAAAACCTCGAAAAACTGTTGAAATTACTCATTGTTAAAGTTTGTTAAACTAAGCCCAGTTCATTTTGATGGTTGGAGTTTGATGCAAGTCATGCAACTTATAAAATGCTAAGTAAGAAATTTATACGGATATATTCTTAGCGTATTTAATACGGAATTTGGGAGGAAATCTAAGGAATTTCGTCGTATCCAGAAATCCAAGTGAGAAATCCAGATAACGACGAACGAAGATGGCTGCTCCACCAACTCGTGATCGAACGGGTACTTTGAGATCAAATCCCGCATTTCAAGGCGATAGTAATCTTTTTCATGGATCTAAAATCCCAACAGAAGTTCGAAAAATGGTACTTAAATGGTTCGAAAAATGGAACTTTTCCACCTTACTAGCCTAAAGGTGGAAAAGTTCAAGAAGCTTTTAGAAGGTATATTTTGTTATCACCTTTGGTGATCTCATAATTTTCATAATTATAATCCAGTATTCCAGTATTCTTTCTCCTATATACAAATTTTCATATGTGTGCTTAGACCTCAACCTGTCTTAATTGTGCACAGCATCACATACACCCATCACTATGAAAAATGAGGAAAAACACCAGCACCCTGAAATCACTGGACTTACCCTCAAATACATTGTAAAATGTGCACACACCCTGCATACCTATATGTTTCTAATTTCCATAAGTTTGAGGGGCACAAAAAACCCAAGACGATCATCGGAGATTGCAAGCCCAGTATTAACCCATATTGGTTTTATTATGGTTGAAGAGATGCCCTCCACATAATATGTGATATCATATACGGTACACTATCTTCAGTTGGCTATCTAAGATTATCTTTTTCTCTATCTTTTTCCATAGTATTCTCTCTTGCAGTATATATAAGCAAATTGATAATTGTTTAAATACCATGTCAATTTATTTTATTTAGTAGTCCAACATTCTCTTGAAAATTATGAAGTTGATCAAGACATACTGTGTAGTTTGAGAGATAAGAATATTTCTGAGGAGTCTGTTTTACAAATATTTTCTGGATTACATAAAATAATGAAAGCAACATTGAGACAGACACTAACATCAATAAAGCAAGAAACTTATAAAGCTGAATTATTATCCTACAAGTAAGCTTTTGAAATGTGCACTTTGAATTTTAATAATCTATACATGAGTTGTAACTCTCTTTTAGTTGACTTACCTATTTTAATGTACATTTTTTTCTACATATTTGTGAATATTTTTAGAATTCCTGAAAACATTGTTAATGAAATCATGGTGAATGTATTCAAGAGGTAGGCTGAATAATGAGGGTTGACCCAAAAGTGCTGATTCAATACAGGAAAACCTTCTCTTTGCATTACCACATGACCCAAATCCTATTATATTTTGGTGTTCAAATTGACAGTTCCAATTAGTCCATATAATTTGAATATATCATTCATGCATTGCTAACTTTAAAAGAGTCCCCCAAATGACCTGGCAGCTCATTTATAACTTTCGTTGTTAATTTTTTTCCACATTTGTTCTAAAGTATAAAATGTGCAGTGAGTCTTTTCAAACTGGAATGGAATGTACATTTCATATATAACTTTTTTCCTCTAGCCATACTAGGGTTGAAACTGGTGTATTAAGCAATAGGATAAGATTGCCAGGGCTGCAATCTTTGAAATGGAGAGTAGATGTGACAATATCGACCAGGTATAAAACCCTGACCTCCTAGTTTACCGACCAAAGTTGGGAAGGTCAAGTGTCTCAAACTATTATTAATTAAATAGCTCACTTAATCGAGTGCTGGTGCCAACAGTCTTTATGGAGGTGAAAACAAGTGATGGCAGTATAAAATCATTTGAGGTGGGAAATTAATATTTCTACAGCCAAATGTGCCAATGTTGTAGGATTAGACTTGTAAGGTTGAAATCAGTTCTCCAAATGTTATCATGTAATGCATGCATATCACTGTAATCTAACTCCAGAATGTCATCATACACTTGCTTTGTCTTTAGGTTTCCCTGTCAAAATTTAATGAACTGGAGTATGATGTAGCATACCTGTTGAAAGAAATGGAAGACTTAGAAAAACGTAATATTTTAAAAATCGAAGATTAGGAATGGTTTCGTCCATGCTTCGTTCGCCTTTGTACTGAAAATAATTTTATCAATATGTAATGCTATAATACATGGGTTGTAATCAAAACCTTCGCAGGCAAGGAAAATACTATTTCGTGTGTGGTCACTGTGGAAACAGCGCCATTAATTAATAATTTTTAATTACACAATGTATATCATAATAAGTACGTTGCGAATTTCTAATTAGAATTAGAACCTTTAGAGTACAACCCACAAGGATTTATGAGAGGTGTTAATCGAACATTTTGAACGTTGTAAATTTTATCTTGCAATATGACGACAGGAATTCGTGTTGTTAACGCGCTAGAGGTTGGGACAGATATAGGTAATTGTTTTATAGAGCTTTGCATCGGAGATATTACAGCTTTGCCGAAACAGGACGAAGTTGATGTTCTTGTTTTATCGGCGTTTCCAGGTAACTATGTATGTCCACTTTGCCAGATTTTTGCTAGTTCAAACAATCTTGTAGTTCTGAAGGTACGGGGTTAATCGATTGCAGAGTAACTGAAATAGAAAAATAGATTTGTTAATTTTTAACTTTGCTTGTCGGCCGTCTCAACAGTCAACAACCTTGGGGTTTCGTATGGATAATTCCGACGTTTTAATGAATTTGCTAGTGAAATTGAGGGAATTGTTCACCTTTGTAGCAGACTAGTGGTGCGTTTTTGACAGTGTATTTATATTAAATAGGGCCAAAGTGCAGCACAAGATTATAAACAATATTTGCTGGCCTGTCATGATATTTACTTTGTGGCTTTACTCGCGCGTAGCTTAAATTTTAATTTGAAACATGATAATGAAGCATCCTGACTATTTATTATGTAAGAACATATTGAGAAAACGTTCAAGACTGAGGGTAAAAATTTTTTATCAGGTTCTATCATGGATGATAAAAACACTATTAGTATGTTTTTATTATCCATGGTCATATTCATCAATCAAATTGCATACCACGCATACTTTAATAAATAGTTGTAAAGTTGCTATTAAGAAAGAATTAAATTGCTTTTTTTTTCAGTAATTATTAGAGTAATTCCCCTACCCCACCCTTGATATCCCATCCTAATTTATGAATTCTCCTACCCTACCCTTGATACGGAATGTATCTACCCACTAACCCATCATAGAAAAACCCTAGAAATAAGGTACATGTAGTATATACATTGCACCACACAAAGATACAATATAGGCATTAGCTAGGCTGCAGAAATAATCTCTCCCTTCATTAATTGCATTGCTTTTGTACACAAGCAGTGTATAGTGCAGTATGCTTTATGCTTACCAATTCGTTTACAAGTCGATCTGATGTAATCTATTAATCAAATCATTATTGCTAGTTGATGACCTGGTAATATGCAAAAAATCATATATACCTTTAATTGCACTTCTGTTAAAATTATGTGTAACATTTTTCAATATGAGGCATCAGACTTCTTTACTGTGCAGACAATCCATCCTTGTTTGGCAGCCTTTTAACTTCGATATATATTTCTGCAAGCGTACTCAGTTGGGGGGCAATGTGTTGAAAACTTTCTATTAATCTATTGTAAGTAATAATTTAACAATCAAGGGCCAGTTTGGTGTTCTATGAATGTCAATTGAGACTACATTCTCTATTCATCAGCTGCTTGAAAATAAGGATGATGACTGCCTTCTGAAAATTCCCTAGATTTCCACCACCAAGGAGTTTTGCAAGATTGGGTTGTGCAGTTATGCAGTTAAAATCATGAACAGCTTGTGCGTGGCTGAGTAGGCTAGAATTAGAGTAAATGCTTCACCTTTTATTTAGGGAGGTTCCCCAATCCTGTTGGGAATGGTTGTAATGTATTATTAGCCCAATGTTTGGCACCATCCCATCTCCTAGCTGGGCTAGTGAAACATAACACAAAACTTAAAACGCACTAAACCAAATGGTCATTTTAATTCCGTGGACTGTCATGTGTTCCTAAAAGATATCTATTTCATCATCTAGTTTTCTGTTAATGCGACGACGATATCAGTTCAGGCTCGCCTATTTATGATAACATCATGCAGCTGCATTGTCATCAGGAAATTTCAGTCACCTGCTTTGAATCAAGCGTCCCAAACTACCGTACTGGGGCCGGATTTTTCAATCGCTCTAAAATCGCCCGTTGATCGTTGTTGGCTGAAACTTTGATTATATCTTAGTATTCCTAAATTGAGGATCCTCTTTAATAATTGTTGCTTCCAAAGCTAGAATTTTATTGCTTTTCAAATATTTTTAGGAACTGGTTGAAATGAATCACTACCCGGTGGATAGCGCTATCCAGCCTCCGTACAACCGACCCCCTGGATATTAGTCCTCATACAACTGACCAGTTTACTCTCTGATTTCCTGTATTCTCCGGCTAAATTACTAAGCAATTGAAATATAAACAAACTGGAAAAACAGCAGATTTAATTTATCAGTCAGAGTGATCTAATTTATGATTACCTTGCCCTTGGGTAGGAAACCAAGGCGAGGGGGATAAAAAAGGATTTCATCAACTAGGGCCATGCATAGGCCAATAAGCCCATATAATGGCGTTTAACATTATTTCAGGTGATTACAGTCCTACACCAAGTTCTCTGATTGGACAGTTGTTGTTAAGATTGGGGATAAGTGTAAAACAACTGGCCAAAGACAAAGAAGAAGATTTAAGAAAGCTCTATTCTTGTTGGTGGTCCAAACCTTTACCAGATCATCTCAGTTTTAGAAAAATACTGTGTTTTGAAGGGGGGTAAGAGTAAGGCCTTGATTGTAATTATGAAAGCTACAAAAATTGGAGTCAATTTCATCATCGATTGTTTCATCGTGTATAGGCGTAACATCTCCAGAAGTGTCGGTCAAGTCGTTGAGACAAAGTCCAATGCTGTGTACGTAAAAATGCAGTTACCCACACCCAACCTCAATTATAGCCTTGCCCTCCCCCCACTGATGACTGATCGATGTTGAGAAGAAAACGTTGATCAAATGTTCAGACTTCGCCAGACTATACATTTATATCTAGGATGAATGGAGGGAGAATTATAACGACATAAGAAAAATCTCGAGTTTTTGACACAATGTCATGGATGTGTTAATTCCAACTCTCTTTTTCAGCGTAAGTCCAAGACAAAGATGCTCAAGCTTCTCGTGGATGCTGCTGTACATTGGATGAAAGCCGGCTTACCTTTGCGTTCTTTGAAAATTGTCATATTTTCCAGGAATATTGACAACATAAGCAAAGGTGATCAGCCACTTTTTGACTTATTTAAAGAATTGAAATCCAATCATGAACAAGAAGAAGAACAAGACGAGGAGCAAGACCAGGTACATACATAACAAATAATCAGGCATACACATTAACTGTAAAAATGTAATATACCTTAGCTTAATGTATCATGCAGTCTCTGACACATATATACTATTTGGTTTCGTTATATAGATTGAGTCTGAAGGATACGACATTTATTTGTCCTACAGTGAAGAAGACGTGAAATGTGTTGACGAAGTAGTTGATGTTCTACTTAAGAATAGAAGCAATATCCGGGTTTATACGACCATTCAAAAGCTTGATCTGGAAACGTCCTGGCAAAACCAACTGTACGACATCATTAAAAAGTGCAAACGTGTCATGGCTCTTATTACTCCGTCGTTTCTCGAATCAACGCGCTGTACAGAGCAATACAATATTGCATTATGTCACAGCCGTAAAATGCAAGAGAGTGTCCTAATGCCGCTGTATATTACTGATGTGCCATATATGCCAACCTACATGAGAATCACACAGTATATTGACTGCAGGTGTCAATCTTAGATTCCAAAGTATCGCTTGATATTTTTGATTTGACTTAAGCTTGAAAAAAGCCTTGCTTGTCAATTTTGTTAGCATACTGTACTTTAATTTTGTGTTTCTTCTGCGGTGCCCCAGTCTTGAACCACGCAAGGCAAACTCCAACCTCGTTTAGGTCACCTCAACACGCTTCGCTCTTTGATTACCCACAGTGCTTAGAAGTGTGTGATCTTTCTAATGGACTATCTAGTGAACTGTGCTTGATTAGGAACGTAATTAGGAACGCTACTTTTATATATTCATTTGGTCGGTCCTAACACACCTAAAAATAAGACATCTTATCTTGCTCGGCATAGCTGTAAATGAAGAATTTGTGCATCTTTTTGAACAAAAATAGCCATTGATTGAGAACTTTTTTGAACTCTAAAGTGTCTCTAAATATTGCCTTTTGGTTTCCAGGATTAGTTTTCAAGAGAAATTGAATGCTGCCTGTATCACTGTTATCGGTAGTCTTAAATGCGAAACGATTGAAGTCGCAACAAAAGAAAACACACCCAAGCCTGCGAAACAAAACTACGATATTTTCTTATCCTACTCCCACTGTAATTCAGACCGTGCGATGCAGATTATGAAAGAGTTACAACATCAGAGACCTGATCTTAATATATTTATCGACACAGCTGAGTTAAAGGCTGGTGGAGCGTGGCAGCTTACCTTGTACACTGCTCTGAGTAAGTTGAATGTTATTTGCTAAAATTATATAATAGAATTAAAGGCCTGACCTTAAGATCTACACTTGCGATTTTCACTGCGATTTCAACCGGCCCCAGAGCATTCGTAACTTATTAACTCGTTCACATCAATAAAAAGAAGAAAATTGCACGTAAAATTCGCAAGTTGAAACGAACAAATTGTCAAAGGGTCCAGCTAGTGAAAATACTGCGACGTGGTTAGACAATATGCAACATAACATTAATTTACTCGAGTCTACCGCTTTCTGGCGTATTCGACGGACTCAACCATGGTCGAATCCGCCATTTTCCGGCAGACTCGCCCATGGTCGAATACACCGTTTTCCGGCGGACTCGACCATTAGTGAATAGTATACAATAAAACACGCAATTGTTTAGTATACCAGGAGGCACTTGGTATGCCCAACAGCTATAGGCTATACGCTATCCTTCACGCGGATAGTATGGCGGTTAACGGTTGTACCCGTGCGGCCACTGAATTTGCGACTCTTTATTTCAGACTGTTCACGTTTCGTGATTGCCCTGATTTCAAATGACTATCTTCATTCTAAAGTCTGCAATGAAGAAATTTGTCTATCTATTGCACTTCAACTTCAAGACAAGTGCAAAATCTGGCCGATCGTGATTGAACCGCTTGAAGCAAACATTGATTGGTTGAATATGTTGTCACCTGTAAATTGTTATGACGATAATGGAGAGGGAAAGAATAATTCCATGTCTTTTTTATGTAATCATTTTCTTTTGAATGTGTTTGAAGGTAATTTTCTCATGCATCGATTGCTGAGTGTCGTGCATGTGCAGTTTCCGAAATTTAAGGGTTATATAAAAAACAATTTCAGCGTTTGGACATTTGACAGGGTGTGATTTGAGTTATGGCTATCAAACCATGAAGCTTTTAACTGAATTTATTATTTAACTTCTTTTATTATATATAGGTTGTGCAGGAAACTCCATTTTATCTGAAAATATCCATTTACAAACATGTTTAGAAGAATCTCGATCGTTCTTTTTTGAAGAAGATTTTATTTCTTTGGTTGTTGATGCACCCAGTGAAGTTGTTAGAAAGAAAGGAGACGGCACCTCGACGTTTTTACCAAAAGATCAAAGTTGCAATGTGGACATTTACATTATCTGTTCTTCAGAAGATATTGATTCCTGTTCCCTGCTAAAAAATATCATTACGTCGCAAAATGGATCGCAATTTACTGTGAAGGTCTCGACAGACGAAAATGCTTCCACTAGGTTAACGTATTTAGACAAAGCTTGGTTAATCATTCCCTTGTTGTCTAACAGTTTCATGCAATGCCCCGAATTGGTTCATGAACTGAATATCGCCTGGTGTCGTCAAAGAGATTGTTTAAGCTTGTGTTTTCTGGCAATTGTTATAGAACAGTTACCAAATAATCCAACTTATGTCAGTCTGTTTCCTTGTTTTTTCAACTGCGAAGATGGCCGCTGGGTCAAAGATGGTGAAACACTCAAGCTATTTCCTTCAGATGAACTAACTCGTGTTTATAAAAGCTGTCAATGCCCTATTAATGTTGTACTTTGCTTCATGACTGTAGTAGATCATATACAGCAGTGGCATAATGGTAGCCATTGCCTTGTGCTTGGCACACACAACAAATTATTTAATTGTCTTCATTTAAATGCATGCATTCAACAACATAAAGAAATGTTATCAAAGTGTGATGAAGAAGCACGGGAAAAAGAAGTTGTTTCTAGTACTTGTTCAACGAAAGGAAACGATAAGATAACTGATGAGACGGCTCGTGCTGCTGATGATGATAGTTTGAAGCCATCTGCACCAAATGAATGTCAAAACCAAGATTCGCTTATTTCTAGTATTTCTAGTTCTAGAAGTACGACTGCAGAGAAAGATGAAGTACCAACTGAACAAGGCAATGGCGTAGTTCGTGCTGATAATGATGATAGCTGCTTAAGGCCATCTGGAGCAATTGAAAGTCAAAACCACGATTTGGTTTTACCACAAGAAATAAAACATCCTGACAAACCAAGCTCAGATGTGAAAGTGATCGAGTCGCAGCAGATGTCCAATATTGAAAATATTGACAACCATAGTGCTGACGATTTGGGTAAAGAAACATCAGTTAAGAGCAGGCATGAAAAGAGACTGCTTAGAAAGAATGATCCTTCTTTTTCGTGTATAGTAATTTGATAATTTCGGTCAGTTGTGAACTTAAATTTGACGGACGCAATTTGAAGATGATTGGGTAGGAAATTGAAGGAGCGAAGAGGGATTGTGTAAGTAGGAATTATCAGCACTATTCTGAGACTGACTTCCTTTTTAGTAACAGTATAATACTATTAATAGTAAACACGCAATTATGCATAATTGCTTTTTCCAAATCGGGAACGTTTCATCAAAAAACTCATTGACATTACAGAGCTGATTTAGGTATACTCAAGTGAGGCCATCCGATAAACATTGCGAAATCGGAGGTAAATAAAGTCTCGCAATGCAAACTTTTGGCTTCATTCGCGGGTGACTCGCGAGATTACTGCAGATGCAGAGCAAATTTGAAAGCAATTTAATTTTTCGAGTAATTTTTTGTTTGTTTCATGGTTTTAAATGTGTTTTTTTTATGGAATTATAATGGAATTAATCTTAAATTCAACCAGGTGAACTGTTTTACGAATTACAACTGGAGTTGCCAATCGGATTGGAAACAAATTCTCTCAAACGGAACAAGTTTACAGCGATGTGCAATTTTGACAACATTATTACGAAACGGATATCCTAAAAGCTAAAATTTCATCGCAAAATACACTTGGTAGACATTGTTTAACATTATAAGTTTAAGTTTATTTAATTCTAAGTTACTAGATGGCAAAAAAATATTCTTGCATTGTCACGCTAGGCTCTATGCTTTTTCCTTGCAAGTTGCAAAGAACATTCTTACTCCGTATTTCCAAAAATAGGTCCATAAAATGCATTCTGCTAACATCAAGAATGTCTCAGCCGGCTGTAAGCGCTAACAAAATCAGTTATTTAACTCCCCAAAAAAAATTTTTCGGGGAGTTTTTATCAAATTTACGAAATCACAAAAAAAACATTTTGTTTTGGCCGTGTTTGTTTTTGCGTGTAAAGACTGGGGGTGACTTAGCTTCAACTTCCTGTCAGAAGTATGTCAGAAGGTAGCGTTCCAATTATATTCATTTCACTGAATTACACTGATAGGAATTAATTATGTATTTTGGAAATTGGAACTTGGAAATACTTGAAACTTGTATTCCATTGCAATCTTCTATGCCCCTACTAATTAAAGGTTAAAATATCATGAAATGAGGAATAACATTAATGGTTATGAGGTTGCTGATAGTACAAGACAGAAGGAGGAGCTAACGCTACTTCCTTCTAAATTATCTGGTTGGAACTCAGGCGTACACCAAGCATAATCGAGGGTGCATTCTATGAATTTAATTTACCCAGTACAAATATAAAGTGTGTAATGTACTTGGTTTCAGTTTTGTGTTGATACCTGCTATTGACGCTCTCTGACATGGCAGATTTATCACATGCTGAACAGTATTACAACAGTGGCAAATATTCAGAAGCATATGAAATATATGATGTGCTTTTGAATAACGAACCTCAAAATGTTGACCTTTTGTTAGGCAAAGCAAATTGTTCCACATTCCTCAGCAAATGGCATGACAGTTTGGAGAATATTGAGAAAGCTTTTGTATTGACGAATTTGGATTCTTCAATTGTAAAGACTTTTCTTAACAATTTAATCAAGAACATAAACATAAAATTTATTTTTCATCAATCCCAGCCACTTTGAGTACATTATTATTATAAGTTCAATTTACCACATGTTTTCATTTTTAATGTTGTAATTGCCACAGTAAAACCATGCATAATTTAAACTAGGTTTATAATACCAGTTTTTCAGCTAAGTGAAGACTATCTTATAACTGTTCTTGTATGTACAAATCCCTAGACATTGAAGTATATTCATTACCCCTCAATTCATCCTGAGGCTACAATTTTAACATCCTCCCATTGCCTTATCCATTATTTTTATAAACTATAGCAATCTGACTCTAAAGAAATATGAAATGAAATACGAATTTACATTTACATACCTTGTGTAGTGGCTTTTACCGTACAAAATCTCCATAAAACACAGAATCAGCCATCATATTATCCTGTTTATTCAAAACCACAAATGTTTGCCAAATAATGTATAGACAGTATAGTCTATTTTCATCTTTGACCCAAAGATTGGCGATGTACGTGTTGGTTTTTCGCAAGCGAATTTGCGGAGTTTTCCGAGTAAATAGCGTAACATAATCTTTTGTTTTGGCAGTCATTAGTCGAATATGCCTAAAGCGCTTCAGTATGATCGCTTTCAAACGTACTGCATAGGCATAATTAGGATTGACAACTTGAAGTAAACGATATAAAAATAAATTAAGAAAACAATAACAATGCTGTCATACCTTGCGTAGAATGCGTTTCTTAAGAACTGTTTTCCGGTAGGATTACTAAACAACTAACGTACAGTACCCATGCAACCACAGCCATAATTTTTCACGTCGAACTATTATTTCATTTAGCGGACAATGAAGGATTGATGAAAAGTTTACCTCCACCAACAACCTTGGAACATATCATTTCATCCACGTTTATTAGGAAACATTTAATTTGCCCACTTTTCCCATTTGTGGTCAAAACTATACACAAATTAATACAAACTTTGATCTGGTATCATAGCCATACACAGTGAAAATAATAATGTATGTATTGTCTGAACCTAAATTTAAATGTCACTAAATTTAAATGTCAATACAATTAAAACTACAGTAAAATTGTCTGTGCCAGTTCAGACAATACATTACTATTTTCACTGTATATAGCCATGATACCAGATCAAAGTTTGTATTGTGTATAGTTTTGACCACAAATGGGAAAAGTGGGCAAACTCAGATATTTCTTGTTTCTATTTTCCATAATTGACATTATATGAACCAGCCATTCTTCCACTGAGGAGTGAAAATAAATTACCTGACCAAAGCCAAAGCTAAACTATTGTCATTGACAGAGTAAAAACAATCTTACATGTAAAATACTAGTTCATGCATATAACTTTGTTATGGCCTTGGCCAAAATTATCAAACTTCAGCTTAAAATTTCAGCCTGATACACATGCATACTGAGGGATACCAGGAATAATGCAAATGCCTAGGCAAGTGCAAGGATCTTGCAACAAAATTTTCAAATGTATAATTTTGGCACAAAAAATTGAAATGATTGCTAAACAACTGCACTTAGAAATTACATGAATGAAATTACATTACATTACATAAATTTACATAATAAAAAAATACACAAACAAACTCCGATCCATTATTATAACCGTTAAGCTCGCCTAGCTCGGAAAAAATATATTTTTTATCACTTTTATGTACATTGTATTTCTGTGCAAGCTGCAGGTGAAAATGCCACCAACGAAAATTTAAAAACAAATGTAAATCTTACAAGTGCGAGTCAATATCCCCCCTTTTAGCGACTAGCAGCATCCACAAATTGAAAAAAGAGGCAATTGTTCCTTCACGTCGAAAAAAATAGTAGAAAATATAAAGATTCGGTTACAAAAATAGCGAAAAATTAAAAAATATATATAAAAAGTTTTTTGAAAACAGCCGGAGGGCCAGTGAACTCTAATAAGTCTTTTTAGAGTTCACTGCGGAGGGCGAAGAAGTGCGCCTGAAGCACTGTATCGCGGTTGCAGTGGTAATTACCATTGCCAGTTGGGTTGGGCCCACTTGTTTGCCCACTTGGCCCACAACTGACTAAAAATAATGAACAACCTCGTACCCAGGGTCCCTGCGTTTAAAGTTCTGGTGACGCGACAAAAAAGGGTGTGTCTTGGGTGTAGTCGGGGCTTAACTCGAAAAAAGCTTATAAATTCAGGGCCCGGGGCTTAACGAGGCGCTTACATTTACCTCGTGGTGACCCAACATGGAACAACAAGGAAGAACAACCAGTGTAAAACGAAAATTAGAGCCATCCATTGTGGACGATCGCTGGGAAACGATAGACCCAACACCGGATATAAGGCCCATTAAATAAAATTTTCAGTTTTTCATCGCCGCCCGCCCATGAAATGTTGGCCGCCCGAATTATTTTTTTAAATTATATTATTAATCGGAATTAGTCGGAAGTAGTCGAAAACCGAAGATAGGCGGCCATATTGTTTCAACATGACTTTCGTCGTAGCTCAGGTACGAGCTGGATCAAAAGTTTTGAAGCATTGGATAGGCGTACGAGTTGCAGATAATTGTGCTTCAAATGATGTAGAACTGTACAAGGCTACAAGTGACAAAGGCTATTAAATTGCTATTTTCAATAGTCATATTCCTTGTGGTTCAAATTAATTGTTCTTGTTCCTTTAATAAATGTTTCATTACGCATCAGTGGTGCGCTATCACAGTACAACAATGTCTTCTATTCAGACGTAGAAGAGTAAAAGGGCTCTTGACTGTGACTATTTCTTGCACAGACCAAATGTATGAAATGGAAAAAACCTTTTAGCGCGTTTTTTAAAGAGGAAATACACTACTTCCGCTATTAGCTAAAAAAATAAAAAATAAATAAAAAAACCGTCCGCCCGCCCCATGTTTTTCAAAAAATCTGATGAAAAACTGAAAATTTTATTTAATGGGCCTAAAAGAGTTATTTCTACAGTATAACGACACGTATTTCTACGGCGAGCTTTCGAGCTGCGAAGTGAAGTGGGCCTCGCGAATGACTTTGTAAGTGAAAATGCGAGGTTAATTTATTTGCTGTGACAAAAAGTGAAGCAATTAACACTGAGACATTTGATCATATTTCTTGTGCCGGAGTTTGCTGTTATGGGCGTGGGGGCTTTTGCTCCATCAAACTTAGCATGCCCCTATTGAAACTACGACCCAGGAAAGATCTCGTTCAGACGTTACTTGTAAGTTTTCAAAACTGCTTCATTTGATGTTCCCGTATCGCATTGACTACTTCATTTAATTTTGATATTTCTTTACATTCTGTAGCATGAAATGATACATGCGTATCTCTTCGTTACAAACAACAACAAGGTAAACAAATTATATCTGTTGATAATTTCCTTTTACTTAGCTAAATCTGATAACTGGCTGTAATATTCATCATAAACTGGGATGGTGCCAGTAACAGTGAGGGTACTAATTTTAAATTAATTGCCCTCAATTTATGTTACCCTCTTAACCATTACCATCTAACGGTCTATAAATTACCTGCTGAATGCAACATAAAAACATGTGATATCTACTTCACTTTTATGACTATATATGACTACTTCTGTTTCTGAATAGTGGAAAAATTAGCTATAGACTTACTTGATTCTGTTACTATAGGACCATAATGCTCATGGACCAGAATTTCATAAGCATATGAATAGAATTAACAAACAGAGTGGCGCCAACATCACGGTAAATATCTTTTATTAATGCATGGTGTTTCATAAGTGTTACCTCCCAATGCAAGATTACTAGCTGTAAAATGCAATGCAGTGTCTCACTTTTTCTGAATTTTTTTTACCAGGTTCGTCACAATTTCCATGATGAGGTTAGATTATCATTTTGCTTGTTTTTCACAACTGAAATTACACCATTATTGAGTTACTTTTCTCTTTACAGGTTAAATTCTACAGGCGGCATAAATGGCGCTGTGATGGGCCCTGTCAACATCGTCCACCATACTACGGTGTGGTGCGACGAGCAACAGACAGGGCTCCATCACAGCATGACCATTGGTGGTCCGACCACCAACGAACATGTGGTGGGACATACCACAAGGTATGTGAGCCAGAGGGACTATAAGAGAAAAAAGACTACCTTTGCTGGAAACACTCCTATCCTGCTGAGTACCAATCAATCCAAAGCCATCTCTTTTGATATTAATGAAAATGATTTTGTACAGGACAAAAATTTTGCCACAGACGAAAGTTCAGAGACTGTGCTTCCTACTGGCTTGCAATTTTCAAACAAGGATGGAAAATCAAGGAGTTCATCAAAATCAAAGAAGGAGAATCAAAGAGTTGGGAGTTCTACTCGAACTGTTAGCAAAAATGAAAGACAAAGCAATCATTCGGAAAGCCAGATAACCATTGTCGATTCCTTCAAAAAAATCCCTCTCCATGTAACTCGGAAGACGACACCAAACGCAACAACGAAACCACCAGTCCCTGTGGTTGTAATTCCGGACACGTTTGTTAAATGTCCTGTGTGTCGTGACAAAGTTGAAGAAGACAAAATAAATACACACTTAGACGATTGTTTGTTGCCATAGCAAATTAACAAATTGCAAATTACAATAAATAATAAATTAACAGTGGCGTAGCCAGCCCAGCGACCGTTAGTTAGAATTTATTACCTCTGCCTCTGGGTTTATATGTGTGTCAGTTCTCTTAGTTGATTTAAGGTCATTGTATACTGTTGTAAGTTCAGGTTTTATGTCCTTCAATTCTTTCACCCAATTAGCCAATACATCTACCTTATGAATAATAGTTTTCAAAGATTGTGGCAATCGATTTATCGATCGAGCCATAATACACGTCCTAATTATGCGCCTCATTACGCATTCAGTGACCAGGAAAAGCAAGACAAACTTTTGTTCATTTCTCGTTCAATTTAACTAAATTCAACCAAATTTTAATCACTTCTTCCTTTGGCAATGGGAAATGCATTCCTAAAATTTTGTACGATTATATTCGGTATATTTTGAGTTATCGTGCTCACAGACAAACACACACACATACATACCACAATAAAAGCCCAAAAGCCAAGAAACTCTCAACTCCGAAAATACCAAATTGAAAGAACATGTCAAAGAGCTAAAAAAAGTTCTTCGACTTCGATAACATTTAAAAACACTCACAAATCAAATTTCTCCCACAAATCAAATGAATAAAAGCGTGAATTTTCCGTATTTTCTCATTCTAGAATACACTCATACCATATTCAAATAATTCAATACACAATTTAACCATATGATTTAACTAGGTGCATTAACATCACGACAGTTCTCACGTAAAAAGATACGACAAAACACAAATTTGTCAGTGTTGAATATGCTCGAATTGCGCTCGCGTCGAATGCAATTATGAAATAGTGAATCAACAATATGATAAACCTCATTCGACTTCATTGTCTTAATTGTATTTCACTCGACCGAAATTCAAAATATAAAACAAGGATTACATTGCGTTCAGCAAAGTGCTACCCCATTCCGAGTAGCGAGCGAAGGTATGCAGTCTCTGAGTATGTGCCAGTCTTGTCTCCCAAGAGTTGTGGTGCACAGCTTTGGCTAATTTTCCGATGCGCGATTCGATTTCGCTCGCATGATACGGCAATTCCTCCAAGAGGAACAAATAACTGACCGTTGTTTTCATGCTGTTCGATTAAGTTTAGATTGAATTGGGGTAAAAATATATTTAATACATGTAGATTCTGGTCCTATTTAATAATATCGCTGCTATTTCGCCGTTTAACAAGATGATGTGGTCGTGTATGGGCGCGTTGACACGTCGTAGTTTGCACAGGATTGAAGATTTAATATAACTATATAAGCACGAAATTCCAAAGGCAAAGTGTAAGACAAAGCGAATGTATCATGCGGTTTATTTACATTTTTGAACAATTAAACTTCTATACTTTTTAAAGTACGATGTGCTTCTGAATTTCGCGATCGAACAACATTTAGGTTCGCAAGGCATCTAAATAAAAATGAACTGTATTGTTTATGTTCAGAAACTTTATATTGAACTACACACCTAAAAATATCACATCTTGTTGACAACTTGTTAGCTCAACAAGCTTGTAGCAAGCTTGTTGACAAGTTGTAACAAGCTTGTTGAGACAACAGGTTGTAGCAAGCTTGTTGACATCAAGCTTGCTACAACTTGTTGGCTTGCAGACTTGTAGCAAGTTGTTGGAACAACTTGTTCCAAGCTTGTCGACAACAAGCTGTACCAAGCTTGTTGGAGCAACTTGTTGACAAGTTGTTATAGTCATCAAGTTGTAACAAGCCTGTCACAACAAGCTTGTACGAAGGGTACGCGTGACAATGCTGTACACGCGTAAAAACGCACAAGTTGTAACAAGTCTGCAGCAGAGTTGTTACAAGTCTGTCCACAAGCTTGCAACAAGATTTATTCGCACCGCTTGCTCCAATTTGTTGTAACAAGTTTGGGACAAGTTGTTAACAACTTGTAGCAAGTCCGATGGCATTATCAGACTTGTTGCAAGATTGTTCTGACAAGTCTTATCAGATATGATACAACAACATTGCTACGAACTTGACAGAAAAGGATTGTAGCAATATTGTTGCATCATGTTTGTACCAGACTTGTTGCAACAGCCATGTAGCAAGTCTTTTGATTCAACAAGTTTGTTACAACTTGTTATGTAACAATATCATATCTTGTAGCAACAAGACAGTTCCAACAGTTGAAGACTTGCACGTGCGCGGCACGCCGGAGTTAACGCCAGAACAGGCGTCTTGTTTGAACATATGGTTTGAATAAAATTGAAAGCGCTTTGTACTTTCAACGCATCGTAGCGTAATCTTTTGTTAATTTGGGCGGTCATTAGTCGAATATGCCTAAAGCGCTTCAGTATGATCGCTTTCAAACGTACTGCATAGGCATAATTAGGATTGACAACTTGAAGTAAACGATATAAAAAAAAATTAAGAAAACAATAACAATGCTGTCATACCTTGCGTAGAATGCGTTTCTTAAGAACTGTTTTCCGGTAGGATTACTAAACAACTAACGTACAGTACCCATGCAACCACAGCCATAATTTTTCACGTCGAACTATTATTTCATTTAGCGGACAATGAAGGATTGATGAAAAGTTTACCTCCACCAACAACCTTGGAACATATCATTTCATCCACGTTTATTAGGAAACATTTAACGAAGAATGTTCAATCAAATGATACACTGGATCATTCTGTAAGTTTCTGTAAATCTAAGCGTCAAATTGATCTTTATTCCCGTCGCAAATATTCTCAGCAATAAAGTCTATGAATTTTTATACCAACAGGTCGAAAAACCGGAATTAAATTGCAAAGTGACGAAATCTGAAATTGTTGCAAAATCTGGTAAATTAAAGATTTCTCAAAGTCGTAATTAAAATCGTCTTCCTAGAGGTCCAGTAAGGATCATCTCTTATTGATCCAGTGTTACTACAGGAGGAAACCTAAACTAAACTAACTTTATTTATACTGGATAGATCTATCAGTTCTAAACTGTTCTTCCTAGAGGTCCAGTAAGGATCATCTCTTATTGATCCAGTGTTACTACAGGAGGAAACCTAAACTAAACTAACTTTAAAAATACTAGTAAAGGCGGTGTTGACAGGCCTATCAGTTCTGAACTGTATCTTCCAAAGGTTACTATTTTGGATCGACTTTTTTAGTTCACACACTGGCCCCAGAAGATATCAGTGTGGTGGCGTCGCTTGGTGATTCTCTTATGGTAAGCTATTGTATATATAAGCATAACGGTTTGGTGTTTTGAAAGTATTGATTTTGATCGCGAATATAAAATTGAATTAAACATTACACTGCACGTCTTTCAGATCGGACTGGGAGCAGATACCACAACAATGGCTCGTTTTTTCACAGAGTTCCGTGGAATATCGTGGAGGTAACTGTATTTACCAGTCTAAATAGTTTGGCGATTCAAATCTACAATGATCTGTCCGTGAATATAACCGATTCCGAAACAAATTTCAAAAACAAAGCAACAGTTTACGACAGAACGTAATACATCAGCAAAAATATAACCATATAAATATAACTATAAATGATCTTTTCTTTTAACCTTCACCTACCATTTCTCTTCACTGTTCAAATGCTGGAAAGGCCTATTTCAAGTCTTGCCTAGATAGAACTAAAAAACTAGAATGATCTCAGTTCGCTGTGATTATCATTGCTTTGTCATCGAGGTTAAATGTTGGTAGTCTTCGGTATCATCTCGACGATCAAGCTCATTCAATTCAGCATACAAAGATGATGAAGGAGCCGACGATGGTTTGGTTGTCGCTGAGGACGGTGGTGATGGCGTTGTATTTGAGGGAAAAGATGGAGGTGTTGACTGGAGTGAAATTTGTTGACTGCAAGGTGTTGACTGGAGTGATATCTCTGGCGAGTTTGGTGGCGGTGTCTTTGATGGTAGAGGTGGTGGAACTGGGAATCTTCGATTTTCATTTTTGGTGGTATTAGTGGTACGAACTGGTTTGGTCAATGAACATGTTGGTATCACTAGTGATTTCACTGGTAACGGTTCTGATGGTGAATCTGGAGGTGATAACGCGGGAACAACAGTTGACCTGGCTGTTGGGATTCCTGGAGAAGGTGTTCTTGATGGTAGCGCTGATGACAACGAACTTGGTGGTGGTATATTCGGTGATGGTGGTGGTGTAGGACGAGACGACGAGGAACATGATGGATTGTCTTTACTTTGTAAGAACTCGAAATCTATTTCTGGAAGTTGATAATTTGAAACACGCTTCATTTCTTCCCTACACAATTGCAAAGATGAAGCGGTTATGATGGATGCAGATGGTTCACTTGGATTTTCTTGCTTTCTGGGAACTTTATATCCATTTCTTGGAACTGTTGATTTGACTGATTTTGGCTCATCTTAGGTGATGATGTTTGGGGTATTGACGTCGCAGTTGGAATAATATCTATTGATGGTACGAACTCAGTAGCTTCGCAATCGCGTAAGTTTTTTGTGTTTTCACTTGAAACGTTCGTATATTCTTTAGGTTGATTGTAGTCGGAAGGTGGTTGCGATGATTTTGATGCTGGTGTTTGATCGGTTGTTCTGGGGGTAGAGTGTGGCGGTTGTGGTGTCTGGTAGTGTGGTGGTCCTTTAGGTTCTCGTGATTTTGATTGAGGTTTCGTATATCGGGGTGGTTTCGTTAGTGCCACTTTGGGCCTTGATGGAAGGGGTGACCTACTATCCTGGGTACAACCATTGTAAGTAGGCTTAGGCTCTTGGTAGTTTTCTGGTGAACTGACCTGGTCTTTGCGGGAGATTTCCTGCTGGTTTTCGTAAAGTTCTGGTTCAAATGCTGTTGGTTCCGGTCTAGGATGTTGATAGCTTCCTGTCCCGGTGGATGCATCAAACTCTGATCCCCAACCATGCTCCTGCAACCCTGATGCACCATCATTACCTCCATCTATCCCACCACAGTTATTGTAGATGGGTTCGTCGGCAGGCCTCGGATGTTGATAATCTCCTAGGTTACTGGATTCTCCATGAAACTCAAACACACTGACTTGGGATTCCATCGAATCAGACCTAATGAGAAAGGCAGTAAAAATGGACGGTTGCATATTGAATTTGCACTTTTGAGATATGCGTAATCAGCGCAGTAAAAATGCATAATTTGCGCAATAGAAATACGCACAATTTGCGCCTCAGGTGATACGATAATGCTCAAAAATATAAAAAATGCAATTCGTTATTCGCGCCTTCGTTTAACACAGCGTACCCTAATTGTGGCTTGAAGATTCCGGTTTCTTCAGATGTGTCATCCCACGACCGCTGGTCTGGTAGTTCCTCGTAGAAAGGATTGAAATCGCCTCCATTTTGCATCTCGAGTGCCTCTCTGGACTCGGAGTTTGCGGCGACGTGTCTAACATGTTCACATCGCCTGCAATACCAGTTTAACAAACACGCGAGGAGCGCGGCGATTACTAAACCACTAGCGAACGAGCACACGACAACATACCAATCCCGGTCGTAGTTCACACACTTGCATCTCCCTGAAAAACCACACGATTTCACCACAATCTTTGGACGAACAAAAATATAGGCGCGAATGTCAAGACTATAGTTTTCAAATGGCACCGAAGGTGTATCGCTGATGTGTATTGTTTATAATCGGTGAATTATTCAAAATAACAATTAAAGTAATTTATTACAGTGAGTACACAGAAAAGCCATCACCGACTATCGGTGACTTATGAGCACAAGGTTTTAATATACTGTGGTTTATGTGAGAAAATGACGGACTGTCGTGGATATGATCGGCAAAATAGGGAAATTTTCACGTTTGGATAAAATTAACTGAAACCTCCGGTAATCTAAACCCGGTTAAATTAATATATCAATATTTTAGCATAGGTAAGTTAGTGAGTTCTGGTTCATGACAGGCTTGCTTGGAACACCCGCTTAGAAATACTCGATATTTCGGGGGTTTCCTCAATTTCTCCCCCCTCTCCTTAGACAATATGTGTTTAAAAGTACAGTTCTAAAACTCCTTAATTATGTCAGACAATATGTGTTTAGAAGTACAGTTCTAAAATTAACGCTTGCGTAATTTTGCGGGGTTTCTGTAAAAAATATTGACTGCTCACCTTCAACCGAACATGATAATAATGTGATGCTGAGAAAATGAGCAGCGACACGGGTTGAAATGTCCTTCATCATATTCGCTTTTTGCTTTCAACTTTCCTGCAACAGATGTTCCCCTCAGTATCTATAGCGAGCGCAGTTCCCTGACATAATGAAAACATAAGAAGCGAATTTTGCATAAAGGAAACAAACATATATGAAAGCGGTGCGTTTTTGACGTCAGTTGCAATAAATAGATTCGAACCAATATTGATACACTCATTACAGCTCAGCGATTTTACTTGTCATCTCCTAGAAAAGGCCAGTCTTTGCCCGACGCATGCAATTTTGATTGTTTTTGTATACTCGGCCAGGGAAAATATCGTATTTTAAAAAAAGGACAGATATATTTACTTGTAACAATAATAGGCAATTTTGGCAATATGGGGACTATACGACACAAAGGCAGCGGCCAGTGTGTTTAGAGGCACTGCGGTATAGTTGCCCGACTTGCCTCTGGCTTTCCTTCATGAAAACGTGCTCGACGAAGTTCCCCATGCACTAAAAATGAAGTCGCTTCTACGACTTTAATTTTGAAACTTTTCCCATAGAATATTATTGAGATAATTTGGTATTTTATAAATGTGCGTGCGAATAATTCTTCCCAATGGAGAACGGTCGATCCTTGAAAGCGTAAACTATATCTCAAGTGGATGACACACATCAACTTAATTTTTATATAAACATAGGATATTCATTGAATGACAGACAACAAAGCCTACCTTATGCTAATACGAGATAAAACAGCGACGCTCTTTACTTAGATAAAGCTTGGCCGGCTTGCTTGGCATAGCATATGTTCTATGTAGCTTATCTGACTCTGGAGTCACAATACTTTATACTTAGTACAGAAAGGCGGATGGGGTAGGTGCATGGGGAGAGGGGGCTGTGGCAGTGATGAGCGGAAGTGGGATGAGGGGGATTAAAAATAAAATCAATACCAGATTCTATGGAGTAGTATGTTGAAGAGATAGACTTAACTATGTTGGAGAACTACGAAATTTGGGGGAAAAGGGTTGGTAAAAATACAACTCGGAGTAAGGAGTCGTCTCTTAATGAGGTCATATCTGTTTTTCAGTAATGGCGGAGATGCGAGTATTGAAGACGTTTTAACGCTGCCCAGTAAGTGAATGATAAACTATCTTGATAATCTAAAGACCTTGTTTAAAGATCTTGTTCACAAAGATCAGTTAATGTGATTCGTTAATTTGTTTATGAATCGTATTAAAACGTTCGTTTTCTCAACTTGAAGATTTGCTAAAGAAATTTAATCCGAAATTGAGAGGATACTCAACGAACACAGCCAGACACTACCAGAAAAATTCTGGACTTAATTTGGCAACCGTTTCTGCTACATCCAGGTTTGCAAATAGATCTTTTGGCACTTTTACCTATGAAGTGTCTCCCTCAGAAGTGTCTAAATACATTTTCCCTTTGCAGGCATTTGGAAGCACAAGCACACCAACTTATATCTCAAGTGAAACGGGATAAGGTCAATAGAGTTACTTTACACACTTTTAGCAGCAGTCGATATCTGCTCACAGATTCATTAATCATCCTTCTGAAGTGCAGATTGTAAAGAACTCTTTATTTGTATGTACTCTGTAGAAAATTGATTTCAAGAACGATTGGAAGCTAGTTAATATTATGTCTGGCTCGAGAGATCTCTGTAGGCTGTGTGGAAACCTGGTAATTTTTTTAAAATGAGAATCTCTTCTCGGTTAAATTGAGCAGAATAATTTTTCGGTTAATTCTAATAATTATTATAGGATGAAATAACTCCTGATATTTACATCGAATCTCTGGTCAAGACGTTGGACACGTTGCAGATGAAAGTAGGTTTAATTTTTTGCTGACGAATAAAATGAACTGTTGTCGCATTGTATTGTATTTAGTCGTGAAATACATCGTGTTTCGGCCTTTTTCAGCTGCCTAAGACTTTTGTAAACCTCATTCTGCCGTTGAACGTTTCATCACTCTTCGCTTTGAATGTTCCTGGGCAGTGCAGGATTGGAAACTGGTAAGTTTGTAGTTGAAGATTATCAATATCATACCACTCCATGCATGCATCCATACAGTTCTCATAAGGACACATCTTTTTTCCAGGTCTATATGCCCTTGCTTGAGAGATAAATTCACGAACGAGAGAATCTCACATTTTTACGAAGGGTACAAAGTAAGATCTGAGGAAATGTCTGCTTTGATTTTTTCAATGAAAAACAGCAGCCCAGGTAATCGAGTCCGATTTAAGTTAAAATTAACGAATAAAATTGTTTGTTTAGAGTCTTGTTTACGAGTTGATTGAGAGTGGTGTTTACGACAGATCAGACGATTTTACCGTTGTTATTCAACCAGTTTTTGAAGATCTCTCCTTGCACGTCTCTGAGGTAACGTTTCAAAATATGGCATAAACTAAACTAACTTTACAGTTTATACTGGTTCTATGGATAGCTTAATCAGTTATAAAATCCTCATTCCTTGTTTTCTTCATATTTCTACAGAATCGTGAGCTGTTTTCATTGGATTGTCTCCATTTATCTGCGAAAGGAAATGCAATGGCAGCTGCTGCCTTGTGGAACAATATGGTGAGTCGTAAAACCTGCTTTTTGTAACAAGTCAATACGATTTGTCCCATTTTGATAACGTTTTCATTGTTTGAAGTTTTGAACGAATGCAAATGACGCATGATTATTATTCAATTTATGGCAACTATCCTTCATTTTATTCAATTCATTTTCATGCATATAGTTTGAACCGATCAACAAGAAACACTCAAGATGGCCGAAACAACAAAATATACAATGTCCTACGAAGGTGCCATTGTCTTTCTTTTAATTCAAAAGTGAACATTCTTTATCAATCTTTCGTGTAATTTTTCTGCACTCTTTTTTAGGATTTGCCATATTTTTCGACAAAGCTGAACAGCATGAATGATTCCAATCATCACGAGGCAGAGGACAGCAAACACGAAATATCTCCAGGAATTATTATCGCTGTTACAATGGCGGTCATTTTTGCTTTCACTATATTTGCTGCCTTCGTTTATTTAAAAAACAAACTACGAACTCCGATTACTAAACTGAAGTTTAGTACAAAACCTTGGCTGAAATACAGTATTTAGCGAAATAATAGGAGCATACATTTTATAACAATATTGAAGTGGTATTTTGTATGATAAATATTTAAAAACTCGTCTATATCTTCGAACAGTGAAAGTGGCAGTGAAAGCTATTCTAACAAGATAAATATATATTTTAAGACATTTATTTTGCTAATTGTAATCCTAAAAATCAATTGAAATAAATATATTAAAAGTTTGAAGTGGAAAATCAATGTCTATTAACTATTTATATGTGTGTTTAAAATTTTTTAAACAGCAAAGTATAACTAAACTACGTACAGGCAGGCTACGAATTCTAGCTTGGTAGGTGCTATAAGAAGATCTCTGAACTAAATTTACTCATTTGCACAAAATATTTAAAGTATTTCACCATTGAATGAGTGTATTTAAGTAACCGCATATCCTTACAATTCACCTTCGTCTTTTTCATTCTCGTTTGTTCCAACGTCATCAATATCATCGTTGTTCACCTCATGACCATAAACAATATTTTTAACAGCATAAAATGAATCTTTAAAGCTTCCTCCAAATATGTGCATCTTATTCATCATGAAATATCCAAACTTTTCAACCACTGTCAGGTTTTCCCACATACTAGCGTTTCTTTTAAAGGCCACTGAAAAATAGGGCAAAATATTCTGAGATTTCCACCACATTTGAGATATCTTTATCGGATAGTTCAGACACAAACCACGACAGCTTATTTTAGTGTAGAATACTACCTACACTAGACCACCACGTTTGAGATATCTTTCCCAGTAGTTCAGACACAAACCACGACAGCTTATTGTAGAATGCTACCTACACTAGACCACCACGTTTGAGATATCTTTCTCAGGTAGTTCAGACACAAACCACGACAGCTTATTGTAGAATACTACCTACACTAGACCACCACGTTTGAGATATCTTTCTCAGGTAGTTCAGACACAAACTACGACAACTTGTTGTAAAATACTACCTAACGCAAACTTGATCAGAAAATAATAATGCAAAAAAACTTACTCCTGTGTTCATTTTCAATGTCTTGCAAGGTGACGTTGTTAGCCAAAGTCGTATTTGTGTACACGTACATCCAGCAAGAGGGCACCTGGGACACTGTATGAACAATGTGGGTATCATTGGAATGTACCGTATGAACCCCATTCTTCTCTAAAGTCACATTGTGTCCCCCTTGTTCCACGATCACTTTTCCCTCGAGAACCGTTATCGATGTGTTCAAATCTTCCTTTACGAAATTTTCCAAATGAAGGCCTGGAAAATCTGCGACAAACACAACTTCTGTATAATTGCTTTTTCTCGACATTTCCTTTTCCATCTCGTTTAGTTTAGTTCTCCAAGGCGAAAGATCGATCATCAATGGCAGAACCCATTCTGTTTTCTTGAACGGCGACCACGGAGCTTTAACGATGTCGACCCTGGGGTCGAACATACGCTGCTGAAACCGCCCGTTCATCGAGCGCCAAATGTCGAAGTATATCGCGGGATTGCTGATGTTGATTGCCGCGTGATCGCGCAGTTTTCTCGCGAGACACGTCGCGTATTGCTTCGTCATATCGGGATGCGAGGACCAGCGTGATCGCCTTCGAGACCGACCACCAATCCACACCTGCAAAAATCGAAGCACCACTGTGTTTGGTAGAGTCAAACTAGAAGCATTCTTCTCACATGTGACTGAGGTGAAAGAATCAAACCTCATTCACAGAGATGAAAGACACATGTACTAACCACTGTGTTTGGTAGAGTCAAACTAGAAGCACTCTTCTCACATGTGACTGAGGTGAAATTATAATCACACAACTGCATATTACAGGAATCAAACCTCAGTCACAGAGATGAAAGACACATGTACTAACCACTGTGTTTGGTAGAGTCAAACTAGAACAAATCTTCTCACATGTGACTGAGGTGAAATTATAATCAGACAACTGCATATTACAGGAATCAAACCTCAGTCACAGAGATGAAAGACACATGTACTAACCACTGTGTTTGGTAGAGTCAAACTAGAACAAATCTTCTCACATGTGACTGAGGTGAAATTATAATCAGACAACTGCATATTACAGGAATCAAACATCAGTCACAGAGATGAAAGACACATGTACTAACCACTGTGTTTGGTAGAGTCAAACTAGAAGCATTCTTCTCACATGTGACTGAGGTGAAATTATAATCAGACAACTGCATATTACAGGAATCAAACCTCAGTCACAGAGATAAGATAGACATGTACTAACCACTGGGTTTGGTAGAGTCAAACTATAGAAGGGCTCCTCTTACATTTGAGGTAAATCATGCATTAACCTCTCTATGCCACAGGCACCCTTTTTAAAGTAATTTGTTTCAAATAACGGTTCTTTGCTCCGCTGAATTTCATACCCCGGGAATGAGAAAGTGCGACATATCTGTTTCAACGTCAACAACTGTAACGCGAATATGTTGTGTGCTCCACGAATGTACCATCATATCCCATGAATACCCGTAAAGTCCGTTTGTCCAAGCATTGTATCCCTAAAGACGAACAAACAGAAATGTAGGTTATATGAGAATGTGAATTTACCATCTATCTTGACAGTCAGGTGAGAATTGAGAGTTTATAATTTTATTTTTGTTATTGTCACACTTTCGATTAATCAAAAATGTTTGTTGCTGAAACCAACCTGTGTGATGAAATGTGACCAGGGTAGAAACAGCTGTACGGCGACGTAACAGCTCGCTAAACCAATCAAAAACGTTTTCCTAATGTATACATAACGTTCCTCGCATTCGTCAGCCGGTTGCTCAGCAACTGCATTCCTATTTTGAAGCTTTCCCGTTGTAAAGCGTGCGTCCCCTTTGGGATCATCTTGTAGCGGGAGAAAGTACACGAAACAGGCAGGCATCGCGCGGGACAAACGTCTTGGCCAATCACAACGAAGGAAGAAAGGCATCGTCGCGAGCATGGCCCACGGAAACATCCCGATGTGAAACATTTGGGAATTCATCAGATGAAACATGGACCCAAAAAATAGACCTACAGGTCGTGTTTTATCAAACAGCAAGAGAAATCCTTCCGAGAGGTCGAACATTAATCCACAAATATGAACCATGAATAATTCGATAAACTCGTCAGACGCAAACATGCGAAATGGATCGAAAACCCATTTTTTGGACAGCCCAGTCATGGAGTAGCCTGAAATCCAGTCCATGTCTAATTTCTTGACTCCAGCGAAAAAGTAGACCAGGAAAATCTGAAAAATAATGGAGCGATGTTACGATGGGCTAGCAAACTCATCAAGGGTTGGTTGTACAAAACTAGTTTGAATTTAAGCGGTTGATAAGCCAATAAAAAAGGACACTTTCATACATGTTGTGGACGACTGATATGTTACATGTGTAGTTGTAAACACTGTCGTTTGCATTCATATTGAAAATCTTTCGTTTTCCGCTGTGATAAATGTGCAAACTTGCCTTTTTTTTCGAGTGTATCCACCGTTTAGCTCCATGCATCGGTTGTAAACAAAGTCAAAACCAATGTTCATATAGCTCTATCAGTTTTCAACTGTTTCTCGCATACAGTCTTTGTATATATTCGATAAATAACTAGATTGGATAGATTTATTTCTGTGTTTCTAAATGAACATAAGGGTTTTGCATTTTCTTCCAAATTTCCTTTCTTTTCTCATACCTGTAGTTAATTTAAACATAATTTACCCTATGTAGATTAATTGACCATTGCAATGAACACGAACAATTTTCTGCATCTTTATCTTACCTCATTCAAGAATGTCAACAGATCCGATATCGTATCCATAAGAAACAACCTTTTTAACCTTTTTAATGGTGACATTTTTTACCCGCTCGAATTATGGCCATCTCAATATCAATTTTTATTTTGGAAGAAACCTCTTACCGACACAGATACTTTTAAACTTTTTTTATTCCTTATTGGTAATGGCGCATCACCTAATTACACAGCAGAATGGATTTTAAGTTCAACATCATGGTCAACTAAAAGAACGGCAGAAAAGAGAGCCAGACAACTTGATTTTATTTTTAATAATATAGATAATCACGGACATAGATGGTTTTATTTTGATATACATTGGGGAACTTGGTATTTTATGAATGGTTTACAAAGACAAATTAATCTCTAAGTTTTTGCACTCACCATTTATTTCCATATTTTCAATATTATTGTTTAAATTTCTTCTAAAAAGAAAATAATATTACACATCAATTAAATTTTATTGTTTCTATACGGTATAGCTAGGTGGGTTTCTATATGGTTCAGTATGATGATTGCATATATATGCTTTTTAAGAACGAGGCAGTAGTGTGCTGCATTTTTTGCAGAAGTCGCTCCCTCATTTACATGACTATTTTGACTAATACTAATACAACTATATGACGTACAACTGACTTTACTTTACCACTTTTGTGGATAGAAACCCTATATATGGCATAGGGATTCTTAGAACTAGTAATTATTGCCACATAGATTGCTAGTGATCTACTGATTTTTTGTATATTCATTATACAATATTTATTTCATAAAGCAAAAAAATATATATTGCATCTACAGTAGAGATGCATATTTTTTGGTTCTAGTCAAATCTATGTATGGTTTTACTATGTTCAAACTGACAGACTTTAATTTTTATTTTTATTTTATTTTCTCAATTTTTCATGTGATCCATATAGATTTACCAAATGGCTAGAAGAAACAGCACTATTCGAAAAATTTTGAAACGGAAACGTTTGAATAACCCAGATATTTTAACGCAACCCACCTACAATAAGGATAATCCATCTTTGAAGGCTACATCTGCTAAAGAAAATAGAAAGAAACGGAAAAGAATTAAGTACAAACAAAAATTAAAACAAAATAAGCATAAGAAAACCAACCCCCCTAAACCTACTTATTATTCAAAGAAAACTTGGATCAGAGGTATGAAATCGCATAAAAACCTGACACCATTACAAAAGAGAAATTTACTCAAAATTCACAACTTAGAAAAAATTTTAGAATCGAACTATACATGCCTGTACCACCTTCAACTATCCATAGATCAAGTCATTTATAAAAATGCCGATGCTAATGTGTCCACTACTAATTCCACCAAATCCGAACAAATTGAATATAAACAGTATTCAATTAGACATAGCATTGTTAGAAAAAAGAATAGATCAAATGAAAAACGAAGTAATACAGACCGAGAAGAGCAAAATCAAAGATATAAAAGAAAAGGCACCCCTCAAAAGATCAATCACACAACGCATTCATAAAATTAATAAATCTTTATCTACATTCAATGGTTTCATACAAACAGGTCAATTATTACTAAGAATGGTTTAGCATCAAAGCTTAAAAATAAAGTTAATGATGAAAGGAAAACCTTTACCGTCAAAGAAAAAATGAAAACATTACATACGAACAAAATTCATAATTTCACTGATATCACCTTACCTTTGGGCGTTACCAGCATCCTTAACAAAGGCACCAATTTCATACCAACCTCTACTAACCTTAATCCTGCATCACTTAAAGATTCCACCTATAAAGAAGTTAAAGATGCCCTCAACAATATTATCTTAAAACAACCTACAGATTATAACACTGTCCATAAAAGGAAGAAATCAACTGGTAAAAAGAAAAGTCACAATATCAACAACATCGATACCAATCCTTTCTCCCTCTTAGATCAACAGCAAGGAAGACCTAATTTCAATCAATACCTTATAGATTATGTACATCAAACGCTTACACTAAAGAATACCTTGACGACACAAATTTCTCTAGGTTATCTCAACTGAATATGCTTAACATAGATCAACATACCTCACTGCAACTGTATGATATACAATGCAATCAAGACATAGTCATCACACAGTCGGATAAAAATATGGGTTGGGCTCTTCTACCAATATCCTGGTACATCAATGAATACGCAAGACACCTGAAAGATGCTAACATTTACAAGATTATTGAAGATTTTAATCTGGATTTACACACCACAGAATGCAACGCAATACTTGGAAAATTAAAATCTCGTTTCAACAATCTAGTCTCGATGATGACAAAGCTCTACTCAACCCTCTTTCCTCTACAAATATTCAATTACCTTACATGAAATTGCTCCCTAAAGTACATAAACTCTCTTCTATTGCCTCTTCTTCTAACCTATCCTCTCTTACTGGTAGACCTATAATCACCGCACACTCTTGGTCCACTTCAAATATCTCTAAATTGTTAGGCCTACATTTGGATAGCATCATTTTGAAATTTAAAGATCTCTTTGTCTCTAAACACATTCACTTTCCACTTATTTACAACTCCTTAGAGCTTGTTGAAATTCTATGTCAACATCCTATTTATAATATCAATAATTATAAATTGATATCCTTTGATTTCTCTTCTCTCTACACCAACATATCTTTTCAAGATACTATAAATGCTATTGTTAATAGTTGTAAATTACTTAAATTATCTACTTTTTACAGAGATTTCCTACTTAATATCAACCAATTTCTAAATGATAGAAACTTTTTTACTGTAGGAGGTCACATTTTTAAGCAAATTCATGGGATCGCAATGGGTAGTTACCATAGTAGACAAATGGCAGATCTAGTGCTACTATTATCTGAATTCAATTTTTTCTTATCAACATGCACTTATGGCTTACATGTATTTGCACGATACATAGATGATGGCTTCATGTTAACCAATCACACTGATGCAAACCTCTTAATTAATTCTCTTATCACTTACTATCCTCGTCAAATTCCAATTTCTTTCAATTGCAACTCTTATTCTACTCACTATTTAGATCTTACAATTTCAATCAATTATCATACAATCCTTTTCAATCTCATCCATTATCAGATCTATCAAAAACCTAATCATAAATATATGTATCCACACTATACCTCCAATCATCCTAGTCATATTTTCAAAGGGCTTGTTACCACAGAAACAATCCGATACAGCAGATTATCCGCCACCATCGACGACTACAACTTTATGTTAAACCTATTCACATTCCGACTCACCTCTCTTGGCTACCCTCTGGAACTCATCAAACGAAATACCTTCCCTTTTATGACTTTGAACAAGCATATGCAGAAGAAGACCAATCAACTACAAAAAAAGAAGACACCGGCAATCCATTATAATATAAGATTTAATAAGCATGCTAGAGACAAGATTGTACAACACATCCTACATATAATACCAATAAACATATCCCTAGTCTCAAGAAAACCTATTGTAATGCTAAAAAATTGAACACACTTTTGTTAACCAACAAAAAATTACATGGTAAATTAATTAATTATTAATGTTTATAGATTTGCATATACAAAGAACGAGTTATTATATGCATATTTCAATATGATCAACCACACCTTATTAGGATACATAGTTTAATCAAGATTGACTTTTGTCCTCTTGAAGTTTTGAGAGAGGTTAACCTATATTAACATATTGAAAAATTTTAGAAATGTCTATAGATATAATTTTATATTAAGAACGAAATATTACTATACATAGTCCAAAATCTTTAATTTTATTATACATTTTCAAGTATTTTATATACCTTTTGAATATACTTAAAATAATCGAAGTTGATCACTGTTAATTGACCTGTAAAATATAATTCGAAGGATGATTGTTATAAAATTGATTTTGCATTGGAGTTACACGGTTTGTTTTCGTTTTTCAAATGAAATCCAACTTGCCTTTTGATCATTTTTTCAAAATAGAACGAGTTGTAAGCAATTTATTTCCTCCGATCGTCCGATTAAAAGAGATTTTGGTTGCTCCGCTGATAGCATTCCATTTAGTTTTCTCCATTGTTATTTTAACGTAACGACGAAACAGTGAACTCTAATAAGACTGGAACGATAACTCAACAATAAAGACTAGTCATTGGATGAAGCCGATTTGAATATAATTTGCTGATTAAGGCGGCAGCCGAGCGAGCAAATCAAGCCTTCAAAAGAACTGGGGAGAGTGAAAATTCCGTAAAAATCGTATTTTTTGGCAAAAAATTGCGAGAAAAGTGCAATTTTTATTTGACCACTTCAACTTTAAACAACGAATTTACCCTTTTTGGATAGACCTAAGTAATCCGCATCATCTTACTGTAAAAACCGGCGAGGTACCAGCTTTGTACTTGAAATATTTAAAGAATTTGAACGGGCCGAAAAAAAACTTCGCCTTCAACTCGCAAAAAAAATAGGTTTGCACCTTTTCACGTTCATAAAACTTGTTTTTTAGTAAATCTAAGTGTCAATGCTTGTTTTAAGCTTTTATTCATGATCAGATAAGAAGGATTTGTGTATAAAAACCGGCGTTGTTTTGGTGGTGTAATTTCAACTCTTGGCCTTCATGGCGGCCATCAGTGCTGGCCAGTGAACTCTAAAAAGACTGGAACGATAACTTGGCCGCCATCTTTGAAGCCAGCACTGATGGCCGCCATGAAGGCCAAGAGTTGAAATTACACCACCAAAACAACGCCGGTTTTTATACACAAATCCTTCTTATCTGATCATGAATAAAAGCTTAAAACAAGCATTGACACTTAGATTTTACTAAAAAACAAGTTTTATGAACGTGAAAAGGTGCAAACCTATTTTTTTTGCGAGTTGAAGGCGAAGTTTTTTTTCGGCCCGTTCAAATTCTTTAAATATTTCAAGTACAAAGCTGGTACCTCGCCGGTTTTTACAGTAAGATGATGCGGATTACTTAGGTCTATCCAAAAAGGGTAAATTCGTTGTTTAAAGTTGAAGTGGTCAAATAAAAATTGCACTTTTCTCGCAATTTTTTGCCAAAAAATACGATTTTTACGGAATTTTCACTCTCCCCAGTTCTTTTGAAGGCTTGATTTGCTCGCTCGGCTGCCGCCTTAATCAGCAAATTATATTCAAATCGGCTTCATCCAATGACTAGTCTTTATTGTTGAGTTATCGTTCCAGTCTTATTAGAGTTCACTGGTGCTGGCTTCAAAGATGGCGGCCAAGTTATCGTTCCAGTCTTTTTAGAGTTCACTGCGACGAAACCGTAAGCGTTTGCGTGATTTTGGCGTTACCATGGCAACAACGTTTTGTTATAACGCGCGAAAAGTTTGAACTTTTGTTGACGACCAACCGGGAGTTTACTTTATGTAAGTTTTTTTCATGTTTTTCGCATATTTAATTTATTTTAATAGATATAGAGAGTGTATAATTCGATCAATTTCATCATTGTATGATTTTTTCGGAGATTTGCCGGATTTTTTATGGTTTTTTGCGAGTTTTGAAGTTCGTTTTTTTTTTGCGGATTTGTTTTTTTGTGATATTCATTTAAGCACAGCCACAATTGTACACTAAAACTCAATATATAGACTGAAATTTGGTTTTATTACATTAAAATAGTATTAGTGATAAATACGTTATAATATTATAAAGATAGATATGAATATATAAGCGTATTAATACAATTTTTAGAGCGGTTTGAGTGTTTCCTATTATGTACACTTTTTGTTTTCATTTGTAATTCCTTCTTAATATATCAAATCTCTTTCTATTCACTATGCATAAACGGGCGTGTCGTTCCAAGATCCGCCGGTGGATTAGAAACACGCCTCCCTGTCGTGCTTGGAACCTGAAGACATCACGACTCTGTTTTTTTAAAAACAGTTTAGGGCGAGACCATACAGTAGCTTTACCTTGCAAATACTGTTGGACTTGGTTTACTTCCTAAAGCACCCGGGTTTTGCATTTTCTTCCAAATTTCCTTTCTTTTCTCATACCTGTAGTTAATTTAAACATAATTTACCCTATGTAGATTAATTGACCATTGCAATGAACACGAACAATTTTCTGCATCTTTATCTTACCTCATTCAAGAATGTCAACAGATCCGATATCGTATCCATAAGAAACAACCTTTTTAACCTTTTTAATGGTGACATTTTTTACCCGCTCGAATTATGGCCATCTCAATATCAATTTTTATTTTGGAAGAAACCTCTTACCGACACAGATACTTTTAAACTTTTTTTTATTCCTTATTGGTAATGGCGCATCACCTAATTACACAGCAGAATGGATTTTAAGTTCAACATCATGGTCAACTAAAAGAACGGCAGAAAAGAGAGCCAGACAACTTGATTTTATTTTTTAATATAGATAATCACGGACATAGATGGTTTATTTTGATATACATTGGGGAACTTGGTATTTTATGAATGGTTTACAAAGACAAATTAATCTCTAAGTTTTTGCACTCACCATTTATTTCCATATTTTCAATATTATTCTGTTTAAATTTCTTCTAAAAAGAAAATAATGTTACACATCAATTAAATTTTATTGTTTCTATACGGTATAGCTAGGTGGTTCTATATGGTTCAGTATGATGATTGCATATATATGCTTTTTAAGAACGAGGCAGTAGTGTGCTGCATTTTTTGCAGAAGTCGCTCCCTCATTTACATGACTATTTTGACTAATACTAATACAACTACACCTATATGACGTACAACTGACTTTACTTTACCACTTTTGTGGATAGAAACCCTATATATGGCATAGGGATTCTTAGAACTAGTAATTATTGCCACATAGATTGCTAGTGATCTACTGATTTTTTGTATATTCATTATACAATATTTATTTCATAAAGCAAAAAAATTATATAATAGAATTAAAGGCCTGACCTTAAGATCTACACTTGCGATTTTCACTGCGATTTCAACCGGCCCCAGAGCATTCGTAACTTATTAACTCGTTCACATCTATCAAAAGAAGAAAATCGCACGTAAAATTCGCAAGTTGAAACGAACAAATTGTCAAAGGGTCCAGCTAGTGAAAATACTGCGACGTGGTTAGACAATATGCAACATAACATTAATTTACTCGAGTCTACCGCTTTCTGGCGTATTCGACGGACTCAACCATGGTCGAATCCGCCATTTTCCGGCAGACTCGCCCATGGTCGAATACACCGTTTTCCGGCGGACTCGACCATTAGTGAATAGTATACAATAAAACACGCAATTGTTTAGTATACCAGGAGGCACTTGGTATGCCCAACAGCTATAGGCTATACGCTATCCTTCACGCGGATAGTATGGCGGTTAACGGTTGTACCCGCGCGGCCACTGAATTTGCGACTCTTTATTTCAGACTGTTCACGTTTCGTGATTGCCCTGATTTCAAATGACTATCTTCATTCTAAAGTCTGCAATGAAGAAATTTGTCTATCTATTGCACTTCAACTTCAAGACAAGTGCAAAATCTGGCCGATCGTGATTGAACCGCTTGAAGCAAACATTGATTGGTTAAATATGTTGTCACCTGTAAATTGTTATGACGATAATGGAGAGGGAAAGAATAATTCCATGTCTTTTTTATGTAATCATTTTCTTTTGAATGTGTTTGAAGGTAATTTTCTCATTCATCAATTGCTGAGTGTCGTGCATGTGCAGTTTCCGAAATTTAGGGTTATATAAAAAAATTTCAGCGTTTGTACATTTGACAGGGTGTGATTTGAGTTATAGCTATCAAACCATGAAGCTTTTAAACTGAATTTATTATTTAACTTCTTTTATTATATATAGGTTGTGCAGGAAACTCCATTTTAGCTGAAAATATCCATTTACAAACATGTTTAGAAGAATCTCGATCGTTCTTTTTTGAAGAAGATTTTATTTCTTTGGTTGTTGATGCACCCAGTGAAGTTGTTACAAAGAAAGGAGACGGCACCTCGACGTTTTTACCAAAAGATCAAAGTTGCAATGTGGACATTTACATTATCTGTTCTTCAGAAGATATTGATTCCTGTTCCCTGCTAAAAAATATCATTACGTCGCAAAATGGATCGCAATATACTGTGAAGGTCTCGACAGACGAAAATGCTTCCACTAGGTTAACGTATTTAGACAAAGCTTGGTTAATCATTCCCTTGTTGTCTAGCAGTTTCATGCAATGCCCAGAATTGGTTCATGAACTGAATATCGCCTGGTGTCGTCAAAGAGATTGTTTAAGCTTGTGTTTTCTGGCAATTGTTTTAGAACAGTTACCAAATAATCCAACTTATGTCAGTCTGTTTCCTTGTTTTTTCAACTGCGAAGATGGCCGCTGGGTCAAAGATCGTGAAACGCTTAAGCTATTTCCTTCAGATGAACTAACTCGTGTTTATAAAAGCTGTCAATGCCCTCTTAATGTTGTACTTTGCTTCATGACTGTAGTAGATCATATACAGCAGTGGCATAATGGTAGCCATTGCCTTGTGCTTGGCACACACAACAAATTATTTAATTGTCTTCATTTAAATGCATGCATTCAACAACATAAAGAAGTATCATCAAAGTGTAATGAAGAAGCACAGGAAAAAGAGGTTGTTTCTAGCACTTGTTCAACGAAAGGAAACGATAAGATAACTGATGAGACGGCTCGTGCTGATGATGATGATAATTTGAAGCCATCTGCACCAAATGAATGTCAAAACCAAGATTCGCTTATTTCTAGCACTTCTAATTCTAGAAGTACGACTGCAGAGAAAGATGAAGTACCAACTGAACAAGGCAATGGCGTAGTTCGTGCTGATAATGATGATAGCTGCTTAAGGCCATCTGGAGCAATTGAAAGTCAAAACCACCATTTAGTTTTACCACAAGAAATAAAACATCCTGACAAACCAAGCTCAGATGTGAAAGTGATCGAGTCGCAGCAGATGTCCAATATTGAAAATATTGACAACCATAGTGCTGACGATTTGGGTAAAGAAACATCAGTTAAGAGCAGGCATGAAAAGAGACTGCTTAGAAAGAATGATCTTCCTTTTCGTGTATAGTAATTTGATAATTTCGGTTTGTGAACTTAAATTTGATGGACGCAATTTGAAGATGATTGGGTAGGAAATTGAAGGAGCGAAGAGGGATTGTGTTACTAGGAATTATCAGCACTTTTCTGAGACTGACTTCCTTTTAGTAACAGTATAATACTATTAATAGTAAACACGCAATTATGCATAATTGCTTTTTCCAAATCGGGAACGTTTCATCAAAAACTCATTGACATTACAGAGCTGATTTAGGTATACTCAAGTGAGGCCATCCGATAAACATTGCGAAATCGGAGGTAAATAAAGTCTCGCAATGCAAACTTTTGGCTTCATTCGCGGGTGACTCGCGAGATTACTGCAGATGCAGAGCAAATTTGAAAGCAATTTAATTTTTCGAGTAATTTTTTGTTTGTTTCATGGTTTAAATGTGTTTTTTTATGGAATTATAATGGAATTAATCTTAAATTCAACCAGGTGAACTGTTTTACGAATTACAACTGGAGTTGCCAATCGGATTGGAAACAAATTCTCTCAAACGGAACAAGGTTTACAGCGATGTGCAATTTTGACAACATTATTACGAAACGGATATCCTAAAAGCTAAAATTTCATCGCAAAATACACTTGGTAGACATTGTTTAACATTATAAGTTTAAGTTTATTTAATTCTAAGTTACTAGATGGCAAAAAAAATATTCTTGCATTGTCACGCTAGGCTCTATGCTTTTTCCTTGCAAGTTGCAAAGAACATTCTTTACTCCGTATTTTCAAAAATGGTCCATAATGCATTCTGCTAACATCAAGATGTCTCAGCCGGCTGTAAGCGCTAACAAAATCAGTTATTTAACTCCCAAAAAAAATTTTTCGGGGAGTTTTTATCAAATTTACGAAATCACAAAAAAACATTTTGTTTTGGCCGTGTTTGTTTTTGCGTGTAAAGACTGGGGGTGACTTAGCTTCAACTTCCTGTCAGAAGTATGTCAGAAGGTAGCGTTCCAATATATATTCATTTCACTGAATTACACTGATAGGAATTAATTATGTATTTTGGAAATTGGAACTTGGAAATACTTGAAACTTGTATTCCATTGCAATCTTCTATGCCCCTACTAATTAAAGGTTAAAATATCATGAAATGAGGAATAACATTAATGGTTATGAGGTTGCTGATAGTACAAGACAGAAGGAGGAGCTAACGCTACTTCCTTCTAAATTATCTGGTTGGAACTCAGGCGTACACCAAGCATAATCGAGGGTGCATTCTATGAATTTAATTTACCCAGTACAAATATAAAGTGTGTAATGTACTTGGTTTCAGTTTTGTGTTGATACCTGCTATTGACGCTCTCTGACATGGCAGATTTATCACATGCTGAACAGTATTACAACAGTGGCAAATATTCAGAAGCATATGAAATATATGATGTGCTTTTGAATAACGAACCTCAAAATGTTGACCTTTTGTTAGGCAAAGCAAATTGTTCCACATTCCTCAGCAAATGGCATGACAGTTTGGAGAATATTGAGAAAGCTTTTGTATTGACGAATTTGGATTCTTCAATTGTAAAGACTTTTCTTAACAATTTAATCAAGAACATAAGCACAAAAGCAAGATTGAATGAACACAAAGAGGAAAAGAATTTTGAAGCTAACTTAATATGTGAAATTTGTTATGAGGTGTTATGCTACCCAGTAACACTGTTATGTGGTCACACATTTTGCAGGCAGTGTGTTTTAAGAAGCAAAAAATGTCTCTCCTGCAGTGACCATCTCCTTTTTGAAAAATCTGATCTTTTGAATTTATCTGTTAATGTCGTTTTAACAAGTATTACTGAAAATTGTTTTCAAGCTAAGATGAAGGCTTTTCAATTGAGGTGTGAAGGGAATGAATTTTTTTCCCATGGTCAGTACGAAGCTGCATTGAAGAATTATACAGAAGCATTGCAACTAGGTAAATAATTTTAGGGCATTACGGCAACTTGTATGTGATTACATGGCTTAATTATTACACAATGTCCATTAGGTTGTTAGTGGAATCTTGACAGGTAAAGCTGTCTACCATTTAAACATAACTAAAATGCTATTCACAGTCAATTGCCAGTGATAAAAAGTGTATACAAAACCAGTATGAAACCAGTGAATGCAGTAATTTAAAATTTTTAGATCCCACTAATCATTTAATCCTTGGCAATTTGTCACATGTTTGTACAGCCTTGGAGGACTATAAAGCAGCACTGGATTATGCAGATAGAGCATGTAATATGTCATCTACATGGGAAAAGGTTGGAAATTTTATGTGATCTGCCACTTATGCTTGACCACCATGGCTGGTGCCAATTTTGAAATTCTATTTTGGAAACTGCTTGAATGATCCTGATTTCACTTTCACTAACCCCATTACATGTGGGAGCATCTGAAAAATATTAAGACATTAGCTTATTGATTTTGAGCAACTGAGATAAACTGGTTGTTTCTGATATTCCTGGTTGAACTTAGGACTATTTTTACCAATTTTACCACTGAAAAACTGTATGGCAAATTTTAGGGATATTATCGAAAAGCTCAAGCTCACGTTGGTCTAAAGAATTACTCTCAAGCAACTGTTTCTTATCTCAAGATTCTTCTTATTGATCAACAAAACGACATAGCTCGCAAATCTTTGGAAAAGGTACTGAGAGCAGGTCCTACATCCCCCCCATATTGCCATACCATGAGGCCTAAGAAATTTGTAAAAAAAATTTATGGTCAGTGGTTTTAAGACGTTTTCTATGGTTCACGTCCACGTTTAACAAATACCGGGCCATAGAAAGTGCGGTAAGAGAAAAACTTTAAGAATGATCGTCGAAACATCCTTGTTTTCAATTTTAGGTGTTCGTAGAAATACTAACCAACAGTACAAACTCGGGAAACTCGAGTGCGATTGATGATCTCGCTGCATCTCTGGATGGTTTAATTGAAGGTCATGGAGGTACGGCAATTAATGAAAAGTGTTGATTGAAATTTTAATAATGGAGGGATATTAAATATAGGATGTATTTGATTGTCTACTTTTAGAGAGCGAACAGAAAAATATCGGTTGTTTTGAAGATGTCCAGTCAATTTTATCTGTGAAACTCGGCATAACTGATTTAGAATGCTCTCTATGTTGCCGGTATGTGTCCATATTTTTAAACATTCTGCATTCAATTACAGTAAGCTCTTTTTAGGCGATATATTCCAGCATTACAGATCCATTACTGGATTGCTAGATCACTTGTTCACTTTCTTCTTCATAATTGATCGCTAGATCACTTGATCGCTTTCTTCTTCAAGCAAGCATAGGTTGGCCGAAATATGCTGTGGTACTAATTTACAGGATACAACCTTAGTATGGAGGGAGAACACGGAAGTTCTATCAAACTTACCACGGCATATCTTTGCCTTTAGACATAACTTCACAATAGCCATATCATGGGGATAAATTAGGTTGCAAGAATTTTGAAAATAGCGTGAATTTGTTATAGATTACAGAAATATTAACTGGTGAAGAAACTTCGTTAATAGTTTGAACTTTCCCCTCTCCTAGAACGAGATCGACTTTTTGCGTTCGCTTTCTTTTGAAATACAGACAATCAAGCAAAACTGATGCGATAATATGAGCTTGACTAGAAACACTTCCGAAAAAATCGATTGTGCGACATTTTGCACTGAATGGAAATCCTCGTTTAGTTGTTTGATCAACATCTGATCTATGATCTGATCAACGTTGTTTTAGGATGTTTTATGAGCCAGTCACGTGTCCATGTGGTCACACATTCTGCCAGTGGTGTCTCAACAGATGTTTGGATCACAATCCTGTTTGTCCTGTATGCAGATATTCAATTAATGAGGTAAAGTTTTAGTTAATAATGCAGCTATATGCCGAGCGATTTGTGGGGAGGAAGGGGGAGTTTATTGCCCGAAGCCAGCTCAAACCAGGAGAGAGTTCTCAATACCCTGTCTAAAAGATCACTAGGAGTTCAACTTATTTAAGTTTTTAGTATTTTTGGGGATTCACTTCTACTTCGCTAGACGCGTTTATGCATTTCCATTCCAGGGTAATCCTATTCCGGTCTAATCCATATTTTTAAACTTTGTTTAGTATATCAACAACGAAATTCAAGTACGTTATTCTTCAGCTTAAATTCTCTAATCTAAAAGAATCTTTAGTGAATTTATTTTGGGTAAACTTTTCTCAGTGGAAAAATATCTTGCGTGATTTGATATGTCCCTATATTCAAGAATCCTTAGTCGAAGTGCTTAATCTATATTTTCCTAGAATATTACAAGAAGCATACAAGCTGTTTGTAAAGGATATTTTCCCAAGAAATTTGAGGAACGAAAACGTCAACATGAAGAAGAAGTAGCAAGACTTGCAAGGTTGACTCGACAATGTGAAACTTAAAACGAGCAAATATATATTCAAGGCCGAAAACACCTGCTGGACAAAGTCCGTAATTTGTTGATCATCTGCCATTAGAAAAATAATGGACTTAGTTTTGCTACAACGGCAATAGGATGCGAGCCATACTTTCATATGAGCCGAACTTTGTCTATCTGTCTTATGATTGATTGGAGAAGCCAATGCTTAAAAAAAGATTTTGCTAAAATTGTAAACGTTGGGGATTATTCCAGCCCCGCATAGGAACGAGATTTTCACCATAGGGTGTTTCTAATTCGCCTTTTTTCGTGGCTTTAACTCTTTTTAATGCACTTTTTATATATATATATATATATATATATATATTCGTAAATTCTAACAGTATATGTTCAGGTCAGGTCAGTATAAGTGCAAGTTCACGGGGCACGGCCCAATGCAGTTGTTCTAATAAGATTTTTGATCATTTAGTGTTGCTTCCGATACTGACGAAGACATTCCAATATTTGTGTGTACGTTGGCCATTCCCACAATTCCTTGCAATCTTTGTATATTTGAACCACGGTATCGTCTAATGATCCGGGAATGTATGGTGTCTGGCTCGAGACAGTTTGGCATGTGTTGTCCAAGTGAAAATAACAGGTATTTATGAAGTACTTCGTTCAGTTCGTTGAAAAATACTGCATGTGCTGTTCATACCTTAAAAGAACGCAATATTCTAATTTGCGTATGTCAAGCTGGTTATCCACATTTTTTCAGGATTTCTTCTCGTAGCATCTCGACTTGTGTCGAGTTTGATCTTATTCGCTTAGACGGCCTAGATAAATATCTAAAGCCCAAGTGCATCAACCTCCGACTCTAGCTTTTCCATATGCCTCGTTCTCTAGTTTTCTCTTGTTTCATTGGCTTATTATAATGCGTTTCTACAGTTTCTCAGATTATGGAGTTATGCTAGAAATCGAAGATTTTACTTTGCTACCAGATGGAAAATCTTTTGTCAAGTCAGCGGGAGGAAGACGCTTCAAGGTAACACTAGTGTATAAGTTGAACAAGCGCTTTCAAATGATTTGTTTTTTGCTTTAGGAATAATTCGTATGCGTGTGTATAAAATTTTGATCTGTTTTACTTTGATTTGAGTACAGTTCACAGTATGAATATAAGAAGATGAGATATATTTCTGTTCTGCGTTATGCTTCATGTTGATTTTTTTTAATTACCGGGTGTTTAGGTTTTAAGCCGTGGTGTGAAGAATGGTTATAATACAGCAAAAGTTGAGTGGCTCAAAGATAAATCATTTTCAGAGGAAGAGATAGGTATTTCAGAATTTTTAAGTTTTATTCTGGTTATCCTCCACATGCACCTAAAGAAAGAACAAGAAAAAAAACACATACTACAGAATAAAATTTCGAAACATTACTAATTGCAATTACTGCCTCGAAATTTCTACCAACAAGCATATCTTGCACTCTATCAAGACTATATCATACTGCTTATGTTTTACACACGTCAAGTCACTATCATTTTATATTCTCCTAATACGAGTATACTTAGCTGTAATGTATATTTTTGGAAATCTTCTGTAGAGATTATCAGAAACCGTCAGCAGTCCATCTATGCCGAAATGGTGAACTGGTTCTCATCGATGTCTATATTCGAAAAGGTAAACTGATTTTTTATTGCTTCCAGCCACGACTTCTGACTGGGACCACATCGCCTTTAGGTATCTCCTCCACATGCATGCGCATCTTCCACAGTTCGAGACTCTGATTTCATCGCCCAAAAAATATCTTAACTTTACATTCCAGATACATTTGTTAGCTGAAAATCAAATACCAATGCATCCTCCAGAATGTGATGCTGAGAATATCACTAACCGTAACGGCCCAAACTGGATCTGGTGGTCTTTGCATCTTCTTCCCATGCAACCCGCGATGAAACTTCAAATTATTTCAATGACTGACATACAACAACGTTTGGATAGAATTGAACAATTCTTTCAGAACAACACATGAGTATATACAATGACTTTAGTGGTTGAATATTAAAATTGGTTTAACAACAGCTTTTTGCCAAATAGAGCTATTGTAGCAAAGTCCAATATTTTCAAAGCTGGAGATTTAGTGGTATTGAAAAACCTTAATCACATATCTATACAAATAAAAGAAATTGACTAAGAACTATTATTTGTCCGACAGAGGAAATGTATCGTTATTCATAAAGTAATATATAGTACAATATTTATATGCAAGTAAAAATATCCTGTTTAAAAAATTATTCTAATCCATCAATGACTATCTAATAATATTTCAGTCATGCCTGTTTACTGTAGGCATATATTGTATCATCTCCAACGAAGATCATCATCAATTACTGAAGACAATTTTTGAGATGAAGACAATTGCTAAACTTATTATGTAGACCCCAGATCGAACATTCGCTGCGAGTTATCAAAGATATAACACTCTTTATAGCGTAAACAAAACAACTAATAACCTCCTTAGAAACGTTCATCTCTGTTATCAGATGTTTCCAAGGATCGATTTCCGATGAGTTCTCCCAAAGTTTGTCTTTGCAATGGAAGAAGCAAGGTAATAGATGAGAATAAGTTGGTTTATCTGGAAGATCATCTACAATTATTGACAGAAAACATAACTCCTCAGCGTAACGTTGCCGACACCAAGCGATGTTGAGTTCGTGAAGAAGCTCTTTGCACGACAGGTAGCTCGGGGATAGCAGAGGAATCACTAAACTCGACGTCTCGAGATAAGCCAGGCGTGATGAATTTGATTCCTCCAAAGATTTCTAAATTATCAATGATTGATCCAGCGATATCAGTAACTTACAAAATAATTGGCAGTATTTCGCGTCTTCTTTAGAGCAAATGACGTAAATATCAACATGGTTTGGGACCGACTGACGAGAACGGTTGAATGGTGGACTTTCACTTTCTTGAGATATCATAACTCCACTTGCGATATTTGAAACATGTCCACAATCGAATGTGAGAAGCTTACGAACATCTTCAAGAATTCCTGTAATTCCAGTCTTCTCGTTCTCAACACTCGGACAGTTTGATGCTACATGGAAAGTATTTTAAAAAAATCAATACCAAAGGTGGATTTCTTTCTCGCATTGTACCCTTAGTATACTGACATCAAGGAGTTCGTATGGTTCATTTGTTAGAACATTTATTTTAAGGAACTTTTGTCAAGTGACCAATTATCATAACTGACTATAACCTAACTGTGACAATTATGATGATACCTTGGAAAAGAAATCAGTGTCATCAACTGCCTCATGCACAAATGCACTCGTATATGTTATACACAAATATATGTTATTTTAGGTTTTCGAACAACTAAATATTACCATTAATATCTTTGAGAATGTTTTTACACAGACCACCTATGCCAGGAAAATTTCCAGTTGACGGTTGAACGAAACATTGAACAGGTGAAATCAACTTCAACCACGGCAAATTTTTGCTTAATGGTTCAATCACAACTGGCCAAATTTTTGCAGTTCCTTGGCATTGCAATGCGATAGCAAGGCTGAGTTCTTCAATGCAGACTTTTGAAGAAAGATAATGGCCAGAGATTAATGCAATCATCACCTTGGAACGTTCTGTAAGATAAATAATTTTCTGGCAAAATCTTTCTTGTTTTAAAAAACTTTATTAGTCGCTAAATCTTCCAAATCTAATCCAGCAAAATTTAAAATTGTTGGCTCTCGTTTACACCCAGCAGCAACACTTACCTATAGCTTCATACAAAGCTTGTTGCCAAGCACTGCCCGCCTTAAGTTCAGTCGTGTCAATAAATATATTAATGTCAGGTTGGTAAATGCGAAGTTCTTTTATTACTTGTTTTGCTACATCTTCATTTATATGCGAATATGACATGAATACATCGTAATGTGGTTCAAGAAATGTCAGTCTTTTAGCATCAACGTTGTCAGCGCCATACGACACTATACGTTCAACAACGGTAACACAAGCTTCGCCAATCTTTTCTGCGTCATGTTCCCTACAAGAAAACCGTATCTAATCTTGTTTAATTCAGTCAATTACAATACTACAGTTGGGCTGATGTACGGCAATTAAACGTCCGCAATATCGTGAGGTTACTATTATTATGAGGTACCCAGCAACAATGGTGAAAGATAAAACAGGGAATTTTAGGCAATAACACTAGTATTCAGCGAGCAATGCCATACCTGCAATCAATATACTGAGTTATTCCCATGTACATGGGCATGTATGAAACGTGAGAGAGTAACAATGGAATGAGAAACTTGTGATGTAATTTCCTGTTCAGGCACAACGCGATGTTAAATTGTTCGGAGCAACTTGTCGATTTCAGGTATGCAGGAGTAATTAATGCAACAACACGTTTACAACTTGTTATCGTATCATATAACTGCTGCTGCCAGGATTCATACATGTCTAACTCCTGCAACTTTGAGAATACTTTGATGCTCTTGCTGTTCTTCTGAAGACATTGGATAATGAATTCTGTGCGCCCCTTGTCTTCTTCGCAGTATGATAAATATATGTCGTATTCGCTCAAATGTTCCTACAACAAACAAGAAATGAAGAATAATATAATGATACAACATATAAGATTGTCTTTGAGGAGGAATTAGTAAAATATATACATTGACGCTATAAAGATATTTTTGCACCATGCAGTTCCGCAAGTTTGACTGGTGGACTGTGAAGACCAGTCAGTTTTGAATTGCAGAGACAGGGCGGCTTTGAGCGGACTCCCGCAACTTTTGCATGTATATTCCCACCTTCTGTTTTTCCATTCTTCCTTTCTGGTAACTTTCCTTCATCTTTTTAAAACGTAGTATTAGCTCCGTGTTTTCGTGTTCTCTCTCTAGTAAAACAATCTTTAAACAGCGTAGCGATAACCCTGTCTCAATCCAGTGAATTGCTGCCGTTACGAGCTCCTCAAGCATCTGTTTCTTGGAGAATTTCTGTTGAATTAAAATAAATAAAAAATATCAAAATCAATACGTTGAGTCAGCTAGGTTGATATTATTCAAATCAAATCAGGTGAATTAAATAATGGGTGACAGCGGAGGCAGCCGCCACCTTGTTCTGTACGAGGAGCCCTGGGTAACCAGGGCCAGAGACTGAATCTATTGCAAATTATATATTTTTTAATTTTTTAAAATATTGCATAAAGAAGTATAAATTCAAATTTGACGTGCCTGAGCACCAGCAGCTAACAAGGGCATCACTACACGGGTCTCTTCATTGCCCATTGCTGGAACAAGACATCGAAATATATCTCCAACCACTTGAGGTGAAGTTTTACCAACTTTGAATCTATAAAAAAATTGTTAACTCAGCAAGTCATACCCTGATCAAAATGACACACAGGTTGTTAAAAAGTGTTCAAAGAGTATTCATTTTTTTCACTTTCTTATGGCCATGTATGATTTAGTAAATCATATAATGTAGGTAACCATCTCCAATAAAGGTATAGTGATTAGATATGTGATCGACAAAAATGGCCAGTATCAGTCTGGTATTGAATTAAATGAAGAAAGGTGGTACTGTCCATAAGTACTAACCCGCCTTCAAAGCAAAGAATTTTCTCAAAACTTAGATGATCAGGCAATGGTTTTGACCACCAACAAGAATGTAAACTTCTTAAATCTTCCTCCTTATCTTTTGCCAATACCCGAACATCAATGTTGAGACGATTATAAAGTTGACCAATAAGAGATGGTGGTGTTGGTACATAGTCATCTGGCAAAAATAATATGGTATAAGGTGTGACGACATGACATAAGATTTTGCATTTTTTGCATCTAAGGAATAATTCTCTAGGGCTTATATGTCCCCAAATGTCATGAGCAAATATATACCTCTATTTTGCTGCTCAGTTGCGCCACAGATAAAAATGGGTATTTAAATAATGATTGATGGAATCATAGATGTCTAGCACATATCCACCACACCTATTAAATTAGCCTCTAGATCCCCCCCCCATCTAGGGGTCACATCTTACACTCTTCTCTAGCATAATTATAGACTCAGCTTTGATATTTGAGTATTCATTCATTAATTTCACAAATTCAATAATTCTACCTGGAAAAGCCGAAATAACAAGCACATTAACCTTATCCTCTTTTGGTATTTCAATTATATCTCCAATGCAGAGCTGTATACTACAATCCCCAATGTCATCTGTACAAACTACAATTGTGTCAGAAACAAGAATACCAGCCATTTCATAAAAAGTTATAGATAAAATCAATGGAAAATATAAACTCGAATTCAATGGGGAATTGTTGTTATTTACTGCCATAAAAAAGAAGTAAAATGTTTCATTTCCGCTTGTGTTTCACACTCCTTCAGGGGGGTTGCACATTCAATTTGGTGGGGGGTGTTTTGACTTCTGGCTGTATGCTATGTGGCATGGAGTCGGACGAGGAAGGAGCGTCTGATTATCAGGAAGACGAACTAACAGCGCTGAGTTCTATTTACGATGAAAGAATATTTACTAGATTAAAAAATGGTGGAGAATTTCGTATCTCTTTAAAGGTACCGGATAATTTCAAGGTGAAGAATATTGCAAGCAAAAGAACTGAAACGAATGCTGATGAAAACAGCCACAGCAATGACGTAATATGGAATGTATTTCCCGTGAAATATCTCCCCCCTCTTGTTCTAAACTTTTTGTATCCCCCTGGATACCCATTATCTGACCCCCCTCAATATACGTTGAAGTGTAAATGGTTGAATGTGTCACAGGTAAGTAACCCCTATATCCCTTTGTGTAAAATTTGGAGCAGATTTTGATTGCCAATTTTGTCACTCCCAGATATTTAATCATTATTAGGTTATATGTCACATTTTGATTGCATGAAATGCAAACAATAGATAATAAGACCAAAATGCGTTATTAATGCGACATATAGCCTACAGTAGGCCTATGACAAGAATACATCTGAGACATTTTCATCTAATACTGCAGAGTGACGTTTTTCAGCGATATTTTTGTTGCAAAACAAGGCCACACCTAAGGTGCAGGTCCAATTAAAATGTAGTTAGGGATGTGCCACAAACATTGGCCTGGCTGGTGGGCACCTTGTCCGATGGAAGATTACATAAGAATTGACAGTGTAAATTTAAATTCAATTTTAAATTTAGTCTTAATAAATTCAAATTTGGTCATAATAGGCTTCTTCTTTCTTATCTACAGACTGCAAAATTAAGCAAACTCAGTGATCATGAAAGGAATTATAGCATTGAAGAATAATTAATTGCGTCATGACACCTATATGAAGTACTTCCCCAGCATGGCATGACATGGCAAATAATGTTTTATACACGCCTAAAAACGCTCAGGTTGATGCAAGTTGATATAAACAGGATGGAGCAATGTTGTGCTGCCCACATTGTTCAGAGTTGTTATCAACATTGAACAATATTGTTGAAACTGAATCGGGTGTAACAATATTGTTCAATATTGATAACAACTCTGAACAATGTGGGCAGCACGACATTGCTCCATCCTGTTTATATCAACTTGCATCAACCTGAGCGTTTTTACGTGTATATGTGTTACTTATACTTAGCAGGATTTTTCTACCTTGCAGCAATGATGATGATAATAATGATGTATCATGTATGTGCATTCAGTGCTACTACAGTTTACACTTTTATAATTATTAATTTCAGTTATCAAAATTATGCAAGTCTATGGATACATTATGGGAAGAAAATCTATATGAAGTGGTACTTTTTCGTTGGATCCAATTTCTTGAGGAGGAAACATTTGATCTGCTCAATATTTCTTCACCATTAGTTTTGACCACAAAGACAAAATCTTCATCAAGTGTTCCTCCTGCATTCGATCCAAGAGCTGTTCAAGATGTGCGTTGCATCTGCTGCCCTCCTTGATATAATTTTTGATTTTGATCAGAAAGAAAGAGAACAAGTGTTCAAGACAAACCATTTTTCATGTGGTGTTTGTTTTTCTGAAAAAACTGGTGCTTTCTGCATTGCTTTTCCAAAATGTGAACATGTTTTTTGCACTGAATTGTTCAGAGTATTTTAAAATCCAAATTGAAAATGGTTCCGTGAAAGCATTAAACTGTCCTCAACCAAAGTGTGAATCACAAGCCTTGCCTTCTCAGGTCAAAAACCTTGTTAGTTCTGATTTATTTGCCAAATATGATAACTACCTCTTGCAGTCTAGTCTGGATGAAATGTCTGATATAGTTTATTGTCCGAGACCCACATGCCAATCACCCGTGATTTTGGAACAAAATACAATAGGTGTTTGTGAAGTGTGTCGGTTTGCGTTCTGTTCACTCTGCAAGTTAACATTTCATGGTGTATCACCATGTGTCTTCAGACCAGACGAAGTACGAAAGTTGAAAATGGAATATGAAAATGCAACAAACACAGAAAGGATATTCCTGGAAAGAAAGTATGGCAAGGACCGACTCCGCCGCATGATTGATGATTTGGACTCGGAGGAATGGCTGGTGGATAATTCAAAAATATGTCCTCGTTGTCATGCTCACATTCAGAAATCGGATGGCTGTAACAAGATGCATTGTTCAAAATGTCGGACAGATTTTTGTTGGTTGTGTGGAAAGATATTGGATCCACGAAATCCTTATCTTCATTTTAACACGTGGGAGTCGCCTTGCTTCGATAGATTGTTTGAAGGTGTAGAGATTGACAGTGATTAAAAACAGCTTCACAAACTTTTTGAATGTTGTAATGTTAAACGCCGGTGGATCATGAACATAGACCTACGACCGTGTACGTATAGAGGAATACACGTGTCAGATTAATATAATGATATTGATATTCATAGATTTCATTTTAAGTCCGAAAAGGACAACTTATGAATTATTTTATTCTTATGTGCTGGTGATATTTGTGAGTTCCGTGCTAACGAATGAATTTCCCAGGTGGAATTTCCTATCAAATTGCGACTGAAAATGCGCGAGTGAACTCTCTGCGGGTTAGTAATTGCCGTTAAAGTTGTCCTTGTACAAAATCTTCAAAAACCTCCTAATGCTTCAAATCTTACAGAATTTTGCACTCCTGCAGAAAGAGTTCTCAACCTTTTCTACGTCAGTTATGCCGGTTTCAAATTTAATTGTAACTGAATTCGGTCGTAAAAATGTCATGGTGGTTGGTTTTATTTAATATTACTACGCGCATAGCTATATGCATTGTCATTGGCAATACTGATTCAAATAGACAATTGACAAGTTATTGGTTCACAATAATCCCCACAAAATGAACACCACTTTACACCGCTTTACCACTGTTGCTCTGTTCAATTACCTGATTTACCTCCACCTATATGGTCCGTAAGATAAAAGACGAAAGTCGAATATAAGAACTATTATAACTAAAACGCTCAACCCTTCCGGCCCGGAAATACATGACTTAATAGTTTCACATTGGCATAGCAGATTTGCATAAAGGAACAGCCACTGTCGAAATTAGCCAAATTACTTGTACAAGAGTATTTTCCTTCGAAACGTGCCCTTTTAGGCTGATCACATAAGAGGACGTAAGAGTAACAGGTGGTTTCTATAGTATACAATTCATAAAAGGGCAACACGTTGCCATCTTCATATTTCGTATTTTTGTTATAAAATACACGCCTAACACTCATGGTGATACGTCATCAACACTTCATAATTCCAAGAAAACCGGTAAAAACTTGTTAAACTGAAACATTTTCTGACCCACTTTAAATATGTCAACAAGAAATAAGGGAAAGTCTCTAAAACCACTACTAATCGATCAAAAAACTAGAACTGTAGTTATGTAATTTGCAATGTATCTGTATTACACTGATCCTAATCACTATAGCAATGTCGCAAATCGCATGCAAAACCCGAAACGTTTTATTGGCATTTTTTTCTTTATACTAATGCATCACGTGTTTAAATCTCATCGACCTGAAATGTGATATCACACTCAGTCCATGCCCCATCAATTTCTCTTTCGTGTTCCTACAGTTAATTGAAAGCGTTTAATGCATTATAGTTGACTGATTATCAGTCTTCAAGCCACAACGGAAAATCGTGACAAATTAAGGTTGGTGGTTATCATAAATTTTGTGGTTATACAGTCTAAATTGTCTATTACAAAGTCTACTCTAATTCATTTGCTCAATGCTCGGGCTCGCTCCATTATATGAGTGGTAGGAATTATATACAAAGTTCAGGTTCGTCATTGACGGTGACCGAGAAGGCGCTGATTCAGCGAATGTAAAATGGAAACCAACTGCTGGGTCTGTTTTTTCTGCATACTGCCTTTGTCCTGGTGTTTAAGACGGCGTCTGTAAACATGTAGCTGCTTTTTTGTATTCTCTTCATGACTGTCTGTATCTCTCGTCAGGTCCTACGGATAGGCTTTGGCGTATCTTTTTATAACATGTTGAATCATTTGAATTGATTATATTTTAAATCAGATGTGACCACTTTTATACAACTTATAAATCAATCGCTTTTTAACAGGTTCACTGATAATCATGGCTGTATTCATGAATGAAGGCAATATTTAAAATCTTGCCAAGTTTTTTGAAGATCTTGGAAATTGTAAGATGTGTGGTACATTGGCCTAATTCTATTCAGATTTTTAATTAAAACGAGTTGCTGAGTTAACCATTGGGTTGGGTATACTGGCTTAGTCCTATATATACTATACTTTTTAATACAGCATTTTGGCTGTCAAGCACCCATTCGTTATATACGGAGGCATGAATATTAATATATCATTTGAGTGAATCAAAATATTGTCATTGCATGGATCTAGACCTAAAGCTGTTTAAATATTTTAAGTCCATCGCCATGTCGGGGTTTTTGTCACGCTATTAAGACTTAGTATGTATTTCTATAGATTCTTCTTCTGGTCTCTATTGGTCCAGTGGGATACTTTCTCAACAACGCCCCAGATTTTGATTCCGACAAAAGGGATAATCTGGAATTTTTCGTTGGCGCAGCCGCAGCTTCAGCTGTTATCGCACTGCTGTTTTTTCTCATCTTTCTAACTGGTGCGCATAAAAATATCGACGCTTTTAACTGGGCAAGAACGGTACGTGTATACTCATTTATACTCGATCACTGCTATATAGTCATGTGTAGTTTCCTTAATGATCGACGCGATTTCTGAAATAATGCAATTGGTTCTAATTTTTGCCACCCGCGAGAGCTGGGTGAGAGACTCGATTGAGCTAGAAATGATGGATTTTTTATCGCGCGGACCTGTTTAACTTCTTTACTTTTATTTATAATGATATATAATAATAATTTATAATTAATACTTTTATATATAACTAGAACTATCGATAGTTACTTCATTTTTTTAAGAAACGTTAAAATATTTACACTATGATTCATGGTGTTTTTTAGGCGGCAGGTATCTTTCTTGTTCTGGCGATCTTACTACTAGTTGCTTCGTCATTACTAGCAGACACTGTCAGCCAATATCATTCAGATGGCGCATGTAAATCGTTCGATGAAAGAAAAACAAAATATCAGTGTGGGCAGCTAACTGCAGGAACAGTAAGTCCTTTTAATTTTTTATTCCTGAAGCCTGTGGGTCAAAACATGTTTTGAAATAATGATTCATGAAACCTTTTTAGGCCACTTTTACACGAGCAAATTTTATTCAATATGCCAAATTTGTAATATAATACTGTTTAGTTGGCTTTCTTGAAAACCTATAGTTGGCCAAATTTTTATATATCACATGAATAGCTAATTTGTATCAGACTATTAATAAAATCTATTTTCTTTTAATATATTTTAGGTGTTTGGTTTCTTTTCCATAGTAATTTTCATTGTGGATGCCATTATTCATTTTCGATTGTGATAGATTTGGTCTCTGGCCAAATACCACTTTCATGACTTAAGCACAATGTGTGTTTCAATCATTCAATGTCATGTAATTTTTAGCAGATATCGATAATAATATAATTCTAGTAAATTGACATTTGTAGTCCTTGATTAGAATCATATATTTGTTCATGCGCGGCACTTGGGGCAGAAATATCATTTGCAGTCGGCAAAACCACAGAGAGCAGAATAATTTGGGCGTGAGTCGAGGAAACCAGAACACATGAAACACTGTGTGACGTCACATGAAGTAACTGTACACTGATACAGCAATTTGAAATTCGTTTCGTGTATGATGTAAAATATGAATACGGGCGATCGTATTAATATTAATACTAAACATGTGTCATCGCTGATAAAAAAAAATATATTTCTGTACCATTTCTGATCCATGATCATTCCTTATAGGCCCAAAATGAATTCCCGTTGTCTCGTCCCCGGCCTGCCCCTGCTTCAGGCGACTATATTTGTGTGATCTAAATCTAACAAGACGCCAATTCTGTATAAATAAAGTTAGTTTAGTTTAGGTTTCCTCCTGTATAGTAAAACTGGATCGAGAACATTCTGCATGCAACTGGTTGAAAATCATTTAACAAGTAGTAATGCATTTTTTCTATTGCTCTAGTTGTGTAATTCATCAGGCAAACTCATTATTCGTTTTTTGCGGCTAAAGAACAACAAAAGAGTAAACAATAACGATTGTTGTGAAAGCATTGCTTTTGTTGGGAAGCCTGCGACATATTTCAGGATATCTGCGTCACTGAAGTTGGCCAAGCCAAATGTAATTCTGAGAAATTTAAGACTAAGGTTTTAGGTAAAGGTAGTTTCACATTTAATGGAGATCTCGGAAATAGCAGGGCTATATGAAGTACCTCACACCTTCACTGAAATGACGTCAAATGACGCGCTTTTGCGACATCTTGTTGCGCAAAATGATAATTTTTGCGGTGCGGCAACCAATGAAAATCAACGTGATTTCTTTTAAAAATATTATTATATTATAATTATAATATAATTAATAAGGAGAACGACGGTTACGCTGGCCAAATTAGAGTTGCTGGAAATATTGCTACTTTAAAAGTCGTTATCGGTGAAATATAATGCTGAATATTAAAGCAGAGTTTCCTGTGAATTTATGCGTTCTGGTTAGTGTCCATCTTCCCCTAGTTGTCCGAAACGCACTTTAAATTCCAAAGGTACAACAGTCGACCAAGAGTACTAAGACAGAAACGTTCAGAATCAAAAGTGCTTTTTATTTTAGCGAATTGTTTGCAATCATATAATGAACGTAGATATCTGTGGCAATAAGCGTTTGACGAATCAAGTTAGTTAAATAACATAAACAGAATAATAAAGATGAAACAAGCAGGTGAATACTGGCCGATACTCGCCGAACTAGGAACAATGTTCTTACTTTTACAAATACTAGCAATCTCGGGCTCATAAGTTGGGCACTCTTCACCATTGAGACAGTTGTGGATCACCTTGGCTTGCTTTAAACTAGTGGAGTACCCAGCCTGGCTGTATCCCCAATAATTCTCGCTTGTCGCTTCCCCGAGAAGAAAAGGTTACCCAGGCGTCCTTGTAAATTATTAAAGTCGGCTGAGGTGGCACCAACCGCAGCATTGCTGAAGGAACCGCGGATGTACGGATTTTGACTGAAACTACCCACGGTCATCTCTAGAGGTAAATAATGATTGATTATGTTATTGATTGACTATGTTATACGGGGATTCAATATTATGGTTAGGCTCCCGCTTCATTGCAACTTTCCACACCAATGTTATTCTCAAGTATATGCCAGAAAAAAAGGAAACCTAAGGTCCTCAGAATACCCGTGTCAGGACTAACGTAAACATGCCTCTCCACTTACCTAAAGGTTCTGGAATATTGACGTTGGGATACATTTCTCTCAAAGATTTCATGACCTCAGCTTTTGTCGCATTTTTGCTCTGTGCTTCAATGCGAAGAGAATTCTCATCAACTGCACTGAATAACAACACATTTGAACCACGGTGAAAATCTTTTATGTTAAGGTTATACACGAGAGGAAATGTTTCAGTCAAGGAACCAGCATTCAAAATAAACTCGGTATCATCCCAAAACGCGCTCGGAAACTTCACGTAAATATTGGTGTAATAGGCAAGAGGCAATCTACTTATAGCAACTTTCTTCCATTTCGGTAATTCTGGTTCAAATGTTACCAAATCCGAAGCTAAAACACCTGTGCTGAAAGTACAAAGAGCATATTTTGCCTTGAACGTTTCACCATCTCTCGTCCGAACTTCGATTCCGTTCGAAGTATTCAACTTTATATGCGTTACGACCTTTTCTGTTTTAAATTTACCCGTGATGTTTTGGGATAAATAGTCAATGATACCTTTGAATCCACGATTGTCCGTGATATACTCATTTTCCATGGGAATGCCTCCAAAGTTTCGGAAAGAGGACAGTGCAGGTTTCACAGCATATTCATAATCAAGTACCACCATTCGGCTGTTCGTTTCAAAGCTGTATCTGGATCCAGCCGTGTTGGGCAAAAACTGAACTCAATGGCTCGTCCCCACTCAATTGCGCATTGTTCTCGTTTTGCTCAGTGAGTTTCATTCCCAATTTTTCGACGGTTTTATAAGCCTTGCCAAGTTCATCATTCTGGGGCCGGTTGTATCAAGCCCGTTTAGCTTAAACGGTGGATAAGTCAAAATTAAATAACACTCTTACATCTCTCTTGAATGAGTCAACTTGAATATTATGCACTGAATATGTAGTTGTAAACAGTAGCTTTGTATTAAGGTCAAAAACATTTTGTTCGCTTGTTGAATAAAACGGCAGACTCGCTTTCTATTTTGAACTTATCCACCGTTTAAGCTAAACGGGCTTGATACAACCGGCCCCTGGTGGATAGAGTTCCTGTAGACAAAAAGTTGACATTGACTATCAATTGTCACAACTAATTCAAGTCTCTAGTCTTGCGCATCAGTGACTTGACATTCCAGAAGACATCTTGAATGAATTAAGTGAGCTGTATTCTGCAAACATGAAGCCTTCGTTTCTTCCTATATTTAGTTAAATTTTCACTCGAATAACACACTGACGACTGAACGAGACACACACCTATTCAATATAAATATTTTCTTAAACCGATAGAGCTGGTCAATTTAAACGAAGCAGCAACAACTAGTCTGATTTCCTATTTGAAGAATAGGATCATTGTTGGCATGATTAAGCATAAAGTAAATGTCACGTTACCTCAGAGTGAAATCGCTGATGTTCGTCGAATATCTCGTGAGATTAATTTTATTTGCGATTACCAGAATTGGATTTTCATCTCCATCCTCGACATAATGTACCCAGTTTGCACCATCACCCACTGTCAAACCGCCGATTTTAACCTGCTTCACACGACCACCGACGTAATCTTGTGCTTCGAGGATGAGAAAATTCGTTTGTCCGTTGCTTTGGAGGTAACTTCCCGCAGTGATTCCTGAGATACCAGCTCCTAGGATGAGTACGTCGACCTCAGTAACAGCGAAGCAAACTGTAGGACACGTTAACAAAATGCCGTAAAATACCAGCAAGAAATTGCACCGAACATAAGAAAAAACACCCATATTTAGTTCATGAGATGATGAAATAACAATCGAACTTAGATACGCCTTTTTTTGCCGGATTCTGTCGCAAATTAAATATTAATTTTTTGACATATTTTACCAAGGAGCTTGTTACGCCTGTATTCTACCGGGTGTTGAAATACGATCACAGCAATTATATTGTTCTGTTCTGAGTGATTTCAAACTTATTCTTCGCATTTTAGTGCGTCATGAACAAAACACAAAATATTTGCATATTTTGTAGGAATCGAAACATCGCCGGAGGCATAAACGCACCATTGCGCAAAATAAACGGATCTTCGATCTCGAAACCAGAGCCTGCGATCCATGCCAGGATCTTCATCTGAAGCCAAACACAAACAATATAAGAACAATTCAGCATTGACCAATATTGCTAATGATGCAATATATTCTCTATTTTTTCTGTTCTTCTATTCTCGAGTTTTTCTGTACGAATAAATAGTGCGTTACAGGTAGATTGCATCGTGGTACCCAGGGCCTCTCTTGGTAGACTGTAATCTGATATGCATGGCATAAATAAGTTATAACCCCAGGACATGTTAGTTGCGAAATGATTTTGTCATTCATCAGTGCCTGTCTTGAAACGATCATCAACAAGACGCCAATTCTGGCGGTAACTGCGTAGCGCCAATCGTTGCATGCAATATTTCCTGTCAATGTTTATTCCTTTAGAAAAATGTTTCTTTCTTAGGGTTTCTAGTAAATAGAGCACTTCGTACAGAATATAGGGGTAAAACTGCATTATTGGTGCTTGGCAGATGTAGCTAACGATATACGTGAATAAGGCTCACTCAGCTGAGTTTGGAATCATGTACTCTAGGAATCTGTTTGTACTGAAATTCAATAGGATCGGTCTGGCCGTTTTTACCCTTGAAAGGAAGGTGCGGTTTGATTGAAGAATGGCATAGAATGGCATACAAGGCTTTCATAGCATACAAGGCTTTCATGGCATACAAGGCTTTCATGATTCATGTGATCGTTGTCTGTAAACCCGTTTTAGTGTAGGTTTACCATGATCAGTGTGTGCTAGTGCATGCAGAGTGAGCATATCAAATATCAAACAAGACAAGACGAGAATCCAGCATTATGATTACCTGTACGTATTTTCTCGAACGACAGACGTCTAGATTTCCTGCGCTATCGGCCATGCACAGCGACTCGTGTACGTGTTATTTTATATGACGTGTATCGTGCATGCAGTTTCCTGCATTTGGTTCGCACGACCCGAGTTCGAATCCTGGTGACAACAAACATTTTCAATTTTTTGTTTCAGTAAAATATTTCTAAGCACAAAAATATTTCGATACGAAATCAGACGAGTTCAAAATACGAGTATCTTAGTTGGCCTGCGCGGCCAGGAAGACCAGGTCGAAAACGTAAAAAACACGAAAAAACAAACAAAAAAAACACCGATGGCAATTTTAGACTGCGTTCGCGCAGTGCGCGACGCAGTAATAATCAGTTCAGATTGGTGACATACGAGTTGTACGAAAGCTGGTTAGATTGTTGCTTTTTCAAACGCCTTAAAATTTAGGTATAACTTTGATTAAACCACCCTTTAGCAGTCTTGAATTAAGGATTCTTTTTAAAAATTTTAGCTCTAAAGCTGTATTTTTGTGCTTCTCAAGTATTTTTACAACGGTTTTCAAGTATTTTTACAACTGGGACGTCTGTCTACGTCATCAACGTGGACTCTGTCAGTGGTCTGCCGTGTCTATTCTCGATTGCGTAAGTAAAAGCATAGACAATCAAAGAGAAAAATTGAAAGAGAAATATTCACTTTGATTGTGTATCTATTACTCTCAATACCCGGTGACTGTGATTCACTTGTGAACATTGGGCACTGACACCAGTGAACTGCTTGACTCACTGGCTTGAACTCTCAATAACGCCTATGTGGCCTGGGCACGACCGTCTCGTTCTTTTTTTGCCATCTTGGCCGCCATATTGTTGCACGTGTGAAAGGTACACAATATTTTCGCTTATTTTACCATTTGGACTTTAATTTCAGTTCTTCTTAGTATATCATTTGGTTTTTTTTCTTACACAGGCTTTAAAGACGAAAATTAGAAATGACTAACCCAAAAGGAAAACGAAGAGGAACACGTTATATGTTCTCAAGAGCGTTCAGAAAACATGGTAAAAACGAAAAAAAACATAAAGCTGTGGTATTTTTCTCCTCTTGGTCATGTCATCGTACATATTTGTTAGTAATATTTGACCAAATTCTTGTTAGGGCCAGTCAAAATGTCAACATACTTGAAGGTTTACAAGATGGGAGACATTGTTGATATCAAGGTTGGTACTGCAGAGGAATTCCTTTTATTAATATAAAAATTATTTTTACTTAAAGCCAAAACAAACCTTGTTATGCAATCAAAACAAACCTATAGCAATGAAATTGATGCAGGTGGGGCAAGAGAGGCATCTCTGAAATATTGTATCAATTTCATTACTTACAATTTGACTATACAATTTGAGTAAACAAAAATAATGAAGTTACATGAAGGACTACCCATTGCACATCCAAGAAAATGTCTTAAATTTGTGTTCAAATTGTATTGCTCTATATTGTCAATACAGGTATATTTGTTATATTATTATCATGACATTTTCATTTTTTTTAATAGGGTGATGGTGCTGTACAGAAAGGTATGCCTCACAAATCATACCATGGTAAAACTGGACGAGTGTTCAATGTGACAAAACGTGGTTTAGGCATAATTGTCAATAAGCAAGTAAAGTAAGTACATTTACTATAAAGTTGAAAATGATAAACACAATTTTACTTCATTATAATGCAATACAGTGGCCCAACTGCTTATAGGTAATAATTACTTACATGTAAATTTAGGTGATAGGCCTTGACTGAAAGTTATTAATAAAATTGTTAAATATCTTTTTTATGTTAACTTAGAGGCAGAATATTTGCAAAAAGAATCAATGTCAGAATTGAGCATGTACGTCATTCAAAATGCCGCGATGATTTCTTGAGGTAACTTTTCCTTTTTGACACTTTGACTGCTTTGTTGGTTTTTTTGTAAAAAGCAGCATTTTAGCCTATATACTATCAGTACTTGTCTAATTATTTGAAAAAATGTACTATAGACGTGTGAAGGAAAATGATCAGAAGAAAAAAGAGGCCCAAGAAAAGGGAATAAAGGTTAACTTGAAACGTCAGGTACTTTCGTTTATTAAATTTTATTAATATCAATTTTTCAAGATGTTATATGATATTGATAATATTGTCTTTGAGGCTCGTACGGGATTGGGTTTCTGTTCTGACAAATAATGTCTCGACTTGCCCCTCATATAAGATACAAAAATAAAGAATTTTTATGATTATTTGGTCTTGTATTCTTCTTTAGCCTGTGGCGCCGAGAGAATCCCATTTTGTAAAGAACCGAGGAAAGGAACCAGAACTTCTTGAACCAATCCCATATGAATTCATCATCTAAACAATATGTTGGCAAAATAAAATATCAGTTCAGATAATGTTCATGTGTGTATATATAAAGGGTGTCACAATTGATATTTGCGATTTGCTTTTTCTGAAAGGAAAAACAGCATATTTCTGGGGTTGTTTTAGAGGAAAAATATCACAATAGAGAAGGATATACTATAAATTATGGCCCAATCCAAAAATCTTGATTTGCATCATTCAAATGTGGGTTTCCATGTTTTTTTGTCCCTCAAACTAGTCACTTAAATAATAACTTGATTAAACCAGATATTTTTGGAAGTTTTAGATAGAAACATGGTCTCTGCAAATTTTGAAGCTTCTCCAATGAGCTAAAGTTTAGTTTTTGAGACAATTTCAACAGTGTGGCTGCCAGTTTTTCAATGAGGTGATGACATTGAATGATTCCTTCATTGTCCAATTCTCCCTCACCACAGTGTAAACCATAAACAACAGGAGCACTCAATCCCCCAACAATTAAGCCAACGACTGGGACAAACATGATAGGCTTTGACACCTCTTAAGATGTATGCATGAAAAGCTGAAACTCAATGGTGGGCAAAAAGAAGGCTTGAAAAAAAATAATGAATTAAGGTAAAATATATCTGTCATTTACATTTGATTGTATAATAGGAAACTAGTAAACCAATTAGTAAAAATATGTTTGTAACCTAACAAAATGTCAGTTGCATATTACACAAAATGATTTTTGTATTTGCATCATTTATTTGCCATCATGTTACATAAGATACTGACAAGATCCAGATCAAATGACAATATTACAAGTTACCCTTTTATTATCTGGCCTTTTATGTAGTTTTACTATATATGAGACAGTGGCGTAGAACAGCCACATGCCACAATTGGGAATCTTTTACAAATATGCATTTTCTAAAATGTTCTTTTTAGTTTCATTAAATTGGATCTAATACATCTATTATACTAAGATATTCTGTTATTGTGGAGCCACACATTTCATCAACAAATGTTTGATTACTACTGAAAAAGATTTCATTTAATGAGTATAATCTCAAGACATCAGGTTTTTTAAACCTTATAAAAAACAAACGTTTCTGTATCTTGTCCAAAGGAATTCGCAAAATGAATGCTGACTTGCAAACTTGGCCAGTTGTAATATCATTAGTAGAAAGCAACAAATGTAGTTTTTTCTCCAGATTGCTTGATGAATTTTCATCACTGAATACAAATGCAGCCCTCTCTAGTAGGCCCATTATCTCTTTTTGAGAAAATTGGTGTTGTTTCAATAATTCAATCCTTTCAAGCAGAATTGATGAACTTCCAACAAATAACATGGGTGATTTCTGCAGCAATGTATACAGTTTTATGTTACTGTCAATTATCTGGGAAAGACTTTGTATGCTTTGTTGGAATGACAATTTGTTCATTTGGAGAAATGCATGTGGGTTTGACTTGAGCAGTTTCTTAACATGACTTTTTTCACAGTATAATGGGCACCACAGAGGAATTGGTATGTTTCGCACAAGCTCTCATAACTTGTACACAGGAACTCAGGACATTTTTGCATCAATTTTGAAATGTCAATTTTTAGTTCATTGAGAAATGAAACAACTTGATTAAAATCTTCATTTAAAACAACTTCTCCAGATTTAAGTAATGATGACTTTAGAGCTAATCTCAGGATATTGCTTGATGATTGATAATTTCCAGCTTGTTTAGCAAATTCCTCAGCTTTGTAGCATAATGGAACAGTCAACACAATTGGATCAACATCAATCAGGTTACCAATACTCTCCAAAGACAATCCAATGTTCTTAAGGTGTTCTAGATTTGACTCACACTGTTTAGTGTCTAGTGAAAAAACATAAGGATTTTTCATGAAATGCTTTGGAAGGTAGCAACCATACATTTTTAGAAGTGAAACCATTGAGAACATGTTTGGTGAATTGAATGACAGACATGATGGATATGATAAAGCAATAACCAGTGCATCTTCAACATTGATTTCCAGACTTTGCAATATTCTAATTCTTTCTTTAAATTCTGGCAGAGACAGACCCAATACTTGTTTTGGCGTAGCACAAAATTTTTTAACAATCTCTTTATGCTGACGAATCAACCATACAGCTCGTCTTCTTGTTTTTAATTTTCCTTCAGCTTCTAGTTGTTTCACCATTTTCATTGCATACTCGCCAACATTGGTCTCATTGGGTTCTGGTCTAGCCATGCTGTCACAACTACTGTCTGTCATGCAAGGTTTGCATAATTCTTTAACATGCGGCGTAAAATTTCTTGAAACATTTTTATTTGACAATAGTTTGGCAATAGGTTCGAATATGCTACTTGAATACAAAGGCTTGTTAAAATTGCATAAATGTTTAATAAAAATAGCCATTGGTGACAAAACAAGGATAATTCTGATCACTACTACTTTAATGCGGCACGAAACGAAGGAGAAAGTTTTAAATTAGATACATCAAAAGTTGTGTGTACTAGAGTGCTAGGTAAATTGATGCAGAATAGAAAGTTGTCAGTTTTTTATCAATGTATATCAATGTATATCAATGCATAAAAGTGTGCCATTCACTGATGCAGTGGTTTTTTCGGAAAGATTGAAAAACACTTAGTTAGCTAGTTTCGACTTTTGAAATATGTAATGTCGTAGTTCAGAGATATCGCGGGCTCGGTTCTTTTTCAAAAACCGGCACATGCACTCCACTTTGGAATGAATCATCGATCAAAGATTCATCGATCGTAGATTGATATGTCTTCCCAAGACAAATTAACTCGTATTGCTATCGTAAATACTGATCGATGTAAACCAAAGAAATGTCGACAGGAATGTAAGAAAGCATGTCCTGTCGTTCGTATGGGTAAGTGAAAAATTATTTCGTCTTTTGCGTTGAAAATTTGATGTGATTCTATTTATAAGCACTCCTGATTTTAAAATATTTTTAACTTTGTAAGGTAAACTATGTATTGAGGTAACACCAACTTCGAAAGTTTGTAGTATCTCAGAGGACTTATGTATTGGTTGTGGTATATGTGTGAAGGTATGTTAGATATCATGTTTTATGGTCACCCAGTAATATAGACTATTTAGTTTTATTCCTAAACTATTAGTATACCAATATGAAAAAGTGGTGTGTGGAGCATTTTCATTTTTTTTGTTGCTATTCAGCAGAAAATGTACAGAAATGTTAATCTTATAATAAATATTCAATTATATCAATATCTTATTAAACTGCTTATAAATATGGTGGGGGTTTTTGTTTAGATTAGATTTAGTGTTCCCATCAATTTAAACAAGTATTTCCATGTTTATCCCATTTTTAGAAATGCCCATTTGAAGCTATAAACATAATAAATTTGCCAAGTAACCTTGAAAAAGATACAACTCACAGATATAATGCCAATTCATTTAAGTTACACAGGTAAGAAGGCTGCTATTTTGTTATTATTTATACATGGTTTATTGAGAATCAGGTATATTATTTGTAAACAGCAATAAAGAGAACTATCCTTCCAGCACATTTCCTGATGTAAAGATCATTTTATGGGAATTTTTTCAAATTCTTTTTTTTTTGTTTCATAGATTACCGACACCTCGCCCCGGTGAGGTTTTGGGGTTAGTGGGTACAAATGGTATTGGGAAATCTACAGCACTAAAAATCCTAGCTGGAAAACAGAAACCAAACCTTGGAAGGTTTGATGTAAGTTTCATCTTAGGTAGCCTAGATGTATTTATGCTCAGTCTCATGTAATGCACAGATACCTATTGTGATTGTTTGTAGTATATTTTGATATATCAATACAAAAATACAATTAGTTGTGTGCCTTACTTACTTTTGTACTGGTACCCTGTATTTGCATGAGCATTGTGTTCATGTAATTAGTATGTAAAATTATCTGCAATCATTTCCAGAATCCTCCTGACTGGCAAGAAATTTTACAATACTTCCGTGGATCAGAACTTCAAAATTATTTTACAAAGATTTTAGAAGATGATTTGAAGGTAAACTTGCTCACAACTTTTTAATGATTTTGAGTTTTTACTGTAAAATAGAATCCATACCTTAAAGAAGTGGGTTGCTTCCCTATGAGCTGACCCCCTACACTTTGTAGAAATAAAAAATAAATTAATATGTAGGTTTTGTATCTTACTAGGCAATTATTAAGCCACAATATGTTGATCAGATTCCTAAAGCTGTAAAGGTGAGTGATAATTTTTTGGTGGTTGTGGTGAGTTATCAATCTTAAAATTTGAGGTATTATTGCTATAAGTACAGTACCTAATTTTTTATTTTTTACTTATTGCAGGGTAGTGTACAGTCCATACTTGATAGAAAAGATGAAACTTGTTCTCAGGAACAGTTCTGTGAACAATTAGGTAAGAAGATGCGAAGATGTATCCTTGTGTGAATGTACATACCATTATCACCCAACTTGATGGGAGTTGATGAAACTAGAATACAGTTTTGAATGTGATTCAATTTGTCAAATTTTAGATCTATTGTCAGTTCGTGAGCGGAATGTCGATGAACTTTCTGGTGGTGAATTACAGAGATTTGCCTGTGCTGTTGTTTGTGTTCAGCAAGCTGACATGTAAGATATATAAAGTCAGGGTGGTTGTACACAATGGTAGAACCTCACTGCATGGATGCCATTCCTTACCTGATTTAGATTTATTCCTAAACTAAGTTCATTTGTAGTTTTCAATTATGCTATTTATCATTTTATCATATACCCATGTTACAGTATTCCAGTTGATAAAATTTAGGGCCTGTAAGATTACCTCCTAAAGCTGTTTACAGGGTTGAAATTATTGTTATTTTGTTTCTTTTTCTTTAGTTTTATGTTTGACGAACCCTCAAGTTATTTGGATGTCAAACAACGTCTTAAAGCTGCTCTTGCTATAAGGAACCTTATAAGAAGTGATCGGTAAGGTGGTATTTTAGGAAATGAGAACAATAGGTTTAGACTAATTTCATTTTCCTAAAGATTCACCTTCTTGTGGTACATGTTTCTGACATGTTTTGCTAGTGAAAAATTAAAAGTACATAAGTTTCATTGTGTTTCATTGTAATATTTAATATTATTGTAACTCAATCATTTATGGGCTCAAATGGTTCAGATCCAGGCCGAAAACCTTCCATGTTGTTTTGATATTTTCTTGTGTTTATTTCCAGGTATATTATTGTCGTGGAACATGATTTGAGTGTCTTGGATTATTTATCTGACTTTATCTGTTGTTTGTATGGTGTCCCTGGTGCCTATGGTGTTGTTACTATGCCATTTAGTGTCAGAGAAGGTAATTTATTTATACATAAGGACATTGATGCACTCTTACTGATTGCATGCAGTTTATATTTAAAATGTGTTGTGTTATACTGTACATTAAACTGGTAATTTAACATGATAACAAAGGAGGTACAGCAAGAATAATAGCCTAAATTATATATATTTGATTTCTTCTTTCTAGGGATAAACATATTTTTGGATGGCTTTGTTCCAACTGAAAATCTACGTTTCAGGGAAACATCTTTGACATTTAAAGTGGCAGAAACAGCAGACAAGGTCCTTATTGTTATAGGCGTATGGGGTAGGGGGGATGCTGCACACCTAGACACATTTGAATCTAAAAGTTGGGCAAATTTTTATCAAATTCTACTGAAAATTGTGAATTTTTGCTTATAAGTCCAGGAAGTTTGCATTTGTAAGTTGGGTGATTTTGGCTGAAAAAGTTTCCTACCTATGTTATAATATTACATACTTTCTACTATCATACTATACAATGTATTTTAATTACTTCTAATTATTCTCAGGAGGAAGAAATTAAAAAATTAAGAAGATATAGTTATCCTGATATGAGAAAAGTTTTGAGTAAGTGTTTAACAGTATTTTTTTAACTCTTCAACTCTTACATATATTCCATATCCAATGTTAAATGTAATAGCCAAATCTCTTCAAGTTCTGCCTTGTTATTTTACAAAATTGTCAAAATTTACAAAATTTTACCTGTTCCAGCCAATGGTCCTGACCTACTTAGGTAAAGCAGTGCAATATCTCTTGATACCCCCTATTGAGTATTGTGTTTCATTCTGTTTTAGAAACATTTGAGTTGAAAGTTGAAGCTGGTTCATTTACAGATTCTGAAATAATTGTTATGCTTGGGGAAAATGGTAGGTTGAAAAGGTTAAATTGTTCATAGTATACCCACCTGTACATCACAACTAGAGTGATTTGACTACTGGACAATGGTGGATAGGTGTAACTTTGGTTGACCCGAAAAATAGACTAGCTAAGACGTTATAAGAGTGGCTGATTGAACAAGTGTTGAATGTACTGTACTGCTAATTAACCACACAATCTTGTAGCACATGCAAGTTTAGCGTACAATGTTTTTGCGAATGCTTTACTCAACGATCAGCTCATGGTACTGTATTGCTTCTCAGAATTTTTTCGTTTTCATATGTAACAATATTTAATCTCCACTCAGGTACAGGAAAACAACATTTATCAGAATGTTGGCTGGCAAACTACCCCCAGAAGATGGTGGTATGTCTACTTTTTATCATATTTTTCTGCCATTTTGCATTTTTGAAGTTTTTTTGTCTCTACTTGCAGCTGAAATTCCATTGCTTAATGTCAGTTATAAACCACAGAAAATCAGCCCGAAATCTCGTGTAAGTAAACTAATTTATCCAAAAAAGCGTTTCTCTAGAAACTGCTCGCTACTTCCAAATGTTGGTAGCTTTATAGCTAAAGCAAATGTCAAAGGGCAGGCAAAGTGCATCGCCCGACGTTGTATTAAAATTATTGTTCTTTACCCACACTTCTTGAATGGCCTTTTGACTATTGTATATAATGATCCTTTATAGGGAACTGTGCGGCAGTTATTGCATGAAAAGATTCGTGATGCATACATTCATCCGCAGTTTATTACGGATGTGATCAAACCACTTCAAATAGAAAGTATATTTGATCAAGAAGTACAGAACTTGTCTGGTGGTGAACTACAACGTGTTGCGTTAACCCTCTGTCTTGGCAAGGTCAGTCTTTACAATTACAGTAATGATAGTGCATAGTGGATGTACATATTACCAGAAAAAAGCAAAGTGTATGACTAAAAACACGCTGAACGATGTGAAATTTTAACACAATAATATATTTTTATTTACATGAAAAGCTTTCTTTTTAGCCTGCGGATGTTTATTTGGTTGATGAACCATCGGCTTACTTGGATTCTGAACAGCGTCTTGTTGCTGCTAAAGTAATTAAGAGGTATCTTATATCTTTTATTCCGTTAATTTTCGTTACAAAAGGTATTACTTGTTGCACGTCTTGAATGATTCTCTTTTTTATGAATAATGACTTGTTGTCTGCTTCAATAAAATCTGATTTTGGTAGTCAGTGTTTTGATTAGTTTATACCCTAATTTATACCACTATGACTGTGTAGACACCAGGCAGACCGCAGACACAGGTGTAGACACAATTTTTTTAGAGTTGTGACATCGATCCTCCTGCTTTTATTTCATCCATTATTCGACTCGCTCCATCTTTTTCAATTTATTTTTCAACTATATCGCGCTACATGTTGTCATTATTTTATAGGTTTATTTTGCATGCGAAGAAAACTGGTTTTGTTGTTGAACACGATTTTATAATGGCAACGTATCTTGCTGATCGTGTTGTTGTATTTGATGGAACACCGTCAATTTCTACTTTTGCAAGAAGGTCAGTATTAATGATAAATTTTTATCTCGGATGAATTATTTTGCCCCACCTACAGAGGACACGCTGCAAGGCACGTTGATGTCTGTAACATTTTGCTGGGTGTCAGTAATATTAATAAACCACAACGCTGTGTATTTTTTTACTGCATGATCATAAATTAAATGTGTCATTTCCTTTTTCCTAGTCCTCAAAGTTTATTGACGGGGATGAATAAGTTTTTGGAATCCTTGAACATAACATTCCGAAGAGACCCAGGCAACTTCAGACCAAGGATAAATAAACTAAATTCAGTGAAGGTATTTAATCCACTTCCGCTTTGTTGCACTAAATCTTAGTTGGCAGCAGGGCGCAGTAAAACACTGTTTTTGCTGCGCCCCGGCCCGGTTGGCAGCTGATTGAGTTCGCGCGTTTCCTTGCATTAAACAAAATACATTCAACATTCCCAAATGTAAACCATTATATACCATCCTTACTTTTTTAGGATGTGGAGCAAAAACAGGCGGGAAATTTCTTTTTCTTGGATGATGCTTAAGACATTTCCGCAACGTCACAAGCTGCTTCTGGGATATAACATTTTTTGCTGTCTTTCACCTTTGCAATAAAACTAACTAACTACATTGTTAATGACAGCGAAATAAGACCAGCAGTGAAACCTCAAAAGTTGATTGTTCAGTTGCATCGAACAGGAAAAATAGTGGCAGAATAACCAGCCTTGCATAGTAGACGATATTGTTAAACCGACATCCCCGATTTTTTGCGGAGAATGGCGATATAACTGGAATGCAAAAAATTGCAAATCTGTGAAGCATTGGTGTTAATGAAGAATTTACGTGTAGAATGTACGAAATTTGATCACAATTATGCAAATAAAACCATTTCATATCAGGAACTGAAACCATTGGGGTACAAAAAGCGCTGCGTGTACAAATATTATACCGTATTTTCTCTATTAAGCCCCCGGATTCAGACCCTTTGGAGGGGGGGGGGGTTATTAGAGAGGGGGCTTAATTGAAGGGGGCTTTAAGGTTATCTATAAAATCCTAAGTAATTTTCTTCAAAATGAACGGTATTACGTTCATAGTACTATAGAAAAGCAAAATACACTGCAAATTTTAGGAAAGTTATGGAAGATAAGGAACCACAACGCCGAATACTTCCGCTCATGAAATTGACTATTATGAAGCCAAAAATCAAAACCAAATTTTCAAAGAAAAGATCGCATAAAGACACGTGTTTTAGGAGTTTGCGAAGGAGCGGCTTCATAATTTTTTATTTTAAAAGGGTAGGACACAAAAAAACTTGTGACGAAAAAAATTGGACACAAAACAAAGATATTTGGCTGGAATAAACTTGGACACAAGAAAAATAATTTTGACACGAGACAAAAAATTTAGAGGAAAAAAATTGGACACAAAAAAAAAATATTTTGACGGGGAAGAAACAGAAGTATACTTATAGAAAATTTTAAAAATTTCTGAAAGTTAAAAATATCTTGTTAAATTTTTCAAATGTATTGTTTTGATGAAAGGATACAATTCCAATTAATTCTGAAGCATTTCGACGTATTTTCAACCGAATTTTCAAATTTCACATAATTAACGAAAATTACGAATTTCCCCTTGGTCCCCGTTGCCGATTTGGCTGAAATTTTGAAATTTATCAAAGTATGATTTTGTGTGTTCAAATGTATTGTTTTAATGAAAGAATACAATTCTAATTAATTCTGAAGCATTTCGACGTATTTTCAACCGAATTTTCAAATTTCACAAAATTTACGAAAATTAGGATTTTTGCTTTGGTCCCTCGTTGCCGATTTCAAAAAATTGACGATGATTGGGATTTTTTCTTTTGCTCCCCGTTGCTGATTTGGCTGAAATTTAAGAATTTATCTTGGGAAGTAATAATCTTGGGAAGTAATAATCCCACAATCGCCACATTGAGCAATGTCATACTGAACCTTCGAATCTTGGAGTTAAACCCACTGCGTTTTTTGGTCTTTGCGTTTTTTTCAACCTTAAAACGGGCGCTGTGGATGTTTATATAATAATATTTATGTAAGGATTTAACACACGATCCGGTGGCCTAGTTGTTAAGGATACGACCTAACATGTTGTAAGCGTGGGTTCGAATCCTGAGAGGGATAGGTTCGATTTTTCCCACTGAAATTACTATTTAATTTAAAATTATTCAAAAAGGATTTAGTGAAATAAAGAACAATAGCTTTCGACAAATGATGTGGTGGTCTAGTGGTTAATGCGTTGGTCTCCCAACCTGGGGCCGGTTGTATCAAGCCCGTTTAGCTTAAACGGTGGATAAGTCAAAATTAAATAACAATCTTACAACTCTCTTGAATGAGTCAACTTGAATATTATGCACTGAATGTGTTGTTGTAACCAGTATCTTTGTATTAAGGTTAAAAACATTTAGTTCGCTTGTTGAATAAAACGATAGGCTTGCTTTCTATTTTGAACTTATCCACCGTTTAAGTTAAACGGGCTTGATACAACCGGCCCCTGAAGACAAACGTTTCAACTCCTGGCAACGCAAAAAAATAACCTGAAAAATTTCTGCATGATTTGGAATGCTTAAAGCTGTTAAAAGACTCCTCGGCCTTTGCGAAAGACTGAAAATTGAAAAAAATTTGAAATAAAAAAAAATTTAAAAAGAAATTCTTGCGTTCGAGTGTACCTGAAAATTGAAGAAAAAGCACAAGTTAAAAAAGTGTTAAAAACATGTGTCTTCTAAAAAGCCTAAAAATGAAGAAAGTCAGACGGAAAAAAATTTAACAATTTCCCGCTTTTAAAAAACTCATGTTTACTTAACTTAATTTTTTTTCACGAAAATTTGACAGGGTGATTTTCTCGAGGCTGAAAAAATTCACTTTTTTTCACTTTTTTTAAATTCTCTTAGATTTTTTTTTGACGCTGAAGTATTTTGTCTTGGGCTACTGTGTCTGTCTTGGGCTACCTGTGTCTGGCTTGACACAGGTAGCCCAAGACAAAATACTTCCGCGTCAAAAAAAAAATCTAAGAGAATTTCAAAAAAGGGAAAAAAAGTGAATTTTTTCAGTCTCGAGAAAATCACCCTGTCAAGTTTTCGTGAAAAAAAATTATTAAGGTAAGTAAACATCAGCATTAAAAGCGGGAAATTTTTTAACTTTTTTTAAAGTTTTACTGAGTCGGACATTTTTAATTTTCAGTCGTTTTAGGAGACACATGTTTTTAAATTTTTTTTTACTTGCCTTTTTTGTCAATTTTCAAGTACTTTTAAGAAGCGAAAATTGTTCAAGTGTTTCTGTGATTTTTTTTACTTCCAATTTTTTTCAAATTTACAGCCTTCTTGAAGGCTGGGAATCCTAACTTTTTGAAGCTCACAAATCATACCGAAATTTTTAAGGCTAATTTTTTTGCATTGCCAGGACTCGAACATGTGTCCTAGGATTGAGAGACCAAGGTCTTAACCACTAGACCACCGCGTCATTTGTCGAAAGCCTATTGTTCTTTATTAGACCTAACCCTTTTCAAAGAAGTTTAATTAAACTGCTTTAACCAGTAGACTACACCAGCGAACCTGCGGTGAAAGGCTACACCTTTTTATATTATTTAATGCCTTTTTGGTAGACTCTCAAATGAAATAACAATTTAATTATATAGGTTCAATTTAATTTTCATGATTGATTTTCTCGTCTAAAACGCACACAACCTTAAAGCGTTCCTGTGCCTTAGAGCACTATCTTTCCATATAGGTTAGTTATATGCGGCGCAAGTGAAGCTAATGGTTACGGTGCGATTGTTTTGTATTTTTAATAAAGTGAAGTCAAAGTAAAGTACAAGAGTTAACATGCATTTCAAAATAGGTTAAAAGAAAAAAAGTACAAGGATTATAAGGATGTATTTCAATGTGTATAACCGGCGTATAGTCATGAGGCAACAAGCATGCAATTCGTAGTCTCGTAGATTACATATGAAATCGCAATTGAAGCAAATGTTCAGTCTAGCAAGTCAAAAAAAATTAAAAACATGTGTCTCTTAAAGACTGAAAATTAAAAAATTTCCGACTAAAACTTTAAAAAAAAGTTAAAAAATTTCCCGCTTTTAAGCAATGTTACTTATCTTAATAATTTTTTCACGAAAACTTGAAAGGGTGATTTTCTCGAGACTGAAAAAATCACTTTTTTTCTCTCTTTTTTGAAATTCTCTTAGATTTTTTTTTGACGCGGAAGTATTTTGTCTTGGGCTACTGTGTCTGGCTTGACACAGTAGCCCAAGACAGACAAAGGTAGCCCAAACAAAATACTTCCACGTAAAAAAAATCTTAAGAGAATTTCAAAAAAGTGAAAAAAAATAATTTTTTTCAGTCAAAAAAATGAATTTCAAAATTTCTGGCGTCCTTGTGTGTGTGGTACAAAAATCTACCAAGATCATGTTTTTATTTTTCAAACGAATGATGGCTCTTATCTCCATGTATTCTATCGGAATATTTTATAGTTGTATGGTGTTTTGTCGTTTAATATGGAGCATTATTCGAGAGGGCACTGAAGTTGTCAAATCGGTACCGATAGAGCAGGGTAATAACCTATAGTCGTGGTTTACATAGTTCCGCGCCAAAGCCAAGGTCGAGTGAACTCTGGAGAAAATGAAAATACCTCGCGCTGACGCACGGACAACGGTTATTCTCCAACAACAGCCTCGTACCCAGGCGCTTTATTGGAAAACATAAAGGCTGCATTCAGCGTAATATAGAGATCTGTGCGAGCACGCAGAGGTGCTTGGGTAGGACGCGGCAAATAAAGCTTCGCTCTCCTGTCGCGTCCTTCCCAAGCATCCCTGCACGCTCGCACGTTTTAGCCACAGATCTCTATATTACGCTGAATGCAGCCGTATGTTTTCCAATAAAGCGCCTGGGTACGAGGCTGCTCCAACAATATAAGTAAATCTAATTTGAATTATTGTATAAAGTCTAACTTTAGCATGTGTGTGCTCAAACTGAAACAATTACGGTACAAAAAGAGCTTCGAATACAAATTTTATCTAATATTATGATATATAAGACTATAAAAAACAACATGCGATCATTATTCACTCCGATCATTAATGAACATCTATTCACCCGATCATTATAAAATTGATAAAGTGCCATTAACTAAAGTAGTCTGAATGAGTTGTAAATACAGGATACATTCAACCGCAGAGTATCGTATACTTTTAGATGAAAGAACAGAAGTAAATATTTAGCAGTAAGTAAAATATGGCTTGCTTTGTACAGGATGAGCTATCTTGTAAAGTCGGCCGTTTTCAGCAGCATAATCATCACCTTTGAAGCCATCTTGCATGTCGCCAACTAAAAAAAAGTAAAGTAGGTGGTAGATGATGCTTACTGAGTAAAGATAACGATCAAAGATCGGAGGACTGCAATAAAAATCAAGATTTGCTGAACCAGAAATCTGTTACAAGCCTGACTTTCAAGTTTTCTTGACAAACATTTCCAGTTTTGAGGCATACGAATTTGCATTAGACCTTTTTGGATTATTTTTGGATTGACATACCATTGCTACACACTTGTTTTCTACAAATTCCATGATGCATCTTAAACCAGGTTGGACATTTTTCTGTTTTGCAACAAAATCGTTTGTACGGACGACGAACTTTGTTCCAGAGATCGAAGAAGTTGCAATAACAATTATTATGGTTATTGTTGTTGTTGTTGTTGTTATTGTTGTTATTATTATTATTGTTGTTGTTATTGTTGTTGTTGGCTCTTTTTCGTCTGCACAGACAATTGTTGTGGTTGTTATTATTATTATTATTATTGTTGTTGTTGTTATTGTTGTTGTTGTTGTTGTTGGTTGCTTCTCTTCCTCCCGTGGACTGAAGTTGGATCTCTGTGACTTGCGTAACACCCAAGTTCTCCTTGATGAGAATCATATACCTCGCTAATCTTTTTGCACAGGTAACTATAGCTGTTGATATAGTCTAAAACAATCAATACAATCTATTAACAATTGAGCATACATTGAACCATTCATTGAACCATATTTGATATTTACTCACATCCACACTTTCTCTGGCACGCCAATGCGCATGCGTGTGAATCCGAACTCCCTCGACACGAGATTTTTCGATAATCGACATAAATTTTGGAGTTATGCTTATCACCGATCCAACAGTAACAAGGTTCTGTACAATACCGGTTGTTGTTGTTGTTATTGTTGTTGTTATTGTTGTTATTATTGTTGTTGTTATTGTTATTATTATTGTTGTTGTTGTTGTTGTTGCTGAACCATCCCCGCTTTTCTCGTACAGGATTTTTCCTATCCGTGGAACTACAATAAAAGAAAGAAAAAAATTGCAAATCAGCAGCGGGCAGAATCCTAGCCTTTCCTGCAATCTGATTGGCTGTAATCTCGGCCTGCGTTTTCGAATCGTTTTTGATACCCCGGGAAAATATTTTTCTATCCGGACCTCGCGCCGGTAAAAAACATATATATCTTTGATCTTGGTTGTGCACGCCGTTTGGTTGTGGAGGCTGAGTTGAGGGAATCTTTGTACATTTGAACACAAATCATGGCAGCTAATAAAGGATACGCAGGCGAACCATTTGACTTAATTTACATAACAGAAATGAATTATCAGTCTTCATCGAAATTTTTAGAAGAAAACTATCGTTTGCCTAACAATCGGTTAGAATTTAAACGCAAGCAAACAAACGGATCATTCATCCTAAAAAACTTTTTCTAAAGTTTTTTTTGCCCCAAAAAGTTTTCATAGACAAAACAACCGATGTAGTCATTCGTTGTTATGGGAAATCGACATTTTAAAACCGAATTACAAGCAATTACAATATGTAAATTACGACAAATTATGTCATATGAAAACCAGCCTTTAGGACAAAATACGACATGTTGAGACAGAAAATCAGCCTTGTCATGATTTAGGCGTGAACAGAAAGGTTGGGTGTGATGACAAACTAGCCAATCAAGGTTGAGGGTACATAGAAATGTGGGCGTTACTTTCTCGTTCCAGCTTGGTCATATTTTAAGGTCATTTTTTTTAAGTAAGTCGTTCCGCACTCGTGAGTTAATTTTCACGTGAACATTATTGTAAGGTTGAACTGAATTTTATATTACCTGCAGTTCTTTTCAGAATCAGACATTTCATGCATAGTGTTCAAATTTGTTAATCGATCTGATCTGTCGTAATTATTGCTAATTTTAATTACCTTTGCTGTACACAGAGCGGGCTTCAATGATTGAAGTTTTACCTTGTGTCCACTTCAGTTAAAATATTCTCAATATCATCTTGGCCTTCCGAAGAAATATCCGCCAAGACAAAAACACAGCATATTTGTAACACCAAAAGGGAAAAAACCATGAAACTCTTCATTTCGACTTCTGTAAATATATAAGATGAAAAGCTATGCAGACAGTATATGCAACTGCTATATGCGGCATCCCTGAAATGCGATTTATATATCCATAGACTCTACACGGTGTTCCTACATTTGAGTTTCTTCTCTGTGTCTGTCCAAGGTACAATACAGGTCTACCATAGTTATATTTTAATTGTAGCTATTTAAACTGACTGTATAGGTTCTAGCAAATCCTTCCTTAAACTTGTGCCATTACTAAAGAATAATAGAAATAACCTTGTTCGTAATCTATATATATATTTTCTATATGAATTTTACCTTCCAAAGATCTTTTACCTCCCAAAGAACTACCAGTTTAAACCAGTTTGCTAACAATTTTCCTAACTTTGTATAAGTTTACTCCGGTTGGTTCGACTAATTCGACAGAATGCAATAAAAATAGATTCTTTTATAAAACATGAATTTATAAATGAATAATTTCATGCTTGTGCACTAACTCATTAAATGATAGCGGTTAAGCCAATATCTCGTCAAAATTGATCAATTGATATTGATAGACAAGCGATATCTAATAATATTCTTGAGAAAAATTAGCCTTATTACTCCACTAATGAAGGCTTGGACGGACCTACAAGCTAATTTACTTAAAAGCAATATCTAGTTGTCAAAGATTAAATTTCATGACCATGAAGTTCTGTAAATCGGTGCTGGTGGATATAGCACTGATAAAAGTTTAAAGTTGCAGCAATTGTTTGTATATTGCTGTAAACCAAAGATGAGCCGGTCTGTTAATTAAAAAATAAATAAAATGCATTAGCCCATGTCGAGGGTACGAATGATTGACGGCTTGGTAAAATTGGTTTGCAGGGTTCAAATATTAATTAAAACGACAAATAATGAATAATGCTTTATCTAAACACGCGGCTCTTCTAATTAACTAAAGAAATTTCGAGATGACAAACATAAAACGGAACGCAAAGGCGCACGGGGAAAAAATTCACGGGGAAGGCAATTGACACCCCTTTAGCTCAGGACAAAAAGAATGGTCAAAAGTCTGTCCTCTATTAACAATTTATTTGTTCAAAATTTAAGATTATCCCATCCCACAAATATTCATATTTTTGGCCGATTCGTGGAGTTGCGTTGGTAAAATAAAAGTTGCACAAAAATTAAGTCTCACTAGTACTCTCAGCAAGACCATCTAAGAAAGGAGTCGATGACGCATATCGTAATCCATCTTTATCCACAGATATCAAAACGCCAAGACCATGGATAGCCAGCGATGCTCTATCATCAATCTCCGTAATTTGCTGTCCTTTGCTCGTACTTCATGTAACACATTCTGATCAATGGTACAACGCTGTACTCGAATATCTTGTAAGTAATTACCCAATGATGGCAACATAAGCTGGGGTCGGGATAGCGCTTGATTTGGATTCAGGTTTTCATCTAAGACACTTGTTATTATCTGCGGAGTCACCTGACGAAGTGAAGCACCAACAACAGAAATAGCCATTGCAGGCTCCCAAGGTCTATTTTTTTGGGCACTGTTTTTTCTGAATGCAAAAGCGGGCTGAAGTTCTGAGTTCAATCGAGTACCAGGCTTAGATTGTTTGATATAATACTTATTAATGGCCGCAGAATGTGGAAGCGCAATTCCATGTACAAATAAACCTGTTCCCCACGGTTGACTATTGATTGTATGTATCATTGAACACATATTACCATACTTATCCATCGCTACCACCCCATCAGAGTGAGGCGCGAAGCTTGTATCAGTTGTATGACCACCTATTTAAAATAAATATATAGGGATGCTGACCGTAACAACTAGCAACTTTATTTTGGGTTGCGCGTTGTTCTAACCTTGCGAGAGTGACCACACCCACCTTCACGCAACTTTATTTTGGGTTGCGCGTTGTTCTAACCTTGCGAGAGTGACCACACCCACCTTCACTCAACTTTATTTTGGGTTGCGCGTTGTTCTAACCTTGCGAGAGTGACCACACCCACCTTTACGCAAACTTTATTTTGGGTTGCGCGTTGTTCTAACCTTGCGAGAGTGACCACACCCACCTTTACTCATACATAGTGACGTTTTAATCTTACCTAGAAGTTTTTTTATTTTCTCGTTGATTTCATCCATTCCACCAGGTTTACTCATTTGACTCCAAACAGAATAAGCAAATTCCTTTGATGTTCTGTTTCGGGGTGAAAAATCCAACTGAAATTCACGTTCAAGAATAGCAATTGCATTTGGCATTGTTCGTAAATATAACGAAATGAAGTTACTAAAGCGAATTATAGAAGCAAACCAGTAGAGTCTGGTCGAATTTGTAAGATAGGAGTAACTTCGAAGATCAGCAAATTCCATTAGATTCAGTTTTTCCAGTAACTCAGTACCTCCTGAGCCAGCGTTGTTGGTACCTAAATTAAGGAATTTAGAACATTCCAAACTATTGACAATTAGCAAACATGTGAAACCACGGGTGAAACAAATTAATTTTCTCCCGAAGGGAATCGTTGTGCATAGGTATCCAAATTAAATATAATCAATTCATGTTTGTATAAATTTCTCACAGGCAAATTCAAAAACAACTAGCGTTTGTTTGATAGAAAAAATGCTATCAAAATACATATAACAGCACCAACCTGAAGTTGACACAACATAATCAGAATACGTCGTATTATGGATCTTTCCAGTTGACTGTGTAAGAACTATATCAGACATTGTGAAACCATTTTCCTTTTGAACTAGTGACACCATATCTTGCGCCCAGGCTCCAGTGTACATCTCATTTACTCCATTTTCAGCAATAGATTGAAGAACTTCTAACAGCTCTGGTTGTTTGAATAGTTCACCGTATTTGTAATATTCACCAGTTTCAGGGTTTGTAAACAGCCGTTTTCCTAAACATAATCAAGAACATTAACAAAATATATTTCTGAATAATCGATTTTTAGGAAGGGCTTGGGCCTTCATCAGTGCAATTAACTTCAAAAAAATGTTGATTTCACTTTTTAGAGCAACTGCTCAATTTTTTTCATAGGCGGCCCAGAAAGCAGTTAACTTTAATTATCCAATCATGTAAATGTGCTTGATTCATAGCTGGTCGCATGCGTCACAATGGTACACTTTTTTAACGAATAAAGTCATTTAAATTCATCAAATGATTCTCACTGACCATCTTCAGTTCTGAGCAATGTGATATCATTGTAGTTTGCTGCAATGTTTCCGGCCAGGAGATGACTTAGATTAAATCCATTTTCAGCGAAATACAACGCAGGTTCCAACAATGTCTTGAGATCGAAGTTCGCTAGCTTTTTGACCGCTGCATCAATTCCTGAAATGAAAAAATATTTTAAAAAAATAAAACTTCAGCGAAATCGGTAACGGCATGCAAATGCCGTAACTTTCATCTTTTTTTTAAATTTGAAAATTCAAATATCTTATGATTTAATTTTTTTAATCAAAAGTGTCTACCATTAATGCGCGATTTTGAATAAAGGAGAAGGTAAGGTTCACGCCTGCCTGCATGCCCTACGACATACCTGCAAAAAACCCAGGCACAAGAACCGATGCTCCATTTGGTTTTGTTGTGTGAATTGGCAATATTTGGTCAACGTCAAGGTCAGTTGGAATATTCCAACCACCATCTAAACTATATACTCGGTTTTCATGACTGTTGTAGTACAGTATCTCTGTAACACCAGCGAAGGAGACGTAACAACCAGCTGCAAGGGTTATTTCTGCAAAGAATCCAGTGTAACATATGTAACAATCAAATATAGTTACTCGTGAGGTAGAACACTATGAAATGAATTTTGACGCTAAAAGTGCCAGGTAAAAATAAAAATACGACTTTAACCTGTCAGTGCTGTAGCTACACAAGCATCCATGGCATTTCCTCCTTGTTGCAACGCAACAATCCCAGCATGCACAGCGAGAGAATTGGTTGTCCCGCTGACCACACCATAATCATGACTCACAGCTAATGGTTTGGGAAAAAAATATCTTTGAGCTGAATAACTTTTCAGTCTGTCAAAATCTTCTTTCGGCCAATCTTTCGGCGACAAAGACAGCCCGTCTTTAACAAAGATGAAATAGAATTTTAAAAATCTCAAAGCAATCAATTTAGCAAAGGTTTCACTTGTTGCTGTTAGCATACGTTTACGGCTTAATTTCTTGAAATATTAGTTTCAATTTACCTACCGCCGGTTGTACGTTTAATGCTCCCCTTCGAGATACGAAGCATCTTAGACAGACTTCAGAACTTTTAAATTGAAACTTAGTAAACTCTAATTTGTCTGCGGCTTCTTTTATCGCATACTTTCCCTACTATTTTACGCCTTAAAAGTAGCTAATTTTAACGTATCTATATTCTACTCTATCATATTTGTGTATATTTTGTATCTTATTTTAATCCAGGGCCCCGCTGAAAATCACCTATTGTGAGTCGGGCACCCTGACAAAATATTGTCTTAATAATAAAAAAACAAATACTTTATAAACAAAAACGTTTTAATGGGTTAATAAGGTTTAATGCAAGGCGTAAACCTTAATTGCCAGTTTGCCACAATGTAAGGCAGCATTTGTGTTTGTAGTTAGGGACATAGAGACACGGTTTACCAACGACATTGCCTTCATTCAACTTTTCCATGCCGTGCATGTACTTGTTTATTTTTATCAAAATTTTGTTCTACCCCAACGGGACTTGAGTCACTTGACTCAGACTCATCCCTCTCGACATAAGCTTATAACTTTTCAATTGTTTTTTTATTATTTTCTTTCGTTAAACATGTAGGCGTGCCTTGCAATAGATTGCCCAAAACTTGCAATTTAAACCATTTTGGCTCAAGGTTTTGCCTAGCGGGCGATGAACAAACCTTTATTTGAAGTCTCTTGTTTCACATGACAAACGTCATGATCATGTCAACTGAATCCCAATCTGCACTTCATACCGTATAAAATACTTATATTCTTAAGCTGTCTAATCGAACATTGTCTATACTACAGTTCTAATATTTATATTTTCAAAGACTTGTAGTTGTACACGTAGCTACTCCAAATATTCCCTACGGGTCGGGTTCCCCACACAAAAATAGTCTATAGACGCGAAAATAAAACAAAATTCTATACACAACAAGGCTACATATATACTCACCGCAAATGACTGTAAAACTGCAAAAAGTCAAAATGAAAAACCCTAAATTCATTGCATGACACGTTCTTATACCCAGAGACATCTTACGTCTTCACTGATTTCCGACTGTTTCTTAAAAAATTGCGCAAAGAAGTAAAAAACAAATAGTCAAAGCTTGGATTTAACAAATAATTTACACTGTGTCAAATTTCAAAATTTAAATGGTGGTTATATAGTCCGGAGATTAGATCTATTTAATCTATAGTTAATCAGTAACATGAAACAAAGTAAATATTCAGTTGACCATGGGTATTACATCTTCAACTGGTGTGATTTTGAAGATTGGTGCAAAATATCACCAAGTTCAAATCAAGTTACGACGCGCAACCACAAATATTTATTTATTTATTTATTTATTAACTTTGCCAAGTATGATGCAACATTTACCAGTATATTTACAACAATATATAATATAGAAAATTGGCAGGGTGCACGCTACAGTTTTCACCAATTACAGCGGCCCCATAATATCTAGGCTATATGAGTGTCTATGCACAAGATTTGCTGGGCTAGTGCAGTCTGCCAAATCATCTAAACAATTTCGTTACAAAGTTGTCTAGTTCTCCTTCGTTAGAGGTTCTGGGACCAGTTGTATAAAACATGCATTAATTAAAGCCCGCCGCACGCGTGAGCTTAATATAGCTGAGCAAAAGACCTCGCGTGGCTGTTAGCTCAGCAAGTTACTGTCGTGTGCAGGATAGTTTTTGTGAGGAATTCGCCTCGAGAGGCAAGTTTCTCACGTGTGCGGATGGTTTTCGGACTGAGCTAACTGCCTCTCGAGGTCGTTAGCTCAGCTGATAGCTCTCGTTTGCTGCATTTAACGTAGACGTAATCTGTCACTGTAATCAAAAGTTAACTAACACGAAAATGCAGGCTATGGAATCAACCTGTTTGAACGAAAGTATTTAAATGAATCGGTCAAAGTTACGAACAAGGTTTAGAGTAATAATATGACATAATATGATCAATTATTACTACACAGTTTTTCATTCTAAATTGTATGCTTTTTCAGTCACGAGAGTTAAAGTGACAACACAAGTTTCGAACTCGCAAATCCAGGATAATCCACCTGACGCCATATTCTCAACCCCCCGGGAATTATCATTAGTTTGATATTGTTGTAAGCAGGCATCATCAGGCATCACCATATCCGGGTTCCGTTAAAGGAAACCGGAAAATTAGAACGGTACCATCCTTCAAACGAAAGAGCATTTCATAGAAAGACTATAAACCAACAAAAAGCTCTCGCAAAGATTTGTCCTTCAAAAAAACGCCGCATCGTTTTTAATTATACAAATAATCGAAAGAGCAAAAAAATTACGATATTATTGCTATGAGTATTTCCCCATTTGTGTTTTTCATGCAAAATTTATACAACACGTGGTCAATTTCATGTCCAATTTTCGCGTGATTTCTAGATTTTCCAGGCAGTGAATAATTACTATAGTGATATTATATAGTGACGTCATGAATGGTACTCAAAACCAGAGTATTCAAAATGTGATGCCCCAACCGTTGTTTCAACGGCAGAAGCCGACATTTTCGTGATGTTGTCAGGCATATTTTGTATACAGGACTTTGCAGTATAGAATAGGTCGATTTAGTCGACCGATGCTTAGTATCATATAAAAATATGTAGGTAGAAATCCTTCACTTCATAACTGTACAATACTGCGTATATTACTATGTTTTTATACTGAGAATATACTGAGAACACTATAGTTAACTAAGACGAAATGTTGAATTACCGTTCGTCTCTAAATTGGAAACGACTTCATTCATTCCATTGTCGTTTGACGATCGTGTTTCCGCCGGTATTGAATGCACAGGGTATTGAACAGTTTCCGGTTGTTCTTGGAATTTTTTAGAAAGCGGGATAACAAATACTGAAATATCATCATATGAAGCAGGATCGGTAGCCTTCAATTCTACATTGTCATTAAAATTGATTTCATCTCTGGATATTCTCCACCCACGTTGCGTATTGCGACCTCGAGCAGCCATCACGAGATTTTGTGCAGCTACACTATATCTATAGATATCAGAGTAAACAAGTCAGGCCCAGCTCTAAAAAGACTCATTTTGTTTTATTAGAATTCACTGGTTAGGCCAGAAAGACAATAACTTATTTCTACTGTAGGTGTGGGAATGTTTAAAGACCATAATAAAAAGATTACTTTCTATAAGACAGTCCCTGTATGTTTATACACGTAATAAAACAATTACCTTCTTTTCTCGTGCACGTCGCAATGTGTGAAGGTGCTTTGGACAATTTTACATGCCTGCAGAAAGAAATATATCGCGTAGTGACATCACGGAATGCCATGCTAATTGATACACTGTCGACAATTGGACCAATTCCTTACTAAACTAAATTAAAAATTAGCTTCGTCACAGTACAAAATTAGTAAAATTGGAAAGTTTCGTGGCGAAATATTGTAAACTAAAGTGTTAAAAATATCAGTGCGCGAAGTTGACATATTTTCTCAAAATTAGTATTACGCTCAAAAAAATCCCCACCGCTTTTTGAAAAGTGCTGTGCACCTCAGAACTGACTTTTCCTGATTCATGATTCAGTTTAATAGTAGAATGGTCCATTTTGAGACTTTTGCTTACAAAGACAAGAAAGCAAGCAAGCAAGCACAAACCTTCTCATTAGATACTCTTTCCCATAATCCATCAGTCGCCATGATGAGAACATCATTCTCATTTATTGTTTCTTTCGATAAATCGTATATTGTCACCTGAAAAAGACATTTTTAACTATAGTTAAAACTAATAGTATTCACTACACGGCCCGTGAACACGCTTGCAATAATTTTAAAATTTAGGTTAATTAATTTACCTCTGGTTCAGGAGTCAAAAAGGGTTTGACTGGAATGCCCGTGTACGAAGCTTTTAAATCAAAATCTCCAAATCCTCTTGTTGTTCCGATTGTTTCGAGAAGACGAGCCTGAATAAGTAAAAACCTATATCAGTAATCGTACATTTCTGGTTATATAGCTATAAATTTGGATGAGAAAACACTAAAATACACTGAAATTATAATTGCTGGGCTGCCTGGGCAGTTGGTGCTTGCCGAGCGCATGCTCATTCATACCACATGCCCATCGGATGATTTCATTACCGATTTTCCACTGCCAGATATCATTTGTGTTTTAAAGACATCCTCCTCCGTTATTTGTTTTAATGCCCTAGTAGTAAATTTCAAAAACAGATTTTTATTACACACATCCAGATCTTTTTTGACTTGAATTGAGGTAAATTTTTAAAATTGAAATTTTAAAATCTTTTTGAATTGAATTGAGCTAGGAGTCAAACGAATTGTCATACCATCCGGTCATATTTCGGTCTCTACAGAAAAGTTTCTTTCCAATGTGTTTTCGACGAGGTTTTTGCTGAAATTCTAAACGAGTGAACTCATTTCCCAACAAATGTGGTTTCATTCCAGCCTAAAATATATTTAAATATCATAATAAAATTCTGTACCAGGAAATTAGTAAGTTCTGTAAGGGAGAGCGCGCGATATTTAGTAAATTCTATTTAGTAAAGTTTGGTTGCAAACTACTGTAAAATGCGTGAAAATATAGACAATATTTACTAGTAATAGCATGCAATCAAACTTCGTAAAAGTACTAAATTTGATATGCTCTATCAACCAGTGCTGGTAACGTTTGTTCATTGGCATTTTCATTAGGTGTATTGATTGTAAATACCTCTGGGCATTAATTGTGGTGAATCTCCGGGGAATGAGCAGAGGGGAGTATTAGGTCTAACATTTTTTGATCTGCTCACATTAAGTAATATTGAATTAAGCCTTACCAGGACTTGAAGTCGACAGCGATCAGTCTCAGGAGTATGATCTTTTGTCACCGGGATTGGTTTTCCATCTTTGCATATAATTGCTCTGCATTTTGATAATCATAGTGGGATATTAATAAAGTAGCTATGAATTCTACTGTTCTTGATTGTTCTAGTGACAATAAACAGTTAAAGATTTTACTATGTATGTACAAAACATAAAGTAGAACCTGGAATCACCAGCATTTGCAAGAAATAATTTATTCTTTATAAACAATGAAACAACTGCAGTACATCCACCAGTAATTTTATGAAGACTTCTATCCTTATTTATGCGATTATCCTAAAATATAGCAGGTAAAAAATGACAAGATGATAAAGTCAATATATATATATATATATATATATATATATATATATATATATATATATATAATATATATATATTATATATATAATATATATATATATATATATATTCAGTAGCCAAGGCAATCCAATTTTCAGTCATGCATGTACAATGCAAGTTTTAGTTATTTTTCATTACTTTCGAAATTCATTGTTTTCACAGACTATGAACCCTGAAACATTTGCACTAGCATGGCCTGCAAAAGTCAGGCTGACCCAGCCTCCGGCTGTATATAATTAATAATGTAATTTAACAAAATTACCATATCTAAAAATGATTGTTCCAATGCTCCAGTGATAACAGCTTCAAAGTCTATTGTAGGAGCAACAACTCCTTGTAATACTGGCAGTTTTCCATAATTTTTCTCCTCACAAATAATCACATCTTGAATTTCATGTAGCTTCTCATGAATTATATCTTGAAGTTGATTGACAGCTGCCAAGGCCGCACCTGCTCCTGCGTGGCCGTCAAATATACCAAAACACCAGTATGGAAGTTTTGTCTGCAAATATATAAGTACAATGAATTAATACCTCTACCGGTAGTTTAGTCTCAGTTAATCATATATTTTTTCAAAGTTGTCAAAAAAGTTTAGTCTCAAAAATTTTATTATAGCCATCAAAATATATTTTAGAAAATCAGATAAACATCTGGTATGCTGTATTAACATTGTTTTCTCAACATGGCATTGGAATCGATGCAGTCAAGGGAAGCAAACTAATTACAATTCGCATGGCAACTTGGGCTAGCTTTCAGGACAGTACTGTATTTATAAAAATTCTGTATTTCATTTATCACATGCTTGCAGTAGTGTTTATAGCCGTCATAATTAATACATACAATTGTATCTTCTTTTGGTTTCTCATCAATACTTATTACATGTAAGCAAAATAATTCTGCAAATGCTTGATCTTCGTTGACTAAATAGGTCTTCCCTGCATTGATTGTTCTATAATGGACAATTATGTTTAATTTATCTATACATTGATCTCTATGCGAAAACTTTGCACACAATATTGGTAAAAACATATTTAGTACAAGATAAAAAAATCTATATATCTATTTACATATCACCAATTGTTTATTTTTGATGCTAATTTCTCCTAAAAATGACTACATGTATCGAACCAAATATTTAAGGGATGTGCTCCTTAGTCACATAAATTATGGTGCAATAGTGCCTTGGCATAAATTTCTTGTTCAGTACCTATACATATATCTACTTTAACAAATTGGAATTCTGCATTGCTCAAAGAGCAAAATAGCAGGTCAGGATGCAAAATTTAACATTGATTGGTAGAACAAAGTTGCTGGTCATTCAATAAACAAAGTTGACCAACACAGAAAATTGTGAACAGTTGGCAGGAAATGCAGTTTGTAAGAGGCATACACTATATAAAAGTTTCTGGACCTATTTAAGGCAACTACCCAGCCAAAAAGGCTGAAATTAATATTTTAATTTTAATATTATCCTCCTTCAAAAAAAACTCATGTTGTTTTACGTAATTCGCAAAATCCATCAATCACTGATTGTCTATTGATGACTTGATGCGGTAGTAATTATACAATCCATTGTGAATTTTACTACAGCATGGGATTTATATACATTATAGTACTCCAGCTGGTGTACAAACTTACTCGGAATAACCTGCATTCAATGGTAATTCTCTTTGAGCCACAAGTATTGGTCGTATTTCATGATCTGCTGATGCTTTGGCAGCTTCTTTACTCAAACCAAGGAATGAGGGTCGAGTGTAGGGAAAAAGCTCAGTTGAATTAACCTTCTGATGGGCTTTCAGTCCATCTGATTTCTGGCCACTGGGAAAAACTAGATTGCCTGCCCATTTCCTAACTCCGTTCAACGCAGCAGCCATTTTTCTTCATTATTTATATAAAAAAGACATTTTCAAGTATTTATTAATTGCTCTTTCACTGTCATCGCAAACACGGAAGTGATGGATAATTATGGAAATTTGGTGACCCAAATTTGGGTACCTGAACAACCCACCGAATTCATCCGCAACGTTCCACCACTGAGTGTATTCCACCAGTGACCAGTCATCGGGAAACAGATCTGGGAACAGATATCAACAGAAGAACCGGGCTCAGCCTGGGGCTCAGGGGAACTGGAGAACCGTGAAAAAAGGGGATTAGGAGACCGGGATATAGGGAAAACGCGGAACGGAAAAACCAGGAAGCAGTGGAATGGGGAAACTAGAGAAAGGGAGACCTGGGGAACGGGGAAACAGAATATTTTTGCAAACTGAGCCGTTCAGTAATTTATACCGAGTTTCCCCTTTCGAGAATCATGACTATTTTGACGTTAAAATCCAACAAGGATTGTTTCAAGACACCGAGAGAATATCAAAACACTAAAATTATCGCATTGGACATTTTATTTTCTCGCTAAAAACACTTAAAAAACGTTTAGGCGTTTAAATCTTGTAATTTCCAAGCGTGTGCATTTTTAGGCATTCAGTTAGTTTTCTATGCTGCTCGCTGACAGCAATGCCGCACAGGGGCATGAAAACACTGGCGAATTCAATCAATTTCGATTTTGAAACCGAGTGGCAAAATTTTGACTACCACAACTACCTTCATATATGACTTGAAATTAGATGTTAGCGGCATTAGTTCTCTAATGAGTTAAATATTACGGTAGACCCATTATGTTTAGCAGACAATCCAGTTTATTATTCAACCAATCTTTGTGTTTTTGAGACATTCCATCAATCCATTTCTTCGGCAGCATTTTGTATCCAGTGTGGCACCCCAATATTGCTCCCACAACAGAAGCGTTACAGCTGGCCATTCCTCCTTCAAAAATCAAGTCGGTAATGCACGACCTATAGAATATCATTCAGCCTATTATTAGACACATGTCTTCACGTCTAAGGCATGGAGCAAAAAAACAGGATAAAACTTAAGATTTACAATCTCTACCTGCGTCATGATTTAAAAATTCCCAGTGCATTCTACAATGCATAATTGGAATAGTACCAATAAAGTTACAATACAGGAAACCTGCATTGATATTCATTATTCCCTCACTATAGGCTTATCGTCCTGTACAAGTAATTTATGAGTAATAATCAACTTACTGAAAAGTTTCGTTGAGTTTTCTAAGACCAACAGCAGCTGACCCCAGTGGTTTCAACGTGTACACAATGTTTCTTGTCTCATTACATTGTACACTGCATGTCGAAAGAAAAACTCTGTTGATAGTTGCATAAATATATAGCAGGCAATATACTTAAATAAACTATAAAAATGCAGAAGCTGCATGGTTAAAACATTAACTACAAAACATTGTTTTCCCTGATTTATACATCTTCAATGCCCCCAAAACGTTTCGTGCAATAAGTAATCGCATTGGTGTCAATACCAGATTACAGAATACAGTAATTTTGAAATTGGTATTTCATCTGCCATACTGGTTTGCATTAAACAAATCTAAAAATTTTATTGTCTGATAAACAGCGAATTAAGCTTTGAAATGGCACACATCTATATAACCTATCTATATATATGCTCTACAGTTTAGAGAATTTACTCTTGACTTCCAGTATATATACTGATATAGACAACAAGCCATCGGTGTATTGGGTCAGTAGAAAATATAGCAAAAACCAAGTTATTTTAAACTTGTAAAGTCGTATCAAAAATAATAATAAAACGTCGTTTAGTGAATATATTTCCGCTGTTTTGGTCTCTAAATGTTTTAAGAAAAATTAGAATAGCATGGGTATAAAATCTCATAAATTTACACCTACCTTTCGAATGTCTTGCATTCCAAGTATTTATTTATTTCACTCACTTGAGAGCCATCATCCAGATATCTTTTAGATCTTTCTGCAGCTTCAAATAAGATTGCTTCCACAGAATCATTGTCATTCAAGTCATGTTTACCCTAAATAAAAAGCATGGTAACGATCGGTGTATGAGAGATTTTATAAATTTCGCTAATGCATATTCATTTTTAATCGTCACCATGCGCTATCTTTCAACGAAAGATTTGTTCAGTATTTTAATAATTGCATGGTTGTGTATAATATTTCAATTCACTTTGTATAAGATCTAAAGTTGAGTTGCTATGTTAGTCTGTCTTTCGTAAAATGAAACGAGCCTCAAAATTCATCACATCATTGTACAAAAAAAGGTCGCGATACGTTTTTCCATTTTCCAACGAAACTTGTTAAAATATTTAAAATAAAATATACCTGAAGAAGAAGAGCAATGATGGTATTTACCGCGACACAACTTGCGATACACCTAACAAGAATAGTTTTATAAAATAAAATCCTGATAAGAATGATATCTTTAATCATGAAATTATAGTTAGTTGGACGAGGGGAGATGCATAGACCATGGCTGCAACTACATGCACTGCATCTTGATTTTGAAACTGTCAAGAACGTCAATTAAGTTGCTTATAACAAGTTTAAAGAGTTTACTTCTCTGAGAAAAGTGAACTATCAGAATGTTTTGCGAGGTTCTTCGTAGAAAATGATACCATTCGCAAAGTCTTCTGATATGTAGTTACGTTTAAAACAGGCCAATAAATGTAAGTCCCTTGTCGTCTCTCGTGTGACTATTTGTCAGAGGGATCATGCTTGATGATACTAATAGTCGGAAAATTGTTGCTACCTGTACAATGACACAAACGTTTATTCTAAAACTAGCTGAACTTTAATTTACGTCATCTATACCTTGGATCTGCATGAGTACATTTACATATTCTCGCCGCGTTAGCACAAACTTCGTCCAAGTCATAAAAATGTGAAACACTTAAAACAGCGGTTCGTGCTACTGCGGCATTTGAACAATACTGCTTTTCATGACTTATCATTTTTGCTACAAAATGAGGATCTTTTGTATATTCAGCATCGTTTAAGATCTAAAAAAATGGATTCTCATTGAAAGAAAATGTTATAACTTATACATAAAACGAGCTATGTCTTGCCTTCAAGAGGCCAAGCAGAGGGTTCAATTCCCTGGTAAATTTTGTCCCCCACCCTGAGAAAAATGAAACAAGATGAGATAATCGTGTTCCTGCTGACTTGTAGTTGTTCAGTAATGTGTTTGATAATTGTTAGGCTACCTTTCCAAATAAGCCTTTGAAATCCGGACCTTTTATTTCACCGAAATCTGCAAATCCATTTTTATTCCACGATGCTAACCTACGTGCGACATCAAGTTCGTCGACCACTCCACCCCAGGAAAGAATGGAATCCAAGATCAATATCTAAATGGTTTAGTTTTTGCATGTTTACATCATCATTCTAAATTAACATTAGCTTCCATAAATAAATGGGTAAAAAACATTAGGTCCGTGATCATTCTATAGGTATCAGTGAACTGACTAAAGCCAATTTTTGCAAATTACGCAAGCTGCATAAAGCATGAGTAACTTCGATTACTGTTCCACCTACCATCATAAACACTCTCATTCAAACCAATAAACAATCTGTAACAACTGCAAAATAATTTCTCCTGAAATCACCATCTTCACTCAAAATCTCGCTATACACTTACCATTTGATCAAATGAATGTGTCCAGCATCCTTTCTCGAAATTGTTTCTATGAATATCATTTATGATGTCACAGTAGTTTAATTGTTCTTTATCATAATAAAATGCACATTCACTCTTGCTTAAGAAATCAGTTAAGTACCCAAGAGCACTGCCAATAGCTGCACCGTAGATACAACCAATAATCTTGTTAGACAATTCATCCGGTGGAAATGTGGTCGCCATTGTCGGGGGAAGAAGCGGTGTCTTAACTTTCACTTTCATATGAAAACTTTGTGTCTGTGTTTCATTGTATAATTGCGTCATAGCAGTGTTCAAATTTGGATGAGTAAATGCATCACCTTTTCGCACACGCGGAAATATATTTACAATATCTTCTTGCCGTGGTAGAGGTAATGCGTGTTCCTTTTCAAAATATTGTCTAATGCTAGCAAGACCTTTATCGCAGATATCTTGATGAGGTGTAGTTAAACGGTTGTTTAAACACACCAAAACTTCTAAACTATCGATTAAACAAAGTGAAAGCGGTATTTGTTCCAAAAAATTATTATTCACGTTCAGCTTCTTCAACTTTTTTAGATTATCCATATCATCACGTAATGCTCTTAACTTATTGTTAGAAAGATCAAGCTTTTGAAGTGATTTTAGCAGAGAAAATGAGTTAGGCAGTTTTGATAACAGATTATGTGACAGTTCAAGTATTTCAAGGTGGATTAACATGCCAAAAGATTCAGGCAAGCTGGAAATTCGGTTAAAATTTAAATTAAGATGAATTAGGTGAGGCAATTGTAGTGGAAGTTCTTGAGGAATCTGTGTTATGCAATGAAACGAAACAATTAATGTTTCATAAAAAGAAATATGAGCAAATAGTCGGGCAGGAATTTCCACAAGACCAGGATTTTCTTCAACCACTTCATTTCGCAAATGCTACAAGAAAATTTAAAATTAATTTTCCCATAGGGAGCAACCTTTACAGGATTACATTATTTTGTTATCAAGTATTGAAATACTTTGCAAAATATTTCACAGATGAGATAAAGTCATACGCCTGTATTCAAAAAGCTCACTGACACTCACACTCATCGAGTGTGGCATATAAATTTTGTTTATGCTGGTCAATGAGAAAGTTTTCTTTCAATAGATGGAAAGATATAAGGTAAATCACTGAAAATCAAGCCCCTTTTCGGCTGGAAATACCGCCATGGAAACGTTATGAGAAGATTAGGATCTCCCACTCAATGAGTTTGAGTGTGAGTGAGCTTTTAAAATACAGGCGATAGTGTGTGAACAAAATGTATGGCAGTAGCCACAGTTAATGCATTGACTTTTGGTTCACAAACTAAGGGTCTTCTGTTGTCCTTAGTACACTTGCATAAATAAATGCATTCTTTTACTTTATGTATTTACTACAAAGTTTTGAATTATACAAATTTTTAAAAAATTATTGACATTGTGACTCATCTATAAATCAATTGTCTAGTGATGCACAATACTAGACCAATCAAATCGGCTTCTTGTTTTCTTGATGGCACTACAAACAATGTGGCCTCGAATATTCACAAATCTGGCAACTCTGGTGTTCAAAGGTTTGGGGGCGGGGTTCCAGATTCTGCAGTCTTTTATAAACAAGTATAGAATTATCAATTGTATTACTATAGAGGACCATGCAGGCCTGTTTAGGATAGTATAAAGAAAGGTACTCATATCCATAGCCCACAGGCAGACAAGCATTCAGTGTAGCTAATTAGCTATAAAATAGATACAAATGATATAAAGGATGGGAAATTATTTTCATCCATGTTAACTAGTGTGTGCACTTTATACACTCCACAGGATAGGGTTGCAAATTCATATTTTTAGAATCATCATAGTCAGATCAAGCACATAAAAGTAATAAAGTTTGTTTTTGTATTAACCTTAATTATCCACATCCGTCCCAGAATGTGATCCGGCCTAGCAGCATACAAAGCAAATTCTAGCTGTTTCTAGGTTGAGCATTTGCTTTTTTCTACATGGATTTAGGTCTCCCCAAATCGCCGATTCAATTAATGCAATGATAGGCGAATGGAGATTATAGTTTATTCATGCAACTATAATTAAAAAAGTATATATAAAAGATAAAAATAGAATAACTTAATACAAACCTGATCCAGTTGGTAAGAAGTCAAACGTCTGCTCAAATCCAACTTTTCCGACGATAGACTGTTCAGTTGATCTTTCTCGAGATGACTGGTAAATTCAACATTTCCCATTTCTTTTAAACGTTTTTAATGAACATAATAGAATAATAAGAAAAAATAACAAAATATCAATACTAAATGCCTCATGATGAGGTGAGGCGCTAGAATATAATGACGTAGCAGATAAATAAGCAAAATAGCTATTTATTATGCATGTGCGTCATCACCTTTCCAGCTAGCACTGCCGTATATATATTTTTCAGAAGGTTTTATAGCCTGTTTGAAAAGGGTGCAAAAATTGGAATTGCAGCGGTTTGAAAATGTTCCGCTTAGTGGTAGGGTTTACGTACACGATGCCGGTACAACACTATAATTGTTTGTCATGTGGCATTTTTTCTCCAATAAGATTTTAAACAAGAATATCGCTGCCAGAAAAATGAAACCGAAAAGAGATAGTAGAGACTAGAGAGAGAGAACACCGAAGGAGAGTAATTTTAAATGGAGTGGATTAATAATCATTAATTACTAATAAGTCATTTTTCTAATGAAAACGCAACGTGTAAACGGGATCTTAATAAGAAAGTTTCTCAGTCTCATCAAATGCAGTTTCTATTGCTTCTTCTGGGTCAAAATCATCATTTTTAAGAAACGCATCTTTTGTGTGCATTATTTTCTTATGCTGCGAGTACTCTTCTCGCCGTGGTAGAGATAAAGCGTTTTCCTTTTCGAAATATTGTCTAATGCTAGCTAGCACGACCTTTATCGCAGATATCTTGTAGATATGTTTATATCTCGCAGATATGTTCCAGATACGAGCAATATTGTTGATTTCTAATTTAATGAAGATCCCTTCTAAAAATTGTTTCATGTATGAGTACAAATACGACGAATCTTTAATCTCTCACCCAGGCAAGGCCGTAAAACTGAAGCTTTGTCAGGCTAATTTCGACACTTTAAGACACACTCATCCGGCAAAAATTTGTGAAATGTTTTTGGGTAAAGTACTTTTAAATGACTTGAATGAAACTCTCAAATGCTTTTAGTTAAATTTCTAATGAGTATAGTAGCCTCTCATGCATACTGCCCCTACGTTTTCTGTTTGACCACGCCCTTTCTGTTTTTCGTCGGGCAAAATATTCCTGCACCCCCCTCCGGCCAAGCACAACACCAACGTTACGTCCCTGAACCCATTGACCCAGGCCTTACAGAAAGTCGAGCTTATCAAGCTATAGCTGATCGTTCCCTTTAGTCATGAAAAGTAGGGATTGAAAGTGTTTGTGCCTCTGATGAGGTATACAGACATTGGTGCTGGAATAAATTAATCAAATTCTCTTAGTCTCAACTTTTAATGAACAGGGTGTTTCGAAGAAAACGAAACGCATTAAAATCGCCCATCATGACAATTTCATTGTTAGAATTGACATGCCCAACACTGTATTTGGACCCATAGATTGGCCGTTGCCATGACATTGCGAAAGTTAATAGATAAAGCAAACATGATGGTATCATTTGATTGTATGCTGAAGACAAACACATTCTTTATCATCTTGATGGGCAGCTCACAATTTCACATGATACATAAGGTGATGATTGATGAAAAAAATGAAGTTACACAATGCCCGTCCACACGAGGCCGGAAGAATTTGAAAGAATATTTTTACGGTTACACGCACCATCCACACGTATCCGCCGTTTTCGCCCACTGGAAACGGAAGAATTTGAAAACGCTCTCCAGAGTGGAAGAATTTGAAAACGGCGGCTGAATGGATACGAGTGGACGGCTTTGCCGAATAGATAAATTTGAAAACGATAACATCACGTATCAAATCGTTTCCATATTAATGAGGCTTGTTTCAAGTCTTGTGGCTTATGCTCAACTTTATATTGCTATATTAGCGTCAAATGAGTCTTATTTAGGTTATTTTCACGGTGAGTGAAATCTTCGCCAATCCTTTTAGCATTTGGGAAGTATTTTTCGCTAAGAACATGTCCAAAATGTCGGAGTATGGTTATTCACAATTTTTTATACACGACGTCTGAAATGGCGTAGAACATAAAAAATCTTATGTGCTCACGACCCCATCTACGTTATTCCTACGTAGACCATATCGCAGACGTCTCTGTTAAATCTTCGTAATGACAAATTATTTGTGCCGCGTCAATAGTTAATAGAAGGAGTGGTCAAACGTCATACTTTGTGTAAATATTTTCAGTGTAATCGTATTGGTAAGGAATTTTAATATCATTTTTTTTAATTCTTTCATAAATACATATTACTAAAAATAGTTAAAAATACGACATTAGAGGAGAAAAAATGTGCAATTTGTCGTTTCAAGTTAACAAAAAATTTCAATTCTATTCAATTCGTTCTGTTTTGTCTCCGACTCCGTGCACTCCATTGTGTAGTAATTTGACAGTTGTGCGTTACTAGGGAAGCGATAAAAACTTGTTTCAGTGTTGTGATCGCCCCCTTTTTGCTAGAATGAATCAAACTCATATGAAAATTTGTAACATAATTACTGTAAAATTTGACAAAAGTTAGTTTCCTTAAAGTAAAGGGAATGATTAATTAATCTAAACCGTGACTTTTGCTGGTCGTTCTTGGCAGTCTTGGCAAAGATCTGCATCCTGGTCGTGGTCGTCTAAAATGCATCCTGGTCGTGCGAGAATAATAAAACTGTGGCCAACTCCGTGCTATTGGCACAAGGCCACTAAAGGAATTGTCTGATTTGGTCAGTTATGCATACGTTCGCAGAAAATTTGCATATGAATAAGTATTAGCCGGGTTTTTTTGGCTCACTCGCGTCGGTAATTAATGAAATTTATAACCGTATTTGAAATTTTAGAACTAAATTATTTTGTCTTTTTAACCTAAAATGTTTTTCTTTCATATTACTTGTTAAAACGCTCTGATTAAAACACATGTAAAATGTCACAGGATGTTTAACTTGTCAAGATGAAGCATCATCAACATCAACTCCTACGCAACCTTCAAACGAGGATTATAAATGAGATATTGCAAGCATAAAGTGTTCAATAGTGGCAAGTCATTTATTTTCAAGCTGCTGCTGGAAAGTTTTGAGATAGAGTCATACTGAATACCCTTTCGGATCGTCAACATACCTCTTCTTGAAATCTCTTCACCTAAGTTCGGATGATGTAGCATATAAATCGAGTTTGTTCCACTTATACCGACAGGTCCCGACTTGCCGTTGCTTAGGTTTAAAAAAGTGGGCAAGAATTGAAAAACCTCGCCATATATCCAGATCGTTAGTGAGGTAGCTTTCTCAGCACGTATTTTATTAAGGCTCTTTCCACCTAAGCCTTTTGAAAAGTGCGGAAACATTGAAAATTTCTATCGTTCATTAACAATAAACTTCTATACCATTCAATTTGACAAGAAAAATCATCTAATTTTCTTTTGTTAGATATTTTCTCGGACAATTCTGTTAACTTTCATGCTTAATACAACAATCTTATGGTTTCGACCCTTCGGTTGCTTACAATGAAATTGTCAAAATTGTTAATTCAAATCCACCACCCAAAGGTTTTCCATTTCCCACGATTCTCTCTCCACGGAGTGTTCAGGACAAAATTGCAATCGTCGGAGGAGGCCCTGCAGGCATCCATATGGCATATTTATTGAAGAAAAGGGGGTTTAATTGGAGATCTATAACATGTTCCCATTTCATGAAGGGTCCTGCGATACTCAACTGTGAGAGATTTCCCCCTAATTCTACCTGACTTTTCGTAGACAACGATATCTTTATTCCAGATTATGAAGAGAACGTAATTGCTCTGGCCAAAGAATATGGACTCTGGGATCCTGTACACGTACCCTCAGCTAATATTTGGCAAGATCATGTTTCAAATCCATCTCAATACTCAAACTATGTAATACTTGAAATTATGGAAATTTTGAATACGAACAAAAGAAACGTACGTAGCCATTGCTGAATTGTTCAAAAGCCATGGTTCAATACTGCGCATTGCATCGACAACTGTTTGGTAAGTATGAAGGAGACTTGATGCGGCGACCTGGATCAGAAACAATGAAAAAACTTAGATGCACTTTTGAAGAATTTCTAAAGCAAAATAACCTTCTAGTCTTAAAGACAATCTGCATTGCAAGAAAACCTTGTAGTAACCACCTTACAAAGATACTGAGAAGAAACCTCACAACAACAGGGTCTTCGAACATCCAGATAATACGGTAAGAGAGCTGGGAATATTTTCCCAGGTTTTCACCGAAGGACATGGCAAATGGTGTACTATGGGACATCTTCAAAATGCAAGGCAGCAGACGTACATGGTTTGCGGGCTCGTCTGTAAACTTCGAGTCTGTGAAAAGTGTTCTTGAATACAACAAGTTATTGGTTTCAAAAATGGACACTACCGCATGAACAGATGATATAGTTTAACACAGGACTGTAGTAATTAAGTTGTAGCCTGCGAGTATGAGTCTACGTAACAACGAATATTCATAATTGAAAAGCACCCCAAAGATGGTACAACGCTGAAATAGAAAAGATCGCTCAGAATGGATGTTCCAAGAGTAGAGACTGTTAGGGTGTGTCAGACCACAGTTAATAGAATATATACATGGTTTGGAGATTAAATAAAAGTACAATACAACTCATTACTATTCTATTGTCCACGTTTATGCAAAAAATGGTTTCTTTCTCGTCACGTGTCTATTGTATTTTAGCCAAATTTACCAATGGCATTCGTCTTGCTAAGCTCATCAACCTTGACTTGAAAAATATGTTAATTATGCATGAGATTGCTATTAGTTTATCTGTGCAAAATACAATAAACATGTGATGAGAAAGGAACAATTTTTCGCATAAATGTACCTCAACATAGTTAATGAGTTGTATTGTAGTTTTATGTGGTCTCCAAACCATGTATATTCTATTAACTGTGATCAGACCCTTGATACATAGGCCCTGACAGGGAAATCTGTTAACTGTGCAACTTAGTAAGACATGCTATACATGCTATACATGCTATACATGCATGTAAAAATAAAGATACAAATACCTTGCTGGGCGAAAAATATGATTACATTAAAAAAATTGGTTTGTTTTATGAGTACAAATACGACGAATGACGAATCTTTAATCGCTCATTGCTCTTCCAAAATTTAAACTGTATTTAAACAGCTAGACCGTGCTGAAAGTCGAGCTTAGTATCAAGCTATATAGCTGGTCGTTCCCTTTAATCATGAAAAAAAGGAATGCAAAGCATATGTGCCTCTGATGAGGTACAGACATTGACGCTGGAATAAATTAGTCAAATTCTCCTAGTCTCAACTTTCAATGGACAGGGTGCTTCGAAAATTCCCCGAAAAGCATTGAAATCGCCCATGACAATCTAAAGCCACGTCCACACGATGCCGGAAGACTTTGCCGAAACGCAAGAATATTCTTACGGTTACGCGTACCGTCCACACGTATCCGGCGTTTTCGCCCACTGGAAACGGAAGAATATATGAAAACGCTCCCCGTGCAGAGTGGAAGAATTTAAAAACGATAGCTGAACGGATACCTGCATGTGAACAGCTTTGCCGGATAAATTTAAAAACGAGAAGTCACTTGTCAAGTCGTTTCCGAGGAGGCTTGTCTCAGTGAGGCAAGTGTTGTGGCTTATGTTCAACTTTATATATGAGATATGAGTCTTATTTAGTAAAATCTTCGCCAATCCTTTTAGCATTTGCGGGAATATTTTTCGCTAAAAACATGTCCAAAATGTCAGAGTATGGGTATTCACAATTTTTTATACCCGACATGTGAAATGGCGTAGAAGAAGAAAATAAAAAATTTCATGTGCCACAACTCTATCCATGCACGTTATTTTTACGTAATGACATATTATTTGAGTCAATATAGTTAATAGGATTTGTCAAGCGTCATACACTGTGTAAATATTTTCAGTGCTGGTAGTCAGTGTCGCATTTAGGAGTTTTTAATATAACTTTTTTCAATTGTTTGATATTTGAGAAATACAAATTACAGAAATTAGTTAACAATACGGCATTAGAGAAGAAAAAATAAGTCAACGAAAAACTAACATTGAAGGATTATAGGAAGGAAACTTATACACTAAATTCGACCTTCACAGGATATATGTAGTAGGAAAGATACAACGCCTAGGAAGTCAAATATAAGTCAGTTGTAAATATATCAGTGTTCCCTGAGACCAAAGTGGCAAAACTGATGCGGTTAACTAAAAGACTGAAATCGTAATCACTCCGCGGTATATTGCAAAGGGAGGTTAACACGAATTCACTTTTAGAGCATAAAATGTTTTAATTCTCAAGGAATTTTAAATAGCTTTTAAACACATTAAAAACATAAAAACATGTAAAATTACTGATGCGGTGATTGATGGACTGCTGATCTCAATTCTATTCAATCACAGATTCAATTCGTTCTGTTTTGTCACCATGTACTCGACTGCACCATTTCATTTCATTTGAAATTCAAAGAAACTGAACTTGTGTTTTCAGAACAGGATGGATCACTTTGAAAGCGTCAAGCCCAAGACCAAGGCCTAGGGATTTTTTCATGCACCCTGTCTCTGTATCAATAAGTTTTCAATAGGAATACAATACAATGCAGGGAAGCGATAAAAACCTTTGTCTCTGTGTTGTGTTCGCCCCCTTTTTGATAGGGTAAATCAAATTCATATGCAAATTTGTAATAGTTTCTGTATTGTAAAATTTGACAAAAACTAGTGTCCTAATTAAAAGGAGTGAATATAATTAATTAATCTAAACTGTGACTTTTGCTGGTCGTTCTTGGCAGTCTTGAAGTTAAAATGCATTCTGATCGTGCGAGAATAATAAAACTGTGGCCAACTCCGTACTACTGGCACAAGGCCACTAAAGGAACTGTCTGATTTGGTCAGTTCGCAGACAATACATAAGTTCGCAGACATTTGCATATCAGTGAATAAGAATTATAGGGTTTTTTGGCTCACTCGCGTGGATAATTGATAAAATCTGAAAGAGGGCCTAACCGTATTTGAAATTTTATGACTAAATTAATTATGTTGTCCTTTACAGTTCGCAAATGTTTTTCTTTTATATCAGTTGTTGAAACGCTCTGATTAAAACACATGTAAAATGTCACGGGATGTTTAACTTGTCAAGATGAAGCATCATTAGCATCCACTCCTACGCAACCTTCAAAGTTTAAACGAGGATTATAAATAAGACATTACAAGCACAAAGTGTTCAATAGTGGCAAGTCATTTGATTTTCAAGCTGTTGCTGAAATAAAAAGTCATTGATGGTGAGTTATTGATTTGTGTAGTTCGTAGATGTATTGTTCTGTATGTACCCGATCAGTCTCTTTTAGTGTTTTTCTGATGCTGTACTGATACTAGCGATCACAAAGAAAATATATATCTATCGTCTTAATGGATGATCCGCCTCATTGTTTGTTTATATCCGCTCGGATCATCAGACCAACTAACTTTTCTTCATGTAAGTTCGACGGATGATCCGATTGTACTATATAAATTGAGCTTGTACCACTTATTCTGCTGTCAACGCCCAACCGCATTTGTCGTTGCTCGGGTTTTTAAAAAGCTGGGCAAAAATTTCGGCTTATTCAGGTCGTTAGTGAGGTCGCTTTCTCAGCACGTATTTTATTAAGGCTCTTCCATCTAAGCCTTTTCATTCGCGCGGAAACATTGAAAATTTCTATCGTTTCACTATCAATAAACACCTACCATTCAGTTTGACAAGAAAAATCTAATTTTCTTTTGTTAGATGTTTTCTCGGACAATTCTGTTAACTTTCATGCTATGTTCAACAATCTTAATACAACAATCTTATGGTCTCAACCCTTTGGATGCTTTCAATGAAATTGTCAAAATTGTTAATTCAAATCCACCAGCCAAAGGTTTTCCATTTCCCACGATTCCCTCTCCAAGGAGTGTTCAGGACAAAATTGCAATCGTCGGGGGTGGCCCTGCAGGCATCCATATGGCATATTTATTGAAGAAAAGGGGATTTAAAGATATCGTTGTCTACGAAAAGTCAGGTAGAATTGGGGGGAAATCTCTCACAGTTGAGTATCGCAACACCGTACATGAAATGGGAACATGTTATACAACTCCAGATTATGAAGAGAACGTAATTGCTCTGGCCAAAGAATATGGACTCTGGGATCCTGTAGACATACCTTCAGCTAATATTTGGCAAGATCATGTTTCAAATCCATCTCAATACTCAAACTATGTAATACTTGAAATTATGAAAATTTTGAATACGAACAACCCAAACGTAGCCATTGCTGAATTGTTAAAAGCCATGGTTCAATACTGCGCATTGCATCGACAACTGTTTGGTAAGTATGAAGGAGACTTGATGCGGCAACCTGGATCAGAAACAATGAAAAAACTTAGATGCACTTTTGAAGAATTTCTAAAGCAAAATAATCTTCTAGTCTTAAAGCCAATCTTCATTGCATCGCATACAGTTCAAGGGTACGGACATATTGATGAAATATCTGCACTGTACGGTCTCATGTGGAACACGCCAGTGTATGTTAAAGAATTGGCCGGTAAGTTTATCGGAGTATCGCACGGTTTAAATATGATTCGCGGCGGGTTTCAAAATTTGTGGAAGACGATAGTGGAACGGGAAAATATTAAAGTTGTTACTAATGTGAATGTCGTAAAAGTTATAAGACGGACCAATTGCGTCTACGTTGTAAGAAAGTTTCGTTACGGATGGAGATATTATAGGAGAGGGTCATATTTTGATTTTCTTATCTGGACACCAAGTGTGTACTCAACTCGTAGACGGCTGCATACTTGCCGTAAAGAATGGAATATATTCTCAAAACTTAAACCAGTTTGGTTTAGTACAACTCTTTTCTCTTCAACCTACGGAACCCGAGGTGAATCACCGATCGACTATTGGCTTGATAATGTGGAAAACAAACGCGAACATTCGTTATGGGCTCAACGTGATTCTTACGGCACACTCAGCAATTATTACGGAGAAGCTTATAAAAACGGATCCTTGCCTGGCGGCCCTGATCACCGATTCATTCGAACTGGAGTTGCTTATCAATACGGAAAAGGAAAACCTTGTAATAACTGCCTTACAACGATACTGAGAAGAAACCTCACAACAACAGGGTCTTCGAACATCCAGATAGTACGACAAGAGAGTTGGGAATATTTTCCCAAGTTTTCACCGAATGACATGGCAAATGGTGTACTATGGGACATCTTCAAAATGCAAGGCAGCAGACGTACATGGTTTGCGGGCTCGTCTGTAAACTTCGAGTCTGTGAAAAGTGTTCTTGAATACAACAAGTTATTGGTTTCAAAAATGGACACTACCGCATGAACAGATTATATAGTTTAACACAAGACTGTAGTAATTAAGTTCTGCTTGACACTATTTTTATTAGAAAAATTGATGTATTTCAACCTTACATGTTGAGTATGTATAATATGCTCAATCTTTAAATACAATAAAACAGTGTGAAAAGGGCTTTTGCTTCGTTTTTCAAACTCGTTTCACACAGTGGCGGAAATTTCTCCATTTTCGAGGATCTAAAGGCTTCAAATTGTAAACATTTTCTCGCTTGACAGGCACCATGCAAGTGTTATATTAAATGCCGCTCTGTTGCCATGCTCCCTTAGTTAAGGCTAAAATTTCCTTCGCGTTCTCGTATTTGTGAAAAAGTATTCATGTAGGAAAACTGGTGACAAAATATTCTTCCAATGCCAAAAAACAACAAAATGCGCTTTCAATGCATGGTCCGACCTTGGCTTTGAGAAGGCTAACAAATTCTGAAAATTCGGGAAGATTTACTCCTGGACTGAATTGAAATTCCGCCACTAGTAGCACACGACGACTGCACACGACTGAACAAATTCTGAAAGGCTTGCACTGGCGAAGAGTAATGGAAAATGACTCGATTACCGTCTTTTGTACAAGCATGGTTTAAGGGAGACTGTCACAGTCTTTGTTTTATCAGGTTTCTTGGACAATTTCTTGAATTGAAACTGTACAAACATCTTGTTTGTTGTATCCTGAAAGAAATTATAATAAATATTTACCGTTTAGTCGACTAATCATTTACAATTTACCATTTCTTTGCATTTTGAAAGGAAAGTTTTTTCGTCTTATTTCCTGACCGGTTTGTAAGTATTTTTCTTTGAACTTAAAGGATAAGCAACTTATTGTTCTAAGATTTTGTCGCCCTTCATGGAAATTTATGAAGCATCCGACAGATTCATGAGTATAGCTTCATCATCACGTGTTCATACACTTCATCATGACGTGTCCTTTGTTTGAATTCATCCCCATATATAGAAATCATATTTTCAACCATTATAGTAAAGCATCTTGTATTGTTAGTGAGGTACAACAGCATGTGCACAATCTATGGATTTCTTTCTACATACTTTGTAAACCTACATTGAAAGCGGTTTTATAACTAATGTAGGAGCCCCTGAGAATCATAGAATTGATTAGTCTATGAGCATTCTCCTCACAACAAGATACAGCAGAAGCATCAATGTGATGCATTTGGACCTCTCTCACCTTTGTAAAGAGTTTAAATCCAAGACAAGAAACTGTTGTTTCAAAACTGCCCAAGCTTTCAAATCTGCTTACAACTTCAGCGATCTTTAAAATGCCACTGTAAATAAATCAAACTATTAAGTCATCTAAATTAAGTGATACACATGAAACTAAGGTGACAATTAAGTAGCCAAGCATAGAGGTTGATATGTAAATGTTTTACTAAACACTCTTTATGAAAATGGGATGAACTTCTAGTACACTCACTTTGATTTCAGAATTCTGTGAGCTTCTTTCAAAAACTCATTAAGGTTAGTCCCCATTAATGATAAACAGAAAATAACAACATCAACACTCCCATCTGCCAAAGGAACCTATAGTAACCAAGAATATTGAAACATACAGTAATAATCATCAAATTCTTTAGTAGCATGATTTTGAAAACATTTGTCCTAAATTGACACAGTTTGGCACCAGCGCTGATTGGGAATGTAAAACTACATGTAATAGTTATTAATATGATAGACATGATGGCTAATACATTCTATGAAGTATACCTTAGCCATGTCACACTCAGTTACAAAACTATTAACTGCAACAAAATCAAAGGAAAACACTTTATTTGGAACACTTTGTGATATTTTAGCTTCACCACAACCCATGTCTGCAATAATTAATTGAGGTGATCTAAAAGCAAATATGAATGGTATGTCATTACATGTTGGTATATACAGTGACTCCCAAATCAGTTATATTAAAATAACATGATTTATACTAACAATGATCTTAAGGACAATAGGAGTGAGATTCAGCTTACCATAAATAGTACCAGGCAAAATTTGACTTAAGGTATCAAATTATTATGGATTCAAAGCTCTACTGGACCCAGAATATTTCAATGATAGCGAGTTTTAAGCCTAATTGGCAAAGTTGTTAGATTGTAGTTATTGTTATCGTCAATAAATTCCAAAGAGCACATCATCTGTGATAAAGTCAAAAATGCATGCAAACAGGTTGCAGTAATGATGAGATTTGATCTTACCTTTCCTTTATCCAATCTATCATTGTGTCAACTGGATTAACTGGCCACTTCTGAATCTGACTTGAAAATCCATCATGATACACATCAAATAATTCTGGTTCTGATTTAAACATTTTAAATGCAGATAAACTATTTGTGGTATATAATTTTTCATTTATCCATCTGAATCTGCCAGACTCTAGTTTTTTCTGTAGTTTTTCTTTGAAGCTTACTCTTTTGGTTGGAGTATTACTCATTTTATCTGGAAATGTTTCTACAGACGTATTCAATTTTGCATCAACAGCCTCTTGATTCAAACTTGACGTCCCTAGATCGTTTATAAAGACACCATTTTTAGACTTCACTTTCCTTTTTTTACTCGTGTTTCCTTTTGGGTTCGAGTCTTTAATATTTTGACGTGAGGAACTCGCACGAGTCCCAGCAATAAATGGTTTTATACAATTTGTCACATTGTTCTTTTTCAATAGAGATACACTGTTATCCTTGTTTTTAGACTCAAATCCTAAAGTTTTTACGAAGAGTGATTTTGATTTTTTCTTCTTCCGTCTCCTTCTTTTCCGTTTTGAATTTTCGTCTTCCATTCAAAATGAATTTAGGTATATTATTTAAAAACAAAACAAAACAGTGATTTCGAACACTAACTAGCCGCCATATTGACTTTCAACCCGCAGAAGCCTGGGCAGTAGTAGGCACTTGTACCAGTAAATGGTGAATATAAATTAAAAAGTAAAGTTCATCGATTTATCATAATTATAATATCAAATCAATATTTAAAAGTTAGAAATAACCTGACATGGTCAAGGCGTGCGATGCTTTCCCCACCTATGTGGGTGTTGGGTATCTAAACTGAGAGGGAGAGTAAAATAGAAAAGTTATGAGAAGCTGACTCCATAGTATATATAGAGCTCACTGGCATATTTGAACATGCGTTTTTCTTGTGGCAGCGGTTAATACTGTAAAGGGAACGAGAACGAGGCTTGCTTTCTCTTCTGTTATTTCATCAAAATCCAACATGGTTGTTGGCAAAAATAAGCGCCTAACGAAAGGCAAAAAGGGTCAGAAAAAGAAAATGTAAGATAAAAATAAGATTAGGACTTTTGACTTTAATGTCCATCTTTTCGCTAGCAGGCGGAGTGGCCTTAGAGAAGCTTTGATGTTGCTTAGATGGGTTGGATTATTTCAGTAACATTCTCCAGAATTATGATTATTCCTTTTTTTAACTTGTAGTGTTGATCCTTTCACCCGCAAAGATTGGTATGATGTGAAAGCACCGTCTATGTTTCTTAAGAGACAAATAGGAAAGACTGTTGTTAATAGAACAACTGGAACAAGTTAGTTTATAACAGATAATATAGAAATTTATTGTGGAAATGTTTACACTAAAGTAAAAGAGCTAAAATACTTGTTGAAAACATATTAATTTTTTCAGAATTAACTAGTAAATGCAACTTAAGGCTTGCACAGTAGAAACATTCTAACCAACTAGGACTGGTATCAAGGAATGGTATCCAATGAATTTTCTAATAATTTTCTAAACTTTTGGATTATAGATTATTATAAAGTGCCTACAACCAGTCCCCTTTAAAAACTTGATACTTATCTGTTATATAGCTCTGTTACCTCTATCAAATCATAGCAAGTAACAAGGGGTTTTTATATTTCCTACTAGAGATTGCATCTGATGCTCTGAAAGGACGTGTATTTGAGGTATCGCTTGCTGATCTCCAAGATGATGAGGTGACTTATCGTAAATTTAAGTTGATGGTTGAGGATGTGCAAGGAAAGCAATGTTTGACAAATTTTCATGGCTTGGATATGACCACTGATAAGTTGAGATCATTAGTCAAAAAATGGCAGGTTTGTACAATCAAAGTTAACAATTTTTTGTTGTTTGTTGTTTCACAAAATAGTTCTACTTCAATTTTAATCTCATATGAGTAAAGATTTTCTTTATTTTCTAGACATTAATTGAGGGTAATGTTGATGTCAAAACTACAGATGGTTACCTCTTGAGGTTGTTCTGTATTGGTTTTACTAAGAGAAGGTCAAACCAAATTAAGAAAACATCTTATGCCAAGCATTCTCAGATCAAATTGATCAGAAAGAAAATGGTTGAAATTATGACACAAGAAGTGGGAACAAATGATTTGAAGGAAGTCGTCAACAAGCTGTAAGTGGTCTTTGAACTTTTTATTGCAAAGAAATATATAAAAGTAAAATAGTAAGGTTTGCAATTCATCATAAATTTATATCTTTTTCGTGTAGAATTCCAGACAGCATTGGACGCGATATTGAAAAGGCTTGCCAATCTATATACCCACTTCATGATGTTTTTATACGCAAAGTAAAAGTCCTGAAGAAACCAAAATTCGATGGTAGGCAACCTTCTAGCATACAGTAATCATAATACATTATTAATCACATTGCTTTATGGAATCTCATTCTCACTCTATCCACCTTGCTGCTTTAACATGTCTTTAAAATATCTTTGGATTTTTCTTTTCATCATTTAGTTGGAAAGTTGATGGAGATGCATGGTGAAAGTGGAAGTACGACAGTGACCACTGATGAAACTGGAGCAAAAATTGAACGTGATTCGTTTGAACCTCCTGTGTTAGAATCAGTGTAATAAAACTGTCAGTTTATGAATTAAAAATACCATAATAAATCTGTGTTTGTTTTTATCTGGTCTGGGTGTAGATTTAGCTTTCCCATTTTAGTTCCATGTTTTTCTCCTGAAAGATTTAAGAACTTTGATATGAGATCATCATCTATGCTCCTACAGTCCTTTTCCTGTCAAAAATTCTCATTGCACCCATGTGATCATTCTTAACACTCAAAATAAGTTTCATTAATAATAATGATATCCTTGGTTGGGTTGTCTTGGGATAATACCACAATTTACATGTGGTTTGGTACAATGCATTGTACCAAACCACAAACGAATAATGAAGGATTTCCAAGTTTCCATTTTGTTGCCAACAAAACAGGGTAATTTTCCACAAGGGGAAAAAAGGCTAAACAGAAGGTATAATTGTAAGCATTTTAACACAAAAAATTATATTTGTGGTCAGTTAAAATTCCTAATTGCGCCGAGCCTATGCGCAGGTAAATAGATCATTAAAGAGCACGACTATTAATTCTGGTAATACTGAACCTGTTGCTGTACTGTTTCTTCAATAAAACTTATACTGTGTACCACATGTCTCTGAAATATTTCCATTCAATATAGGTACAAATCAAGTGTAAAATTCTGTAAAGCGTGAATCTCCCTAAAACGATTTCAGCTAATGTATGTACACGTAATTATTAACATTTAACGATCCTTATTAACATGAACGACCCTTTGAAAGTTTTTACTAGAACCATTTTATTGTTTCTTTTTCTTTCGTCCTCGCCCATCTGGTGTGCCATCAGCTTTTCGCTTTTGTTGGGGAGTCTGTAAAAAAGAAACTTACTACGTAAAAAAAGAGGTACAAAAAGAATCATGAGATGCTTGGTCCCTAAAAACCTAATGTGGTTTAGATGTTGTATTATCGCAAAAACATAAAGCTGTTTGCATGAATTACCTTGGTATTTCCAGGTTTCTGACCACGTTTTCGTTCTTTCTTCTCTTTTTCTTCAATCTCTAACATTTCTCGTTCAATCAAAGTAATCAACGTATTGCACCTTCGCTGAAGTTCCTTAATACAATAGAAAGCAGAAAGCAGGTTTTAATACGAAACGATTTAACTTGTTAAGGTTGCTGGGTCCACTGATTTTATGGTCTAACATTAGTTTACTAACACCCAATTACTTTAGACAAACATATTTTAAAATGTATTCTGATGCTAGAAAGCAGGGCAACAAACTGATATCTCCTCACCTGTGCGGTTCTTGATTTTAAAAACCAGTCAAATCTAAATTGCGGAGCACTTCTACACGCAATACGTAGTTCATCGTATGAATTTTCTTTTTCCAAGCCAAGTTTATGAAGCATACAAATCTAAGTATGAAACGTTAAAGTAGAAAATGAGCTGATCATTGTACGGGGATCTTGTTAAATTATTGTTTTCTAGAATTTTTTAAACTCCTCTTGAAACTTTCCGTTATGTAATTATTTTACGACGTCTATTCGCATTTATTTTTTCCGATAGCATACATTTAGAATTTTTTTGAAAGAAATTCTCTCGTATTCTCTTCTCGAGCTAAACCACGTCCCACCTAGACTCTCTCATCGTCATCATGGTGAACTTGAAAAATGCGTCTAAAATCTGCGCTCAGGTTCCTGTGAAAGTTCTAATATTCCTAAATTTGTGGTAACACTCACCAAGAATCTGTCTTCCTCTTCAGTATAATTCTTTCCTTTATTTGTACCGTATGCTATTCTCAATTGATGGAACGGTGAACGATATCTTGCCATCTGTAAACATTGAAAACATTTTTTAGAACTTGTATTCTTAGTGCAATAATCGACGAGCAAAATTTATTGAAATATCTGTTACTTCTCGCTACTACATTATTCACAAGCACGTCATCAAAATACGCCAAATTGCCACTGCCTTTATTCAAAACACACGATTTTCTAACCTTTGCATCAAGTGCTTTCTTAATACTAATTCTTCTTTGTATTTTTGCCTCCCCCCTTTCAATCTGGGCCATTATCTTCTCCAAATCCTGTAGTTCTTCCTTTCGCTCCCAGAACACTTCATAATAGGCACGCACCTGGATATTATTAATGATTTCATAGTTAATTCATAATATACAGTCAAACAAAAAGATATGAAAATCTAGAGTGAGGGTAGTACATTAGCTAAAGGGTGTGGTCATAACATATCGTACTTTTTGCCCAAAACATGTCAGATTGTAGAAAAACTAGATGCTTCAGTTTCTTAAGAGTGTTGTTGGAAGTACAAAATGTTGGACTGCAGACAGTGTATAAGATCACGTACCTCCTCAGGTGTTTTCCCTTCAATATCATGTGCAATATTATCGATATCATCTCGACCATATTTCTCACATGCCTTGATATATTGATTGAAGTCTCGCTTTGACCAATTCGTGAAACCCTGCGTGTGGCATAATAATATACAATATATATAATAAAATAAATTGAAATAGTTGAGCTTCAGGATTAGAGTTTGCTATCTATTGATTAGTAACTATATTTTCTAAGAGGGTAAAGACAAAACATGAGAGATTCTTTACTGACCTCTTCCAGTAATTTTTCTTTTTCTGCAATCTCCTCTTCCGTTAGTGGTTCAGCTTCATCGATCATTCTCTGAGCTTCCTTCTGATTCTGAGCACCATTTGGATCTTCAGGGTCACGTGGTACCTTCAGAGTAACAAGCAGTAATTATTTTTGATTCGACTCTTCGATCAACTTTTTTACTTAATCTGATAATCAACAAACCTTTCAGTCACAAAACCGTTGCAACGGTAACTCAGATTTAACCGGACCTTTTGAATAATTAACTTAGAGGTAGTCCACAACTACATTCGTTATCAACCTGATTGATGTTCACTTTACTGGAAAATGTTATGTTTCTCCATTATGTTACACCGAGGTAAACAATATGCTTCGATTCTCACACGCGTACCTTGTACCCAATGTTTTTTCTGAAAGCGTAGATTTCCATGTCCAATAACTCGAAAAGTCGTGGTGGGAAGAAC